GAATGATTTGTCTTTAAGATTTATTTTTATTTGAAAGGCAGATTTACAGAAAGAGAAGGAAAGACAGCAAAATCTTCCATCACTGATTCACTCCCCACGTGGCTGCAACGGCTCGAGCTAGGCCTATCTGAAGCCAGGGGACAGCAGCTTATGGATCTCCCAGGAGGATGCAAGGGCCCAAGGACTTGAGTCATCTACTGGTGGTTTCCTAAGCACATTAGCAGGGAGCTGGATGGGAAGTGGAGCAATTGGAATTTCAACCAGTGCCCATATGGGATGCTGGCACCATAGTGTTGACCTCTTTTGGAATGATATGGTTGTGGGAATGTAGCTGTAACTACCATCCAAATGAAGAGATCAATTTTTTTGGTACCTAGTGACCCTGTCACCTCGTAGATGGTTACCACATCAAATATCGTCTTCTAGAGGTTAGAAGCTTCAGTTAACTGAGTTGAATTTGCATGAGCTGGAATTTTATGTAAATGCAAATTAGTGGTGTATGTTATGCTGTTTCTCTTAGTTTTAGCATATGTTTATATCCATGAGCAATGCCTTTGTTGTTGTATGTATACACACTACTCTTTCATTCCGTGTTTGATGACTATTTTGATTGTTGCTAGTTAAGATACTTGAAGTGCTTCTCTGTAAAGATAGATTTGAGTAGCTCATGGATATTTTTATTCCCTGATGTTTTTTATTTTGGTACATACACATTTTTATCTTCCCTGTCGGATACACTTTGTTTTTCTTGGAGGAAGCTAGCTCTACTCTGTCTCTCCCACTTCATTTCCTTCCCATGTTTTAGCTGCCATAACTGGACCTATTAGTACAGGAAAGAAACTGAAGTGGTGAGTATGTTGGAAAGACAGAATTTTTGTGTCTTTTGGCTTTTCCAGAGCTGCTGATGCAATTACTTCCTTCTCCAGATGAGAGTCAAAAGGGTGACATGACTTACACAATACCAGATGGCCAGTCAGTGATAAAGCTGGGACTCATGCATTCTGATTCCATTGCTGGACTCTCTCACCTGCCACATTGCTCACTTCAGTAGGTGGGGAAAACGGCCAAAGGATTTCTCATTCCTTGAAAAGCAAAAAAAAAAAGGGGGGGGGGGCGGGGAGACTCTTAATCTTTTCAAAATGTAATTTGGAGAAAAGTATCAATCTACAACATGTACTCTTTAACCCAGTCAATCCACATGTCAAACATCAATCCTGAATGTAATCTAAGACAGATCAGCAAATCATAGCCAGAAGGTCAGCTCAGTTCCATCACCTGGTTTTGTAAAGAATGGTTAAACTTTTTTTTTTTTTTTACAAAAACAATAACTTATGACATGCAAAAGTGTATGAAGCCCAAATGCCAGTATCCATAAATAAAATTTTATGGGAGCATAGCTGCATTCATTTATTTATTGTCTATGGCTGCCTTCAAGCTACAACAGCAGAGCAGTGCAGTTGCAACACAGACCATATGGCCCACAGAGCCTGAATTATTTTCTTTCCCGTTTGTAACAGAAAAATTTGCTGACCCAGATTAAAAGAGGGGAAAAACTGTGCATAGAAAACATTTATTGAAGCATTTTAAAATAATTTTTTTAATTAAAAAGCATAAAAATGTCAAACAAGGGCATGGTTATTTTTATTATAATTTAATACATTTGGGATGTTAATCGGTTATTAAAATTATAATTCTAAAAACTATGCAACAACATAAAAATCCATTTTTTTTGAGAGGTTTAACATTTAAAATTCTGATGCCAGTGTTGTGGCACAGCAAGATAAGTTCCCATTTGGGAAGCTGCACTCTGTGTCAGTACCTGATTTAAATCCTGGCCACTGTGCACTTCCAATCTGGTTTCCTCCTAATATACCTAGGAGGCCACAGACAACAGCCCCAAATTCTTAAATCTTGCCACCCACATGGGTAATATGGATAAACAGGCTCCTGGCTTTGGCCAGGGCCTCTGGGAAGTGAACCAACAAATGGAAAATCTGTCTCTCTTTCTCACTTTCCTTCCCTCCCTCTCATGTTTTTCCCCCTCTCTCTGTCACTCTGCCTTTTAAATAAATATTTTTAAGCTAAAATAAAAACCACTTTAAACCTCATTTGTATAAACATAGGTAAAGACTAAACATTATTTGCAAAAATAATCAGGTGTAGTTCTAGGGTCACCAATTATTCTTACATTTCTGTAACACTGTTTTCTTAACTGCAAATATAAACTTTGTACACGCTTTTTACCCCCAGTCATTAAGGTTTGTAAAACTACTAACCAAATGTTGTGAATGATAATTATAGTATTGTTCTATCTCTGTTGGAGCAAGGTTATAGAATGGTAGGTCAGGAGGGAATTTTGTAGTGTAGAACGCATACATATATTATAAATGAGAAGCTGAGATTGGTTCTCAAAAAATCATAACAATGAAAGTCATTGCTAATAAAGACACTGTTAATAAAAGTTGAATGTAAAAAATGGCAGTGTGAATGTTATGTTTCAAAAACCAGTTTCTCTTTCTCTTGAAGTCACATTTGACTTAGTTTAAATGGTTAATTTGAATTTTCAATCTGACCTTCATCCCATTGTCTTATACATATTTTCTAGTCCTTTTGTGCAGAAACCTCGTTTTTTTAATCTATAAATATATTATGTATATATATATGTATATATATATATATTTATTTATTTAAAAGGCAAAGTTTACAGAGAGAGGGAGAGAGCAACTTTTTTGCTGATTTACTCACCAAATGTTCCAGTAGCTACAACTGGACTGGGGTAAAGCCAGGGGCCTGAAATTTCATACAGTCTTTCTTATATGAAGGACCCAAGCTATTGGGACATCTGCTTTCCCAGGATTGGAAGTGGAAGAGCTGGATTCGAAGTGGAGCAGCTGGGACTTGGAATTTATACCCAAATGGGATTCAGGTGATGTCGGCAGCAGCATAACTGACTGCACTGCAGAAGTTTCATTGCTGACGTGACAGATTTTGCCCCCCGACTTCCAAATGCATTCAGTGTACCCATCCTACTTCTTTGCATTCATGGCCCTGACTTGACTTTCCTTGGTGCTTAGCAAAGATTGCCTTGTATTGTTAGGTGAGTGCATTTATTTTCTTTTGTTGCTATGGTCTGTTATCACAAATTTAGTGACTTAATGCTAATTTGTCACCCTGCAATTCTTCAAGTCAGAACTCTAAAATAGGACCTTCTACATCGAGATCAAGATGTCCACAGGACTGCGTTCCTTTTTGGAGCTTCAACTGACTCTTTTCCAGGCAGCTTTCAGAGCCGCCTGCATGCCTTAGATGGGGATCAATTTGGGTGCAAAATATTTTTTCACAATATGTACAAAATATAATGAGAAACTATAAATATATTTCAAAAAGGTTTATACCAAAACTCATACTTTTAATTCTATTTTCCATGAACTTTTTTTTTAGTTTGCAAATATTTTTTTTACTTTACTTATTTATATTGCTTAATTTTAATTAATATTTAAGAATACAATAGGGGCCTCCATCATGACATAGTAGGGTAAGCGTTTGCCTACATCACCAGCATCCCACATGGGCACCAGTTCGAGTCTCAACTGCTCCACTTCTGATCTAGCTTCCTGATGTCCTGGGAAAGCAGCAGAAGATGGCCCAAGTCCTTAGGCCCTTGCACGTACGTGGGAGACTTAGAAACCTCTCAACTGAGTAGCATCTCTAGTGCTTATAAACCTAGGGCCAGCCTTGTGGGGCTGTTTGTGGATAGCCCAAGAACCTCCTGCTCATCCTGTGTTTATCCTCTTCCCTGCATACAGGGGAAGGAAAGAAGGGAAGAGTAACAATCCCAAGGTCTCAGCATTCCTTCTGCTCTCCACCCAAAGTAGTTCACATTGAAGGAGGAACTTTGAACTTAGGAAACGTCCATCTTTTATAAAGAACAAGGGCTAACAGTAAGATACTGAGTAAGACAGTGTCTTCCTACTGTGCAGTAAACAAGCTTGACCTTTACTCTAGAGGAAGAAGTTATCTGTGTTGTCCAAAGCCATTTGCTACACAAACATCCATGAAAAAAAAAAAATGTTTAGAATAAAGATTCTTAGTATCTCAGCTTAGAGATATATGGAACACAAGAGACCCAAGGAGAATGTGTGGACCAGCATATTATGTGTTTGTTATCCTCCCCAAAGAATATTGTGCTCCTAAAAGCAGGAATTTTTGTGTGTTTCATCAGTTCTCTGTAGTGTTGAGAAAAGTGCCTGACGCGCTGTGGGTGCTTAGTAAATGTTTTTTGAATGAATTATTGAACATCAGTTGCTTGATTGATGAGCAAAATAATTGTTATAGATTTCCATTAATACAGCTAACTGGTGTTTTGATCTTTATACTCTGAAAGCATGTTTTTATTTTAACGTCGATCCTTTATTTTATTACCAAATTTGATAAACATGCACATTTTGAGAAAAGCCAGGGAAGAGATCATTTTTCAATGAAATGAGCTGTGTAATTTGATATGGTTGAGGATTTTGAAGCAAAGAGCAGCATGCAGACACAGATCAATAGTAGCAGTAAATACCACAGCTGTTGAGTTAGGATGTGCCATGTGGATTTAGTTAAATTTTCAGCTTAAATTTTTTTATTGTGGGTCCAACAGGTTAGGTTCAGTTTTGTTGAATGCCACACTTATTTTTTGCAACACACCTTCCATTCAACCTTCAGGTTTGCGTTAATTCTCCCAGTTGTGTCAAGAATGAGAATATCCATTGCTTTACATACTGATTGGCTGTATCCGTGGTATAATGGTGAGTGGTATTATAGACTAAGAACAACAGAGTTGGAGAGTTAGCTTTGATAACAATTTGTAACTTAGACAAATCTCTGAGTGTGCCTACCACATTTTCCATCCTGCTGTGAGGACAGAATAGGCACTTTTTAAATGTTTGGCTTCTAGATGTGTTTGGTTTGGAGAATGTCACCTAGTTGTCCTTCATCATTATTCATTCTGTTTTTAGGTGATGTCCTTGTTGCTGTGAATGATGTTGACGTCACCTCTGAAAACATAGAGAGAGTTCTGTCTTGCATTCCTGGACCCATGCAGGTGTGGACATTCATTTGCTATATTTTATGATGTTACATAAAATAAATACATCTTGTTTCCAAAAATTATTATGTATGGTGAGTGAGTTACATTGAGATGTATATATTTAAGAAATTTTAGCTCTTGCTAACTTTTTAAAAGTTTATTTATTTTACTTTAGTTTATTTCTTTTACAAAGAGAGGGAAAAATAGATATCTCTCATCTGCTAGTTCATTCCTCAAAAGGACACAAGAGCCAGAGCTGAGCCAGTCTGAAGCCAGAGGCCAGGACTTCTTCCGGGTGACCCACATGGGTGTAGGCGTGCAAGAACTTGAGCCAATCTCTGCTGCTTTCCCAGGCCATTAGCAGGGAATGGAACTGGGTAAGAAGTGTAGTATCCAGGGCTTGAACATGTGCCCGTATGGCATGCTGGCACTGCAAGTGGAGGATTAGAATGCTATAGCATCATACTGGCCCCATTGCTAAACTAACATTTCTTGAAAACATTTTTAGATATTCTAAAATGAGAGAAAAATATCTACAAATAAAACTGATTTGCAGCAATAATAAAAACGTATAATTACTAACTTGCCATTATAATCTCCATATATACTAATGATAGTTTAGTTCCTGGAAGAGTCGTTTTAAACTGAGAATTTTCTATTCTTTGACTTAGTTAAAATCACTATTCTTATGAAATTTTTCAATGTAGTTTTGTTTGTTTTAAAAACTAGTTACTTGGTTACAGGTTTTTTTCTTTTTTAGCTTTTTTCTGTTCTCTAATTTAACTTGCCTCCTTAATATTTTTTTAGCTGCCTAGTAAATTATTTTTTCATCACTGTAGGTGATCAGATTTTTCCCAGATAAATCACATTGAAATCGTGTAATATAGATTACTTTTTAAAATATATTTATTTCTTTTTATTGGAAAGGCAGATATACAGAGAGGAGGAGATACAGAGAGGAAGATCTTCCATCAGTTGGTTCATTCCCTAAGAGGTCACAGTGGCCAGAGCTGAGCCAATCTGAAGCCAGGAGCCAGGAGCCTCCTCCAGGTCTCGCACATGGGTGTAGGGTCCCAAGGCTTTGAGCCATACTTGACTACTTTCCTAGGCCACAAGCAAGGAGCTGGACGGGAAGTGGAACCTCCAGGATTAGAACTGGCACCCATGTGGGATCCCGGTGCTTGCAAGGCCAGGACTTTAGCCGCTAGGCTACCACACCAGGCCCTAGATGACATTTTTTTAAGGTTATTAGATGTATTTTGAAAGTAGTATGTATTTATGAATACTCCGTTATATTTAGCATCAGAGATTAACTTTTCTCTGGCGGTCAAGAAGGTGGTGTGTTTAGATAGGTTGGAGGATCCATCATGCCGTGAGAGGATAAAGTTATTTTTGTTTTAGTCAGGGGTGAAGAGCAGAATCCTCTAGGGCCAGCAGCACGGCACAGCCGGTAGGTTGCTGCCTGCAGTGCTGATATCCTGTATGGTTACTAGCTGGTTTTTGTCTTAGCTGCTCCATTTCCTATTCAGCTTCTTACTAACGGTCCAAGAAAAGCAGTGGATGATGACCCAAGTGTTGGGGTCCCTGCCAAACATGGGGAAAACCTCGAAGAAGCTCCTGGCTCCTGACTTTGGCCTTGTCCAGCCCTGGCCATTGTTGCCATTTGAGGGAGTGAGTCATCAAATGCAAGATATCTCTCACTCTGTAACTCTGACTTATTAGCATCTTATTTGAGATTCTGAAATACTAATAATAAATAATAAGTCTTGTGGATTAAATTCCTTATTTATTAATAAGTAAGATTTTGCTTCTTCATACTTCTTTTTTTTTAAGATTTATTTTATTTTTATTGGAAAGGCAAGTTTAACAGACAGAAGGAACAAGAGAAATTTTCCATCTGCTGGTTCACTTTCCAAGTGGCCTCAATGGCCAGAGCTGAGCCAGACCAAAGCCAGAAGTCAAGAACTTCTTCTAGGTCTCTCACACCAGTGCAGGATCCCAAGGCTTTGGGCCATCCTCCACTGCTTTCTCAGGCCACAAGTGTGGAACTGGATGGGAAACGGGGCAGCTGGGAGATTCAGTCACTGAGCTATAGCTCCAGGACCCACACTTCCTTCCCTTAAACAGATGTACACATGTTTGCATGTACACATGAAATGTATAAAGAAATAGAAAATGAAGAAACCGGATATGGTAACCAGTGACCAGCAATACCTAAGAATGGATAAAGGTAGAGAGGTAGGGCAATGTGTGAAATTCTACCAATTACAGTGCTAAAATAAGGTCTGCTGATATAGCCTTTGTCATTTCATGTGGAAGGGTCCTGGGGCAAGTCAGGGTACTAGGGCCTTGGACAGTTGCTAGCTACCAAACCCTAGTGAAGAATGACAGCATCAACTAAGCTGGCTTCCTCCTAGTAAAGTAGCAGTGCATTACCCTTAGGGACAGGCTTCTCGCCCACTTGCTTAAGTCAGTTGTGGATGTGTTGACCAAGTTCAGCCACATTTCTTCTGTTTTCAAAAAGGGAAAATTATATTAAGACGGAGTCATAATGTATTTACATATGATCAATATTTGCAAATTCATTTATGTCCACACCTGTCAGGGAAAAAAAAAAAGAGAAAGAACAAATGACAAGTATTTCAGTGGTGGGTGTTTGGCACAGTGGTTATATCACTGCTTAAAATGCCTGCATTCGATAACATACTGCCTGGTTTCCTGGGAAAGCAGTGGAGGATGGCACCAAAACCTTAGGATCCTGTACCTGCATGAGAAACTTGAAAGAAGCTCCTGGCTTTGGATCCATTCCGTTCTAGTCAATGTGGCCATTTGGCAAGTGAACCACTAGATGGAAGACCTTCTCTCTTTCTTTCCTCTCTGTAAAGCTGACTTCCAAATAAAAAGAAATAAACCTTTAAATATATATATAAAATAGATATAACGATTTGCCCAAAGTTGCAGGATTAATAACCTCTAGAACTGGAGCTCAAGCTGGCTCTACAACATGATTTTTCAGTTCACACACAAGCTGTGTAGATCTTAGTATGTGTATTCCCTTATTCTTGCTTGGCCAAAGCTAGCTGATCTGGACTTGTGTCAGAAAGAGTTCCTGTACCCAGTTTGCATCTGTGTCATTTGAAACAGTTATCCGAGCAAAAAGAAAAGAAGAGCTTTGATTTATCAAAAATGCCACAGGAGATTTTTAACATTTAAATCTGGAAGTGCCTAACAGTACCCTTTTATATATATAAGGCTGCAGCTGCTTCTTGTCATCCAACAGAAGACCCAGGAGATGGTTCGGTGTGATACAGACACCACCAGGGACAAGGAGGTCAAATTAAACCTTGCTCTGAACAAGTTTCCAAACTCATGTGGGTTCCAGTTTCCTCATCTGTAATAAGAGGCCTTCTGTACAAGGGCAGTCTCTGAGTCCAGTTCTAGCTCCGCACATATCTGCTTTCTAAATAATTTCTGATAGAAACAGAATACTAGATGAAGTCCAGAAGCAAAGACTGCACTTTGTGAGCTACAAAAGCCCAGATCCTCTCCTTTAAAGCCAGGTTTTAACATTTTGTAAAATGTTGAAGTTAATTTATTTAAAAAAAAAAGTCATTCTCATAAGAGACAAAAATTTATAAGACCAGAGAACTGATCTAGACTAGTGCCGACTAAGTGGCATGTAATACAACCACATATCACTTAATGATAGGATATAGTCTGAGAAATGCATCATGAGGCAGTTCTGTCATTGTATGAGTATTAGAGAATAGAGCATATAGTTAGAGAAAGCTGGATGGTTTGTATACCCAGATTGTGTGCTGTATCTATTTGGGATAAGCTGTTACTACTTAAGACCAAGATAACAAAATGCATGGACTTAAATCAGGCATAAGAGAAAATGACATAGTGAGGAGATATTATAAACACTCAATTATGAGATTACTATGGGTCTAACACAGCATACCATTTTATTAAAATATAAATAAAATACGTAAAATATCAAAAATAAGAGTACAGTTTATGTGTGGTCGATACCTGTAGTAGTCATTTGTTATCAAGTGTTATGTATATACACAGATTGTGTAAGTTCTACTTTTCACACAACTGATAAGGCACAGACTTGTTTATACCAGTATCACCATAAATATGTGAGTGGTGCATTGTGCAATGATGTCCAAGTCGCCAAGCAATGGGGAGTGTTTAGCTCCGTGTTAGTCTTATGGGATCACTCTCTGTGGCTTCATCAGTGGAAATATAGTCAGTAATCCTGAATTGATACTGGAGACAGTAGAAAACAGCAGTGTGAGGACAACTGAGAAAAAATTGGACCTGAATTTTAGAATGTAACAGTGTTACATATAATGCTAAAATTTGTAAGTGTGGTAATTATGTTTTAGTTGTATAGGAGGATGCCATGATTCTCATGAGATAAATCCTTCAATTAGGGGATGATGTATGGAAATGTCTTCAAATAACTTTGCAATGGTTCAGCCAAAAAATTTTGTAGTATGTCTGTGGAGAGAGGAGATTGGAAAGCCCAGGGAACAAGATTGGAGAGAAGAGATGCAGAGAAGAGAAACAAATGTAGCAGCGTGGTAACAATGATGAAGTGTGGATGAGGGAAAATAACGGGTGATCCTTATTGCATCCTTGCAATTTGTAGAGTTGAAATATTTAAAACAAAAGGTTGCAGAATTTTTTTTTTTTTTACAAATTAGACCTTTACAGTAAGAATGACAGTACAAATGCCATTCTCGTTGACCAACTTTCATGATCTTGATCCCTTGCCACAGCTCTGCCCTCTCACGTATTCAGCATGCACAGCCGTGTGTGTAGCATATCCTCCTCCTCTCCCCTGGCTTGCTCACAGAGCTTGGCCTCAAGCTGTGTTTGACCAGGGCTGATTTATACAGCTTCCCAGCACCTCCTGTAGGAGATCAGCCTGCAGATCATACAGTAGTATTGGACTCGACATCAGCTCTTTCTTGGGCCTAAAGAAAAGCTGATACTTGATTGTTTTAGCTTTTGTTATCTCTTTGTTACACAAAGGTAATACTTGCATTATGGAAAAATTAGGAAACAATATAATAAGTTTTTTTTTTAATTTATAAAATTATTGTCTGGGCCTAGAGGTAGCCATCTATATATTATGTTTTATTTTAAAATATTTAGTTGAGAGAGAAAGAAAAGGAGGGAGGAGGGGGAAAGAGATAGTTCCTATTTTCTTGTTCATCCCGAGTGCTTACAGCAGCCGGAGTTGGTCCCATCCATGTCTCCTATGTGGTCGGCAGGAACCCGATCACTTGAACCCTCACTGCTGCCTTCCAGGGTCTGCAGTAGTTGGAAGCTGGAGTCAGGAGCCAGAGATGGATATCAAACTTAGTGCCATCTGGAATGTAAGTATCCTAACTGGCATCTTAACTGCTAGGTCAAATGCCTACTGTCATGTTAACATTTTAAAGCGGAGGATGTGATGTGACCAGATTTGCTTTTTAGGTAAACATGACTCTGGATCAGGAAGGTGAAAAAAAAAATGGGAGGACTGGAAACCAGGCGGAAAGGTTTGCAGTATTTGCATAAGGAAGGTGAGAAAGATCTGAGCAAAGATGTTGACTGCAGTGGTGGAGGAGACATAGATGCGATTTGAGATGTGGAGCAATGAAGGAAACAGTACTTCTAGCAGGAAGGAGAGAAGGCTGAGAAGGCTGCCAGTGTAGCTGCCAGAGAAGAGGGTTCAGGGGAAGTCATTTGCTGGGCCAGATGGTTCCTTCACATTTTTGACTAAGAACTGTTGAAAGCATCTGCCAGTTGGTAGCCAAAGAGGGAAGGAAGAGACCTGCAGGGAACAGCATCAGGGTTGTGGGAGGGACAGTGCAGTCTAAGGCAGCCGCCCACAGCTGCTTCCGGAGGCAGAGCTCTGGCCCTGGCTCCGTCTGTAGAGAGCTTGGTAGCCAGAGCAGAGACAGGGGTCTTTTGGTCAGTGCTAAAAAGCCATTGCTTCTTAAATAGGATGAGTTGAAAATAGAGATAGATGCAGGGGATAATAAAAGCAAAAGGAAGTGATTTGGGAACTGGTGAGCATATAGAGTGTGTGTGTCCTTGGACCTGAGGAAAGTGCTCTAAGTCCTAAATTAAAGGGAAAGGAGGAGAAAAGGATAGTCAAATCCCACAAGAAAGAGAGAGCAGCTGAGGGCTCATGAACCTTGGCTTGTGTTAAAGTCTACAGAATGGCAAGAAAACTCTCCATAAGAAAAGTTTCATATTTACTGACTTACTTTAGGGATTGTTTAATTAAAGTGTTTGTTTATAAGACATGTAATATCTTTAATATTTATTTATGTCAACCCCTTTTTAAAAAACAGCTCTTAACTCAGTTTGGTTTTTCTTTGTTACCCTTTTTCATTTCATCAAGGCTACCCTGATTTCCTGACATTTATAGCTGTTTAACATGCGAGCTTTTAAAAATGTCCTTCTAAAGTGTAATTATCTTCGCATTATGTGCCAGCTGCTCTGAAATCAGAAGAATGGCAGCTGAACTGGTCCCTTGAAGAATTTTAATGGGGGGGTTCTGTGATGTGTGTTTTTGTTTGGGTTTTTGTCATGGAGAGGAGATTAGGTCTCTGCCTCACAGAGAAGAAGGCAGGTCTTCTGCCAAGGATAACATGGAACTTAGCTTTCAAACACATATGTCATTTTCCACCAGGCATAGCAAACCAGCCTTAAATTTGAGGTTGTTATTACTGCCTAAAGGAAAGTTGGTGAATTTTGTATTTTTAGCTCGTTTGCTTTTGACACTTTTGGTGAGTTATGCCATATCTTTTGACCTTTCCATCCACGAGAATGTCAGCTGGAAAAGATGGCCTCACCATTCTGAGACAACATTTTCCCCCTCTGGGGACATGCCTTGCTCAGGTTTTCTGCTCAGCTGTCCCGGACACACACTTCTACAGACTCACTCCTGCCTGCCTGCCTAGGTGTCACTCATCTTATGGCCCTCCAATCAGATTGCTCCCCACCTCCATTCCTGCACCTCCATGCGGAGCTCCTCTTCAAAGCCCCGGGTCCGGGGGAAATAAATCTTCAAAGCTTCTGTCTGCCATATCACAAAATTTATACTCAAGAATTTCTCAAATTCTTGCGATTTCTCACATTTCCAGTGAATGCCACAAAAGGCTACCATGTATTTTCTTTCAGAAGCTCCTAAATTCTCTTTTCTCAGATAAAAGAATCCTCTGATCAGCAAGCCATTCACTTCATCAACTGCCTATTCAAAGATTTTAGATGTTATGCTTGTATTTGTGTTCATATTTGTATGTTTATTTATAGTATTATAGTATAGTATAGTATTATACTATTTTATAGTATCATGTGAATGAACAACAAAATTGATAGGTGGAGTTATGGATATTTTTAAGATGCTTAACATTTGTCATAAAAAGTTCATTTTTAAAAAGAATGACTATCTTATTAGTTTTTATCATACATGTAAGTTCAGTGTTGAAAATGGCTTATAATATTAAGAGAGAAGATAATTTCTGTGTCTTAGAAATAATTTTTTTAATATTTTCCCAGAATGTAACCTACAGTACACACATGTTATCTGCCTTTCAGGATTGATTAAGCTTCTTTTTTCTTGATTAAGCATGAATCTTTTTGACTTATAAAATTTAACATATTTTAAAGACATCATGAAACTTTGAGTAGTCTGTTTTCCTGCAACTTCTGATGATGTGTTGACTATCAGAAACTTCTTTTTGAGACACTGTCTGGTCCTTCCTTGAAATAAGCGAGTTGTCTTTGACCAAGTGGTGTCTAGACAGGTATCTCCTTTTTCAAGGGAAGGTAATTGAGAAGTGGAAGCTAGCTTTCAGCCACTGGAAAATGGTCACATTCTGGACTCTTTCCCAATCCTGACATCAGACCATGAAATTAAAACTAGCTTGATAAACTGATAGTCTTCTCAGTGGTATTCCATGTCCCAGCATACTGTTAGTTCTTTATCCTTGACCTTTGCTTTAAAGGACCACAAAGAATGTCTGAGAGAAGAAAATGTAAACTGCTACTGCATTTGAAAAGACAGCTAACTGGTTATGAGAGGAGGCTCTTGACTACTTTGTGTCTTCACCCAGGAGTCAGCAGCTACTGCATTTGGAATGTAGTATTAAACTGTGTTGCACTTTCTGATCATAGTAACATTTGTTTGCACACAGTGTGTGTTTTTGTAGTCAGTAATTTACAATATAGTTATCTTGTTTCAGTAAATGAATTTTGGGACAGGATATTATACATTGCAGACGCCATAGATACTTATTATGGACCTGCAGGGAGCCTGTGGCCTCTGCCGACAGGAACTCTCCCTGGCGTGCCTTCCACGCACACACCAGTGCATGTACAGAGCCTTGTCTGCAGGACTTGTGGCTGACTTTTCCCTTGTTGGAAAGCCAACAAGTCATTTTCCACTTTTACAGGTGAAACTAACGTTTGAAAACGCCTATGCTGTGAAGAAGGAAACTGCCCAGCCAAGAGAGAAAAAGGCACAGTCAAACACAAATGATTTAGTGCAGCTTCTGTGGGGAGATGCGGCTGACAGTGCCCAGCAGGAGGTCCTGAACACCCCGCATATCGTTATGTATCTCACACTTCAACTAGACTCAGAGGCATCTAAGGAAGAGGTGGGTGTCCTCTCTCAGGCATCTTCCCGGGAAATAAAGAGCATTGTTAAAAAATGTTAAGATCTCTTTGTTATACTTGAAAGACAGGAGGGGCGGGCGGGGGCGGGGGGGGCGGGGAAGCTTCCATCCTCTGGTTCACTCTCCAAATTGCTGTGATGGCCAAGGCTGAGCCGAGGTGAAGCCGAGATCCAGAAACTCCCATCTGGGGAGTCTCCCACGTGGGCGGCAGAGACCCAAGTGCTCAGACTATCTTGTGGTACTTTCCCAGGCATATTAGCAAAAAATTGGATCAGAAGTAAAGCAGCCAGAACTTGAACTGGGATGCTGAAATTATAGGCAGTGATTCACCCACTGTGCCACAACTCCAGCCCCTGTCCGTGAGCGTTTTTAATTTAAGAACGAAATAAAAGTGAATTAACTGTGTTTCATTGTTACTCTTTAAATTGCATATTTTATACTTTATTATAGACATGATTGATTCCTACGGTAAGTGCTTTTAAAAAATGAAAGAATTAACCAGTTAAGCAGCAGGAAAAGGAGAAAGGGGAATATATACTTGTAATATCTGCAGACTTGGAAACTAAAATTTCAGTGATTTTATTTCATTTACGTCAGCTTTATTGAGGTATCATTTGTGTATAATGAAGTACAACAGTGTTAAGCATACAAGTTGGTGAGTTTTGACAAATATGTATAGTTGGGTAACCATTGTCATAGTCATTCCCCCAAAGAAATGTGTGCCATTTGCTCTCTTTGCTTTCTTGCCTTTGCTACACAGATTCATGTTCTGTTACGTTCTTTTAAAGCTTACAAATATTTTTGTTTGTTTCACATTTTTTTTTATCATTCATTAATTTCTCAATGCTTGCCGAATACCCTTGCCTGAGATAATATCCAATTTTGGGTATTTTTACTTATACGTAAGAAAATAATTATAGTACACACAAATAAAGGGCTCAATTTCTACGAAACGAGATGTTGACATTCCCCGTTCTTCACTCTTTATAGTAACCAGGTTGCTTTTCCTAATAATTTTTTAAGGATATTTATTTATTCATTTGAAAGAGTGACAGAGCAGGAGAGCGTGAGCTCATCCATCTACTTGTTCACTCCCCAAATGACCACAATAACCAGAAGCGAGCCAGGAGGAAGCCAGGACTTTGGAACTCCATCCAGGTCTCCCACGTGGGTGGTGGGGCTCAAGTACTTGGGCCATCAGCAGATGTGTTCTCAGGTGCGTTAACAAGGAGCTAGGTTGGAAGCAGAGTAGCTGGGACTCAAAATAGGGTGCACCATGTTGTAAGCAATAGCTTAATGTACTGAACCATAATGCTAGCCCCCTTCCCAAATGCTGGTGCTCTTGTTCTTCTTCTTCTTCTTTTTTTTTTGTAAAGATTTACGTATTTATTTTGAGAGGGTAAGTTACATAGAAAGAGATCTTTCATCTGCTGGCTCATTCCCCAAATGGCCACAACTAACATATATAGCCTTGACTTTTGCCAGGAACCAGAGCCCCAAGTACTTGGGCCATCGTCAGCTACTGTTGCAGGTGCATTAGCAGAGGGCTAGATCAGAAGTGCAGCAGCTGGGACACACACTGGTGCTCATACGGTACAGTGGCATCGTAGGCAGCAGCTTTAGCTACTCTACTACAACATTGACCCCCACACATTTTTTGAGACTTTTTCAAATTTTGTGTCTGCTTAGCCTATTCATAATTAACAGAAGCATGGAAACCTACGTTTATGGAGATTTTTCTGTTTTCTCCATTATTTCTATATACTTTTACTTTATATATTTTGAAAGGTCTTTTTTTTTGTCATTCTGTGTTTTTTTCAATGTGTCTCTTATGTGTCTCATAATTTTATATGGCAACCTTTAATTTCTGACAAGCTCGATGAAATCCTTTGTATGCATTATAGATACATATGTTTCTGCCATCTTTTAAAAATTGTACTTGAATTGCTTTTTTCTGTAATATTTCACTCTTTTAAAAAAAGAGATTTATTTATTTAAAATGCAGAGTTATAAAGAGAGAAAGGGAGAGACAAAGAGAGAGGGGGAATGAGAGAGGTCTCATGTGTTGGTTTACTCCCCAAATGGCTGCTGCAGCCAGAGCTGGGCCAGTCCAAAGCCAGAAGCCAGGAGCTTCTTCCAGGTTTCTCACATAAGTTCAGAGGCCCAAGTACTGGGGCCATCTTCTGCTGGTTTCCCAGGTGCGTTAGCAGAGAGTTGGATCAGAAGTGGAGCAGCCAGTGCTCAAACTAGCTCCATGCAGTATGTAGGTGTCAGCTTTACCCACTACACTGCAGTACTAGTGCCTATAATATTTTTGTTACTTATTTTTGGCTGATTATATCATTGTTATTCTTGTTATAAACTCTAATTTTAAGTGACTATTTGTAAATTTGAGCTATATTTGTCTTAACAGATTCTAAAGTTAAACCCTGTTTTGTTTCAGAATAATTGCCCAATTCAGGGCCCAGAGTATACCCTGTTTACCTACATGCTGTTGTCTTCAATATTGTAGTGCTAGCTCTTTTTTAATAATTCCATAATTTGGTAATAATTTTACTACATAGACTACTTACTGTATTTTATATGTTAAAGATGTGAAAGTTACATATTATAAATTATTTATAATATAAAATATTGCTTATAAATTACTAAATTACTTCTAAATAAATTACTGTTGTCTGTTGCCATTACAAATGAGCTAAGGTTGAGTACTGGATAAAGCAAAGAGGTGTATTCAGCTCACATTTCAGTTGGCTGAGAGTCCAACATCAGGTGGCCCCACTGAGTCAGCTTCTGCACAGGGTTCCTTGTTTGCATTACATCCTGGCAGGACAAGAGAAGGACCAGGAAGGACAGGAAGCCAGGAGGAGAGCAAGGAAGGAGTGGTTTTGCTCTCTCACAACAACCTTCTCAAGAGAAGTAAGCAGGCTCTTCTGAGAACTGCATGAATTCCTTCCAAGAGCAGTGTTCCGATTGAAGCTGTTGTAGGTCTCAGCTGTTGGGACAACCTGCTCTGGCCTTCTACCCACCACTCACCTCTCCCAACTGAGGCTCAGTTTGCTTCATGGTGATTGGATGAGTGTGGAGAGAATGCTTTTGGAAACTTCTCTACTTGGAAAACACTAAGTACAGTTTGGCCATGGATCCAATTCCACAAGATGATAGTCTCTCAAAGCATCTCGTCTACCATTTTCTTTCCTCAGAAATGGCAACTTAAAAGTTTTCAACTAATCTACATTTATCTGACTTATATTATTTGTGCTTTTTTTTTTTTTTTTTTGAAAGAAAGAGTGAACACCCTTCTCACTTCCCAAATGCCTGCAATGGCCAGAGCTGGCCTTGAGTGAAAGCTGGAAGTTTGAAACGCAATCCAAGTGTCCCATGTGGGTGGCTGGGATCCAATTATTTGAGCCAGCTCAAGTAATTCTCCCAGGGGTCTATATTAGCAGGAAGCTAGAGTCAGTAGCCACACAGCCAGTTGACAAAGCCGCCTACTTTCTTACGGGATGTGGGTGTCTGAGCCAGTATCGAAGTCGTTAGGCCAAGTGCCCGTCCCCCTTTGTTTTTGAAGTCCTTTCAGCCTCCATTCTCAATGCCAAAGTCATTTTATGAAAATAATACATTTCTTTGTGTCATTTAATGTATCAAAATATAAGAAACACATGAAATGGCCAAGAAGGGGCTTGCTTGTACATGCTATTGTAATCTTCTTTGTTCTGAAGAATATAGAAAGACCTGCAGCTAACAGTTCCAATTTCTTGTGTGTATTACTGATTCCTTATACCTTCAGAGCAAAAGAGATATGTAAGCATATGTTCCTGGGACGATAATAACCTGAGTTTTTCTGGGTGTTTTCTGAGTAGAATACTGTTAAGACCTTTTGTCATCTTTCCCTTTCTTTCCATGGGAAAATGTGTAGATGTTTCCCCGATGAATAGGTTGTTTTCAGCCCTGTATCAACATTGTAATGAGGAGAGACTTTTTATTTTCAACGAATATAATAGGAGTTGCTGCAATTGCCTGCTACTAACAAGTGCTTTAAAATACAGCTAATTAAATCGGTTAGGGACAGTCAAGCTTGCCAGGTCTTTTAGTGAGGCTTTTGTGACTGGAATGGAGACTTTCTCAAATGACTTTTTTTTATGGTAGTACATGTTTTACAATGAAATGTCATAGGGTTATTTGGTTTTGTGCAAGTTACGTATTTAACAAAAGCTTGTTTTCTTCAAGTTACAAGATTTAGAATGTAAGGAGCATAAGCTGGAAGTTTTCAGAAAACTGGCCAAAGGGTAGATGGTTATTTTAAAGTTGTGTTTGCTATTTTGGCTAAACACAATAAAATTATTTATTGTCCAGAGTCTACATTTATTAGTAAGTAGACATAAAAGAAAGTACTCACTGTTTGACTTCATTTCTGGAAATAATGTTTTGATTGCTGTGCTTACACTAGAAATATTGTAAGAAAATTCGAGTTGTACGGCAGTATGTATTTGGCCAACATGTCCTATTGCACTTTGCATACTTTGAATGGTTAGTAGATATAAATTTATAATTCTTTATTTTTGGCATAATATAAAAGTTTCCAAGACAGAAACACTGTGTCATATGATTTTTTTTCTTATAGAGAAAGACACCAAAGCAAGGTTTAGAATACTCCTCAGAGAGGAGCCAGGAAAAGATATTTAAGGAGTTTGGGCTTTCAATGTGGCTACATTAATATTTATGTTCGTAGTCACTGAACTGTGTGGCTGGAAGCTCCTCTGGTTTCTCTACAGTTTATTTTGCCTGCTTGTAACTTGAGAACATTAGATGTCCTTAACTAACAACAAAGAAATTAGGTGCAGAATGTTTCATTTCTTGATATTAAAGTCTTAGCATATTGGAGATCCTGATCTTGAAATTTATTTTATTTCACAAAAATTGCTGCCAGGGAAACATTCTTGGATATAGAAAAGCCAAAAGTATTTTATGAGTTATCATGTTTTCTATAACTTAGAGTAAAAGATATTCTCAAAGTTTCAGTTTGGATCAGTTTGAAGTATGCAGATCCTTTCAATTTAGGATAGATTTTATAATATGATTCTTTTTTTCTTCCTGCTTTTACTAGTGTGATTTGGTTTTGTACACTCATTCTGTAAATTTCAGTCTTGTCTTGAATTTAAACGTGCAAGGACTTCACCATGTTTGATGAAGACTCTTTTTTTTTCCCATTCTTAATTTGTTTTATGCTTTTGCAGGTGTAGGGCTTCCTCTCCCCCCTCCTCTCTCTCCTTATTTTGTGGTGAAATAGTCTATTGGGCATAATCTTGACTCCAACTTTCTGCTCTTTATGTGGGTCCTGACACTGTTGGCATAGACAATGGCAGAAAGTTGAATATTTTGTTGTCCAGTTATGTTTAGAAGTTTCATTGGGGGCCTACTTTCAATAGAGGTGTAGTCTGTCGATTCTCTTTGATTCTGGTATTCTGATTGCCATTACATCCTTCATTTGTGAGATTACAAATATGTGTTTATTGACCTTTATTTTAAAAGTCAGCATGAGAGTGACTGAATTTCAAATCCCTGAAAGTTTTGTGTAGTGTCAATGTAGTTAGGTAACCACAGGAGGTGAAAATATCTTTGTAATAAAATATTAGTATTATAAGCTATCATTAACACAATTAAAGTATAAAAATCCTGTTTGAAATCAGCTGCAATTTTGAATAATCAGCATCCTGTTTTGTATATATTTTTATACTTGATCTTAGCCAAAAGGCCGAGAACCGATTGTATATATTTTTATATCCGATCAGTTGGCATCTTTAACTTAACTCATATGCATAATAATGAGTAGTTAATCAGTAGTTAATTTGTTCAAACTGCAGGCATAGTTCTGCCCTTGTGTTTGAATGAATCTCCCTTTCAAGATAAAAAAATTTCTTTTTTGTTGTTGTTCTTTGTTTAATATAGAATCTAGACAATGCATGGCAATAATAATAATAATAATAAAATAATAATAGGAAATCTGAAGAACCTGATCATGTCTGTTTCTTTTAACAGCAAGAGATTCTTTATTATTATCCAATGTCGGAAGCATCTCAGAAACTTAAAAGTGTAAGAGGAATTTTTCTCACTCTCTCTGACATGTTGGAAAATGTAACTGGAACACAAGTTACAAGGTAACCACCTTTATTTGGCTTTAACTCTGTTTCAATTATTTCTCACCTTGAAACAAGTGTGTATAATACAAATATCTGTCGATTTTGATTTCTTCTGTTGTTTTTGGCAGTCAGTTACTTCACTTAGACTGCAGGTCCTCAGAACACCTGTAAGTCTGGATGTGTAGATGCACTTTAAATGGCAGAGTTGGACTAAAATGACCTATATTAATTTCTGGAAGCTATTAAGATAAGAGAATGGCAATATTATGAGTCTTCACCTTTTTCTGTTTTCATCTTGACTGTTAACATGCTAGACTGTATCTATGTGTTTGGAAAAAGTGACTGAACACTGAATTTTTCATATGCTTACTATCATGTACTTAGAACATTAGAAATGTACAACAGGAGGAATATTCAGAATTCACTGTCATCATGAAGTTTTATACAGTGATGAGTCAGTAAGACTAATGTCAAATATTACAAAAACAGAGCACATAATAAAAACATGAGAATGTTTATGTCTGACATATATTCTGGCTCCTTATTTTCATACCTGGGTCTTCTGGGCTAGAGTCATGTCTCTCTTTTTTTGGTAATCTCTTTGGCAAGTCATGTTCATAGATAAATAGTCATATAATGTTTTGCTGAATTAACCAACTGGGGTGGAATATAGTTGCAGACAGCTAATTAATAGTAGCAAAAGAACTTCAACATGTTTTTTTTGGTATATATATATATATATATAAAATTTATTTGCTTTTATTGGATAGGGAAATTTACAGAGAGAAAGATCTTCCTTCTGCTGATTCATTTTGCAAGTGGTCCCAATGGCTGGAACTAAGCTGATCTGAAGCTAGGAGCCAGGAGCTTCCTCTGGCTCTCCCATGTGGGTACAGGGTCCTAAATCTTTGAGCCGTCCTCTGGTGCTCTCCCAGGCCACAGGCAGGGAGTTGGATGTGAAGTGGAGCAGCTGGAACATGAGCTGGGGCCCATTTGGGATCCTGAAGCTTGAAAGGGGAAGATTTAACCACTGAGCCATCATACTGGGCCCCAAACATATTTTCTCTAATGAATCTACCTTTTCTATAACGAATCTACTTTTATCTGGCTGAGTTATTTGGTGGTTTTGTTTTGTTATTATTTTTTAAAATAAGTGCTTTAGAGTATATTGATAACATTTATTTGGTTTTCTAAACATTTTAGAATATGTGTATTATAGAATTCCTAGCATTTTCTGTGTGGGTAAAAATTTGCCTATTGGGGTTAGCACAATGACTCAACTAGCTAATTTGCCTGCATGTGCCAACACCACATATGGGTACTGGTTCATTCCAGCTGTTCCACATATTACCTAGCTCCCTGTTTGTGGCCTGAGAAAGTAGTGGAGGGTGACCCAAAGCCTTGGGACCCTGCATCTGTGTGGGAGATCTGGAAAGGGCTCCTGGCTCTTGGCTTCAAATTGGCTCAGCTCTGGCCATTGCAGTCGTTGGATGAGTCACTCAGTAGATGAAAGATCTTTGAATCTCCTCTCTGTAAATCTGCCTTTCTAGTAAAAATAAATAAATCTTGAAAAAAGAAAAAGAAATGTTCCTACTAATCCTATGGTCATGAATCATACCATATATAAACTTTCATGAATGATTATTATCATAATGAGACATTGAAGATATTCTAACCTTATTTTGAGTTTTTTTTTTTTATCAGCTCATCTCTCCTTCTAAATGTGAAACAACAAGTTCATGTAGCTTATTGGAAAGAATCTGACAAGTTGTTGTTAATTGGCCTGCCTGCCGAAGAGTAAGTTGAGATTTTTGTTTACCTTAAAAATCATATCCAATATGTTGTTAGCAAGGTCCGTTTCATGAAACAGTTGATGTCATCAGAAGTTGAGCTTCTGAAGCAGTTTTATGATTTGCAGGTGTGTGCACTCATAAGCTAGTTGGCCTGCGTTCTTTTGGGAGAGGTGGTCCAGAAGTGCAGGAAAGGTGGGTACTGTCTGTACACATCCCTCTCTCATGGCCAGTACAAAGGGCACCCAGAGATGAGCTTGACCTCCACTCAGACTTCTGATAATACTGTCACTTTGATGTTGGGTTTTACAGGCAGTTTGTTGTTTTTGCTTTTTACTATTGGAAATCATGGAGAATTAACAGTCAATAAGAGGATATTTTGCCCTGTTGTTGATCACTTTTGGACAAAATAATATGTAACTCTAAAGGGACTTCTCTAATTATACTTTATATTCTTATGATCTCCTTAACTTTTGGGGGAAGGTTTTTTTTAAAAGATTTATTTATTTATTATTATTGGAAAGACAAATATACAGAGAGGAGGAGAGACAGAAAGGAAGATCTTCCATCTGATGATTTACTCCTCAGGTAATTGCAATGGCTGGTGATGAGCCGATCTGAAGCCAGGAGCCAGGAGCCTCTTCTGGGTCTCCCACATGGGTACAGGGTCCCAAGGCTTTGGTCCATCCTTGACTGCTTTCCCAAGCAGGTAGCTGGATGAGAAGCGAGGCTGCCGGGATTAGAACTGGCACCCGTATGGGATCCTGGCACGTTCAAGGTGAGGACTTTAGTTGCTAGGCTACTGCACCGGGCCAGGGGAGGGATGTTTTAAAATATATCTTAAGTTAGTAATTGGAGCTAATAACAGGATTTGTATGACAAACTGATTAGGACTCCAAGGATTTCTGCAAGTATTTTACTGTGTTTGTTTGTCTTAAAGATTTATTTATGCAGAAGAATTAGAGATTTATTGTACTTGGAAAGTCAGAGTTACAGAGAGAGAATGAGATCTTGCATCTGCTGGTTTACTCTCCAGATGGCCACAACGGCCAGTGGTGGGCCAGGCCAAAGCCGGGAGTCAGGAGGGCATCAAGAACTTTTTCCATTTTTTTTTTAAAGATTTCTTTATTTTTACTGGGAAGACAGATTTACAGAAAGAAGGAGATACAGAGAAAGATCTTCTATCTGCTGGTTCACTCCTCAAGTGCCACAATGGCCAGAGCTGATCCTGTCTGAAGCTAGGAGCCAGGAGCTTCTTCCAGGTTTCCCACATAGGTGCAAGATCCCAAGTACTTAGGGCCATCCTCTGCTGCCTTCCCAGGCCATTAACAGAGAGCTGGATAGGAAGTAGAACAGCTAGAACTCAAACCAGTGCCCTTATGGAATGCTGGCACTGCATGTGGTAGCCTTACCTGTCACCCCATTATTTTACATTTATATTAATCTTAGTTATTCTTCAAAATCAACCTCAGTTTATTTTAGTAATTACCAGGTCAATTTTTCATATGAGGAAAATAAAACAAAGATAAGATTAAATACCTTGTGAAAGGTCCCGTAATTGAATGAGACAGGACAGGAAGTGAATGAGGGCCTGTGTTAATTCTATACGGCTTCTCTAATGTCACAGAACATTAAACTAGAGGCGTAAGGAGAATGGGAATGAACTACAAATATGGAGAACAGCCCTAAGGAAAAGAATTTATTTTTTGCATCCTTGTTTAATGATTTTTAAAACATGACTTAGTATTACGTACTTTAAAAATATTTGGATAATTTCTATTAAATCATTAAATATATTTTAGTCTCCCCAATCATGGCATAACGTCTACAAGTAGTAATGAACCTATCAAAATAAACATTGTGGAATTGTTGTTGTGATACAGTTGTTTTAATTGCCACTTCTGGGGGTCAGTGCTATGGCAGAGTTGGCTAAGCCCCTGCCTACAGTGGAAACCCAGAGGAATCTTCTGGCTCCTGCCCTTGGATCAGTCCAGTTCTGGCCATTGTGGCCATTTGCAGAGTGAATCAGAGGATGGAAGCCAGATTCTCTAGAAGGTGCCATCCACTGTTGACAAAGAACACAGTCATCTGGGCCCGGCACCATGGCCTAGTGGTTAAGGTCCTTGCCTTGCGCACGCTTGGATCCCATATGAACTCCGGTTTATATGCCAGCAGCCCCACTTCCCATCCAGCTCCCTGCTTGTGGCCTGGGAAAGCAGTCAAGGATGGCCCAAAGCCTTGGGACCCTGCACCTGTGTGGGAGACCCCAAGGGGCTCCAGGTTCCTGGCCTCAGATCAGCTCAACTCCCATTGTTGCAGCTGTTTGGGGAGTGAATCATTGGATAGAAGATCTTCCTCTCTGTCTCTTCTCTTATCTGTTTATCTGACTTTCCAATAAAAAATTCTTTAAAAAATTCTTTTAAAAACATGGGTTCAGCTCTGACTGTTGTAGCCATTTGCAGAGTGAACCAGGGATGGAAGATCTTTCTCTCCATGAATCTGCCTTTTCAACAACAATAAATAAATATTTTTTTAAAAAGAGGAGAGAAGTAGGGCCCAGCGCGGTGGCGCAGTGGTTAAGGTCCTCGCCTTGCATGCCCGGGATCCCATATGGGCGCAGGTTCTATCCCGGCAGCTCCACTTCCCATCCAGCTCCCTGCCTGTGGCCCGGGAAAGCAGTCGAGGACGGCCCAAAGCTTTGGGACCCTGCACCTGCGTGGGAGACCCGGAAGAGTCTCCTGGCTTCGGATCGGCATAACATCGACCGTTGCATTCACTTGGGGAGTGAATCATTGGACGGAAGATCTTCCTCTCTGTCTCTCCTTCTCTGTATATCCGCCTTTCCAATAAAAAAAAAAAAAATAAATAAATCTTTAAAAAAAAAAAAAGAGGAGAGAAGTAAGCCATACTTCTTGAGGGAAAGTGTATCAGAGAATTTGTGGATATGCTTTACCGTTTACCATTACAAGAAGGTACTCCAAAGGCTTCTGTGAAAAGTATCAAAGTGACTTTTTAAGAGTTTATATATTTGAAAGGCAGAGTGGCAGAGTGACAAAGGAGGATCTTCTGACTGCCACTTCATTTCTCTAGTGATAGCCATGACTTGGACTTGGCTGGGCCAAAGCTGGGAACAGGACCTCTGTCTGGATTTCCCATGTAGGTGACACAGCCCAGGTCTACCAGGACCATCTCCTGCTTTCCCAGATGCATAAGCAGGGAGCTGATTCACAGGTGGGGCAGCCAGGACTTGAACTTAGGTTTGGAAATGGGATGCTAGTGTTGCTGGTGGTGATGTAACGCATATGCCACAGTGCCTGTCTCCCCACCCCACCATTCCCGCCCCCAAATGATTATATTTTGAAGGTGGCTTTAATTTTGGAGAGATAAGCTATCATAAAAATGGAGCTGAGGGTATTTAGCATGAGGTTGTAATGGTGTGACATACACTGGAAGATGGTGCTTGCTCTGTAATTTGCATTTTGCTGTCTAAAAGGGGATTCTGATGAACCCTGCGAGGGGATTTCTTTAGGACAATAAGTTAAACCATAAAACATGAAGGAGTTGTTTTAAAAGTGAATTTGCACAAATTGGAGAGCATCTAGAATAGGATAGTTGAAGTTGCAGGGGCAGAATAAAACTTGTAGTAGCCCAAATGGTGGAAGAGAAGAAACAGAAAACACGAAGGTGAGATACAGATAGCACAGGCAGGGATGGGGAGAGGCCTGGCTGGGGTGCTGGGGCTGAGGCTGCTCATCTGCACCAAAGGCAGTCAGTAGTGGGTGGATCCTGAAGCTAAGAGAGCTCTGGCCTGTTTCTCAAGTTTTGAAGAGCCATCTTCTCTAGATATTTATGTCATTTCTCTCTTATACTGCATTATAAAAATAAACCCCAGCACCCTCTGTATCCCTCACCCAGTGCTCTTGCCAACCACTCTATACTAGATTCCTTATCTGATTCTGTCTAGTTTCCCATCACCCGGCAAAACAGGTGTCATCAATACTCTCCTTGGTCTGCACTGCAGAAAAAAGTATTGACAGAGCCTCCTTGGCTTTGACTCCTGTCTGTAGCCCCAGCACAACAAGTGGTAGCGACAGTTGCACTGGCAGCCTTGGGGCTTTTCCTTGCCTGCCTCTCTGCCACAGCCTGTGTTTCCCTCCCCACCGTTGTTCCCATCACAGGCAGGCTCGGAGAAGCACTGGTCTGCAGATGTGGGGTGAGGTGTGTGGTCCAGGAGTGTGTGTTTTCAGACGGGAAGATCTTCTGTGATGGCGGTAGCACAGAACAGGAACCTCACCTGGAAATCCAACGTGCATGGCAGGGAGGCGCTTTGCAGTAGGAAGGTGGATGTGTGACCACTGGCATGCTCCACTAACTTCGTAGCCTTGGACTTCAGCCCATCTTATAGCATAATGTGAAATTAAGACCCACCAAATTGAACTCTTATAAGCCTTCAATGAGAAAATAAGTCCAGAGGGCCAGAGTTGTGGCACAGCCAGTAAAGCTGCTACCTGTGATACCAGCATCCTATATGTGTGCTAATTGTAGCCCCAGACACTCTACTTCCAGCTCCCTGATAAAGGCCTGGGCCATTATTTGTCACAGTAGTTTAAGTTTCAGTTGAGGTCTGGAAACTACCAGGCAGTGTCAAGAATTCAGCATTTTGGGCTGGTGTTGTGGCATGGCAAGTTAGCCATGTGACTACCAGCCTGAGTCTTGGCTGCTCCTCTTCCATCCCAGCTGCTTGCTCCTGCACCTGAGAAGGCAGCAGTGGGTGGTCCAAGTACTTGCCACTTCCAAGAGACCCGGGTTGAATTCCTGGTCTCTGGTGTTGCCTGGCCTCGCCCTGGCTATGCAACCATTTGGGGAGTGAACCAGCAGGTGGAAAACCTCTTTTTCTGTCTGTTTCTCTTTCCTGCCTCCTGCCTTCTGAATTTAAAAAAAAAAAGTTCAACAAAAAAATTAGGTGTTTATTTCTATGGGACGGGACAAGTTGCTATATTAAGTATTGTGTATGTGCTAATTCCATTTAATCGTCAAATTCCTGAGAAAGGCTTAGTGATTAGGGTTCCATTTACACATGAAGAAACTGAGTTCCTGAAGAGGGTTAAAGAATTCACTATTTCTTTTTTTAAGATTTGTTTTTATTGGAAAGGCAGATTTACACATAGAAGGAGAGATTAAAAAAAAGATCTTCTGTCTGCTAGAATGAGAAGTGGAGCAGCCAGAACATGAGCCAGTGTCCATATGAGATCTAAGCACGTGTAAGCCAAGGATTTAGACACTGAGTTATCACGTCAGGTCCAAATAGTTTACTTTTAGATAGAGGTACATTTTAACAAAAAATCATGTTTGAAACACACTAGAAGCCTCAATGTCAAATCAATTGCTGGTGTCATGTAAAATCACTTTTCACAACCATGTTCACAACTGACACGGTTTTCACATAAAATGTAAAAGACGGTTTTACTTCTGTTGGATAAATATTATTTTGTTGTGTTTTATTTGAGTGGATGTTTTGCTTTTTTAGTGTTCCGCTTCCTCGGCTAAGGAACCTGATGGAAGATGTCACCCGAACCTTGAAGTTTATGTATGGATCGTTAGATGGGTAGGTGCCTTGAACTGGATCTCAGGTTTTAAGGATATGTTTCCATATCACCATTTGTAACTAATACTGTTTCTTGCTGGAAATAATGTGGCTGTTCCTCCTTCTCTCCTCATGTTTGATTACTGTCTTCTATTTTACAACTCTGCATTTTTAAAATTTCATACGTCAGTGAAACTTTCAGTGAGTTATGTAACTGCTGTTACATTGTGAATACTCTTTCTAAAGGAGTAAATGTCAGAGTATTTATTGTACAAAAAAGAATAAAGTATCAAATGCATTTCTGTGTTTTTCTAAACTTACACATTATCAAATTCATTGTCTTAAAATATGATACTTCTTTCTCAAAAAATTTTTTTTGGTAAAATAGTATGGACTCTTGCTTTAAAAAAAAGGCATTCTGTAGAGAAGTGACTGTGTGTGTTCTGCCACATATTTCTATACAATAGGAGTATGGAAAAACTTTATGCACCAGTGGGCTTACTTATGCATATTTTCCCTTTTTTAACTTATATATTGTGATTCCTATTTCTTGATTTGAAGGAGGAAATTTTAGGTAATTATTCAACATTTGAGCACACAATGTTATGGATGAAAAGTAGATGTTTTTCTCTATGGAAATTGTGTAAGCTCAAGTATGTCTGGGGGTCCAAATTATATCTTTGCTTCCAAAGCTTTAACAGCATATCAGTGCAAAAATCAGGGGAGAATCAAGATGGCGGAATAGGGTAAGGACACGTTTAAATGGAAGGAGAAACATATAATCAGGATGAAGCAGAGAGAACATATTTCAGGAAATAAGAAAGGACAGAACAACAACAGAGGGGTACCTGGAGACTGACAGACACAGGAAAGCAGCAGGCACAGCAGTGTGGTGTTGTAGTGACTGATACTCCAGTACAGCGATCTGAACTCCACCAGCAGCTAGAACTCCACCAGCAACCAGGTGAGAAGGGACTTTCACTGGGAGCTTGGGAGGTGAACCCAGACAAAGAACTGTCCTTCCTGCTGGTCCGTTTGATTTGACCAGGAGCAGGGACAGAGCAGCAAATCTTAGACGGGCAGTGCGAGAACAGAGTAGATTTCATAGCACAGTCAGCCCCCTAGAGCTGAATTGGCGCCATTTTGCCTAAGGAGGAAAAGGCAAGGTAAAGGACAGAGCATGTGCTGAGCTGGGAGTGTGCTCATTTCTGACTAAGTGAACTGCAATGACGTGGTATTCTACGGGTTCCACCCAGGGCAGGTCTGAGTAGCCCTCAGATCTGACAGCCAGCAGATCAAGAACTGTAGTGGTGGTAGTCAGGCGCCATTTTGCGTACTATGGCAATAGCTTTGGGACTGCAGGGGTCAACAGTGAACTGCGCATGTGCTGAGCTCATGAGAACTTGCTGAAGTCCCAAAGGAAAATAATACCAAGTGTGGCATCGTATGGGTCAAAATAGGTCTGTGTGGCACCCAGACCTAACGTCCAACAGGTTCCAACAAGATCAGCACCACCAACAACCTAACTAGATAGGACACCTGGTGTCTCCCTAATCCTGGGACCTGCTCCAAACAGAAGTGGGAGAAAGGTTGCAGAGACAACGGTGCAGCCTCAGCACATTATCACAGGAGGTACAGAGTGGTGAGCCAGGAGCCGGGGCTGTGGAGACCTCGGTGAAAATCTGACATAAAAACCCAGACCTGGAACTCACTGGAGGTTGTGGCACAAGTGACTGTAAGCAAAAAGTTGTGTACTAACTACAATAAGTAAAATTGCATTGTAGACCTGTGGGTGACAGAGCTTAGAAACCTGCCCCAAGGAGAAGAATCTGATAACCAGAAGTACAATGATCAAGAGCAAAAGAAGAGACAAAGGCACAATGAATATTACCAAAAACATCCCTGCAAAGGAACAAAACCCTTCGCCAACCTCAGAGTTAACTGAGGAAGACATCGAGAAAATGGGGGACACAGAATCCATAAGACTCATTTTAAAGATTCTGATGAAAAATGAGAAGCTCATGCAAGAGTTCAAAGAATTTAAGGAAGCAATAAAACAAATCAAGGCTGATATATCAGAAATCAAGAACACAGTAGAGCAAATTAAAAGTACAGTGGAGAGTCTAAAATAGAATGAAGCAAGCAGAAGAAAGAATCTCAGAATTTGAAGATTATCTCCTGTCACCAGGGGGAAACAAACAAAAAGCTGGAAGCAGAGATGATCAGGCCAAAAAAAGTATTCAAGAATTGAAAGACACTATTAAGAGGCCAAATATAAGAGTTATGGGAGTCCTGGAAGGTGCAGAAAGAGAAGCTGAGTTTGCAAATGTATTTAATGAAATAAAAAAGGAAAATTTCCCAAATTGGGGAAAGAATTGTGAAGCAAGATCCAGGAGGGACAAAGAACTCCCAACAGGCCTGATCAAAAGCGATTTTCACCATGACACATGATTCTCAAGCTCTCTTCAATTGAACACAAGGAAAAGATCCTTAAATGTGCACATGAAAAAAAACAATTGACATATAAAGGAATGTCAATTAAACTCAAAGTTGACCTCTCCCAGGAAACTCTACAGCCAAGAAGAGAATGGGGTGACATATTCCAGATTCTAAAAGAAAAAAATTGTCGGCCTAGGATAACATACCCAGCAAAGCTTTCTTTTGTCTTTGAAAATGAAATAAAATTGTTCCACAGTAAAGAAAAGTTAAAAGAATTTGCCTCTTTCAAACCTGCCCTACAAAGGATACTTCAAGATGTTCTCTTGACAGAGAGAAGGGATAGCACCAAACAAAACCAAAGGCAAATGGGAAGACGATCCCAGTAAAATGACAACAGAAGACTAAACCGATGAACAACCCATTCCTAAAATGAAAGGACCAAAGTTCCACCCATACATATTAAACGCTGTTGTAAATGGCTTAAGCTCAATCAAACATCATAGATTAGTAGACTGGATTAAAAAACAAAACCATATGTTTATTGTCTGTAGGAGACACACGTCAACAAAGATCAATGGAAACTATATCACATGGGTTTTGTTGTTTTCTGTTGGTTTCATCTCTTCAAAACACTTTCTTTTGATTAAATCATTTAATGACTTGTAAATCATGCAGTGGCATCATTTTCTTCAAGAAGGTTCTTGATTTTCATTTCTTCAGCTACACGTTAGTCATTTAATAGCATGTTGTTTAACTTCTTAGTGTTATTAATTTCTTTTTTTTCCCGGATGTTGAGTTTGTTTTGTAGCTCTTCATTTAAGGGGATGTATATAGTGGCTGTGTAATGGAGACTGTCATATCTAGTAACATGTCATTTAACTTCATGGCATTGTAAAGTTCTAATTTTTCTTTCTGTTGTTGATTTTGTATCATGACTTTTCATTTAAGGGAATAACAGTAGTTGTGTAATGGAGACTAACATCCACATGTGAGGATGCAGTGTGGTATGCATTTCTGCTTCCAGACAAAGATGGACTTACAATGAAACTGTTCACTGTATCTTAACAATAGGATTCTGGACTCTCTGCCATTGTCCATGCCCGCAATGATGGACATATGACTGAGTATGAAGTACTATATATTAGTAATGATATAGAGGAACTAGGTAGGAGAGAGGAGGGTATTGGGGAGGGGATAAGGGAATATGGAACTGTATCGTAAAGTGATAGCAATAATAATAAAATAAAAGAGCATATCAATGCAAAAATCAAATGACAGTCTATACATTTTTTTCCCCTAACCACAATGGCATCAGTTCTGTGTCTGTCTCTAGTGGATCTCTGTTGCCACTGTTCTTGAAACATGTGAAGTAATTTTCTGTAGTTATGTCATCTGAGAAAATGACCAGGTTTGCAGTGTGCTTCTCCAGAGTGGCCTCTGAGGAGGTGTAGCCTGGTCAAGCACAGTTACTGACCAGCGTTTTCCACATGAGTGAGCTCCAAATGGTTGTGCGTCTACAAATGCTGCGTTACCCTTGTACTGATAAGGAGATTTCTAACCAGTGTAAAGTAGGTGTGTGAAAAAAACACACACACATGCGCCAAACAAAAGTGTAGGTGTGAGTCCAAATGACCACCTTTAACTTTACATTAGGGAAGCAAACTTGGCTATATTTTGAGACAGAGTAAAAGTAACATATTGTTTGCATAAATGGTGCTTCAGTTCTTTCCATGGTTGACAGGCCCCTTGATTTAAACATGTGGACCATGTATAGCACCTTCTACAGTGTACATTTGAGAAGAGGAATTTAAGGTCAGAAATGTAGACAGTCAGTTTCTTAACACTATCAATAACATCCAACAGTGATTCTTATTAAGAGAGAAGGAAGAAAAGGGAGCACCTTTATAACTGGACAAGACCATCCAGTCCCCTCAACAACACACAGAAAAATGACTATCTTTTCCATACTTTAGATTACTAACTTGCTACTCTTATTTCTCCAGTGCCTTTTGCCAGACTGAGAATGTTCCTCGCTTGGATCATTTTTTTAGTTTGTTCTTTCAAAGAACACTTCAGCCTGCTAAACTACATTCCATCCCTGGTTCCAGTGCCCAGCAATATGACGCCTCCAGTGCCATACTTTTAGACAATCTGCCTGGAGTTCGATGGCTCACACTTCCACAGGAAATCAAGGTAACATTACTTGTCAGTAAATAACAATTAGAGCCATTGGTCTTACTAGCATCCATTATCTTCTCATTTTTTTTTCATTTGCAGATCATGGATAAGAATTAAAGATAATAGGTTCACGAGGTCTAGTACAATAAACTTAGAAACACAAATTATTCTTTTAAAATAGAAACTGGCTCTATTGTGATACTTAAATATTGTTTGAATTCAGAGTACTTTTCAGAAATGATAATTAAATGATGTGTCTTACTTTAGAATTTAGTGATTTGGGTTTCATAATGCTAGCTAATAATGTTAGCAGTATGCCTCTACTGAGATTTGAAACATTGATTAAATGATTAATTAATACACCATATTTTTTCTTTATTTTTGATAATATTTGCATAGTTAATTAGTGCAAAAAGGTTCAAGGACTACAGGAAAATGGGTAAGACTATTATTTCCACATTGTTTTATCCTGTATTTGGGGCAAAGGGGGAAATATAAGGAGAAGCCCCATCCAGTCTCCCACCCGTCCCAGGTCCCTGATATGGGGCATGTTCCAAGGATCTTGCTCAAGCAGTTTTGTTGGTTCAACAGTTCTGAATTGCTGCCAATATCTCCATTCCAAGCGCAATGAGGTTGCTGCAGAATCCACTGATAGACATAGTCCACCTTAGAGTCTCTGTTTGCCCAGTTTTTCACTGCCAACATGTGGCTGGGGTAGTTGATTGATTTGTTCTGTCCTCTGTTGTGATGCCAGGTATCCTCCGCAGGTTCCGATAGACTGCCATATCCTCCATGTCCACCTGGTTATGATCTCCACTGCTCCATCTGAGCCTCTGAGGAGGCTTGGCTCTGAAACTTGCACTCCATGGCAGACCATGGGTTCTGAGTCTGGCAGTTCAATTGGGGAGATCCCAAAAGAAACAGTCCATTGCCCCAGTCAGCTGGTGGTTGCAATTGCTGGGTCAGTTCTGTTGCCAGCCCTGTCTTCCACTGGAAACAATGGTTGTTGCAGTCCAGCCTGTTCCTGCCCACTTCTTCTAGGCCCTCACACAAACCAATGGGAGCTGCAGCCTAGTTGGGGCAACTCCCCATAACCCCCACCAGGCCGGCACCCTGCCCTGGTTCCCATGCTTGCCAGTATATGCAGCAGATTAGTCCAATCTGTCCTACATCCCATTTAACTCTCATACATGTCAATGGGCATTGAAACCTAGTTCAACCTAACCAGCTCCACTGGTTAGGTAATGGAAGATGGCCCAAGGCCTTGGGACCCGACACCTATGTGGGAGACATGGAAGAGACTCCTGGCTCCTGGTTTTGGGTCTGCTCAGCTCTGGCCATTTCAGCCATTTAGGAAGTGAACCAAAAGATGAAAAAATTTTCTCTCTGTGGATTTGCCTTTCCAATTAAAAAAATACATAAATAAAATAAAATAAATGCTGGGGACTCGGACCAAAGCCTAGGTGACCAAGTTCTAGGCTTCGAGCAACCATTGTGCCTATTGGGCACCAGACTCTACCTGCTGGCTGCCCAGCGGTGAACTCTGGGGATTTTAGGATATGTAATTGCTACCTAGAGACATCCATGGATAAACCGAAGTGTGAGGGTAGGTGAGAGATGAATTCTAGGTGATTCCCAGCAATGGGATCACAGAACTTTCTGGTAAGCGTGCAGACTGAGACCTTGTGATTTGGAGGGGAGAGACCATAAGATCTATTTGGGCAGACTGATTTGCCAGCCAAATGGGAATCCTGAGATGGGCTATTAGCATAGAGCATCACTGACTGCCACACACCAGTCCACACTTGCAGCTAGGGATGGGGGCCTATCTGGCAGGCCAGATACCAATACCTGACTGAGTGGTGGAATAGTGGCTCTGTCACACTTGCAGGTCAAGACACTAACCAGCACATGAGAGAACCATGTCCTGGGATAGATTCTGCAGGGGAAGTGTGGGCCGAACTATGTGAAAATACCAGTCCTGCGGGTTAGCTCATGAGCTGGGGTGGTAATGGGCTGAGTTAGGTGTGACCATGAAACCTGCCATCACTAACAGGTAAAGGAACTGACAACAGTTTGGGCAGGTCAAGGCAGCAGCGCCCAAAGATGCATCCTAAAATAGGATGTGGGATGGGCTGAGCTGCAACTAGAAGAGGGTGTATTGGGCAAAGCCAAGCAAACCAAACTCACAGGGAAGAACAGAAATCAGGATGGAGCACAGGTCATGCTAAACTAGGCTCTTACATGGACTGGTCTGCATTTACCAGGGATACTAGGCCACAGTATCGAAGGCAAAGGTTGAGACAGGAGAGGGGTCTTAGCCAATTGGGTCAGAATAACCACTGCATGTGCATAATCTAGGGCTGGGAATAGGCTCGGCTGGGGAGCTTTGAGAATACACCTTAGCTGGATTGCAGTTCCCATGAGAGAAGGCAGGAGCCTGAGTGGAGGCTGCGTTCTGATCTGTATATGGCTGCAATCTCCTTTGGCACAAGTGTGAACTGGGGCTGGGTAAACCTAACCAGGTTAGATGCTGGCACCATCTGGTGCTTTGGAGAACCTGGGTAGATGTAGAACGCACTGGGCTGGGTCTCTGTCCCTACTGAGCCATGTGTGAGCAGTGTTTGGGAATGGACAAGCCTTGTCTGGGCTGACACATGCAGCAGTAAGAACCGGAATGGATTGAAGGCCAGCAATGAGGGCTGGCCCATGGAACCACCAGTATGCGCAAGACCTGGCATAGGGAGAGGTTCTGATGCTGGAACTTGGGAAACTCCTCTGCTTGTGAGCACAAAAACCACGATAGGCAGCAACCCAGACCAGGTCAGAGAAGATACCCGCCAGCATACATTTGGCAAATGTTGGGGGCTGAGCCAGTTCACATCACCTACTGGTGAATCCGAGCACCAGAATAGAGTGGGTTGGGCTGGGTTTGGTCATAACAAAAACCAGTGCACATTACGGAATGCCAAGGTGAGGTGAGCCATACCAGATGTAGCCGTAGTGCCCAAACAGCACATGTAAGAACCAGGGAGGGAGGGGGCAAAGCTGGCAGGGGAAATGTAGGTTCCCATGCTGGACAACCACGCACACTCCAGAGCAGGAGTTGGTATGGGCCAGACCAGACTAAGCAGGGCTACAACACCTGTGGTCCTCATGGGGGCTAGATCAGGGAAAAGCCAGGTTGGGCTGACTGTTCTGACTGGTGCAAGCAAAAATTAGAGTGGGTGAGGGTTGGTTGGGCTTTGCTGCAGCATCAGCTGGCAGGGGATGACACTGGGGGCTAAATGTCTAGTTACACTGCAGAAGCCCCTGGGGAGTGCATAATCCGGGAGTGGAAGTGGCTTAGAAGGGAAATAGTTGGCACCTCCCTCTTGGGTTACCACTCCCCCTGAAGATCATGAAAACCAGGACTGGTGCAGGGGTGGCTAGACAGAAAAGTACCCACCAATAAGTGTGTGGTCTGGATAGTGGAGCTGGTTAGGTTGAACGAGGCTTCAATGTCCACTGACATGTACGAGAGCTAAATGGGAAGTGGGACAGACTGAACAAGCCTGTAGTACATTCTGGCAATTATGGGAACCAGGGTAGATAGCTGCACCCAACTAGGCTGCAGCTCCCACTGGTTTGCGTGAGGGCCCAGTATGAACTGGGCAGGAACAGGCTGGAATGCAATGACCATTGTTTCCAGTGGAAGACAGGGCTGGAAGCAGAACTGACCCAGCAATTGAAATGACCAGCATGTGCATAAGCTGACTGGGGTGACGGACTGTGCCAGACCCATTACTGGCAAGCACACACAAGAATCAGGTCTGGGATCACCTCAGACGAAGTTTCTTTGGAGATCCCTCAAACTGAACAGCTGATCTCAGAACTCCAACCATGAAGAGACTATGTCAGCCAGTGGATTCTGAGAGTAGATTTCATCTTGATTGGAGCAGCGAGATTGGCAGCAATTCAGAACTGATGAACTATGAAAACTACTTCAGCAGGACCCTCGGCGCATGCCTCACATTGGGGACCTGGGATGTGTGGGAGACTGGGCGGGGCTTCTCCCTTTGTTTCTCCCCTAACTCAAAATAGAGGGGAAAGAAAAAAAAATTTTTTAATTAACTTGTGGCTTATCTCTTAAGTTAGTTACCATGGGTAAGACTTTGTTGTGGTTAAGTATTGCCAGTATAGCATATGTACATTTGTATTTCCGGATAATTAGTACTGTGTGATTCACAAAGTCTTTTCAAACATTTTAAAACCAGTGTAGATCACTAGTTAGTACAGAATTTGTTTTGGTATTGAATGAGGCACCATGCCATACCATTTTTTTCTTCCCATGAGAAAAACTCAGATTACATTGCAGTAAAAACCTAATCCAAGATCTGACTCTTCATGAAACTAATTTTGATAGAGCAAATGCTTTTTGACAACTTAATAATCATTCAGATTGATCTTTCAGTCTCCTTGCTCAGTGCTCTAAATCATATAAAAACCTATATGTTTGTGTGTGTGGAAAACTCATCCCTATTTTCATAGCAAAATGTAGGTGTCTGAGAAAGACAAAAAGTAATTAGGTAACTTTACCTTTAAGATAAGAAGAAGACCCTGACTCCAAAACTCATCTGTTCTGGAGTCTTTTGTCCTTGGAAAGCCCCAGATGCCAAGCACACTTGCTGATCCAGAAAGTTCCATCTCATGAAGCCTGCCCTTGTAGATGGCAGATACCCAGGCTTTCATGCCTGTCTCAGAGTGTCTTCTTCAAAGCAACTTCATCTGTCAAAATGAGTAGCCTCTTCTTTCTGTAGTAGCCATGTCCCTTCATGTTCATTAGGGACAGCAGAGCATTTACTTAACACTGAGATTAAATTTAATCACCCAAGAAATTGAAGACATTTAAAAATAGTCCATTTTGATCTTACAAAAACATGGTTAAGCTACCACTTACATGCAGATTTATTTTTCATTGATTTTTTTTAAAGTTTGTACACGTTTAATTAAAAGATTTACATGTTGGGTTCCAACATGGTGGCCTAGTGGCTATAGTCCTTGACTTGCATGCACTGGGATCCCATATGTGTGTCAGTTCTTATCCCAGCTACTTCACTTTCCTTCCAGCGCCCTGCTTATGGCCTGGAAAAGTAGTGAAGGATGGCCTAAAGCCTTGGGATTCTGCACCCTCATGGGAGACCCAAAAGAAGCTCTTAGGTCCTGGCTTCAGATCAGTTTAGCTCAGGTTGTTGTGACCACTTGGAGATTGGACCAGCAGATGGAAGATCTTTGTCTCTCCTTCTCTTTGTAAAATCTGACTTTCCAATAAAGTTAAACAAATATTATAATGGAAAAAAAAAATACCAAGCTAAGAATTCATTGTGAGGTCCAGTATATGATTTGTAATTCATTGCCTCACATCATAGCTGTTGCTTGCCTTGCCAAAGCCTTGGTTGTTGTTGGTTTTTGTTCTGGCTAAGTCTGATTGTAACGCGTGGATAGACTTCAGTGTTCCTTTTACCATGTGCTCCACTTTGTGCTGTGCTTTGTGGAATCCAGAAAAACTCCTAGGTGTTCGCAGCAAAGTTGAGCCAGTGAGATTATTATGCAGGAAACACTGGGGAAATAACTGAAATGTGTCTGTATTTTATCATGTAGTTAGGGAAATTAAGAACAATACTTTGGAAAGGGAGGTAGATACTTTCTGAGAAGGTCTAAAGGTCTGTTGATTAGTGCAAATGTTGAATAACATAATAAACCTCTTGGTTTTTTAAAGACTTTATTTTTTAGAACAATATTAGATGAATACAGAACTTTAAAGGAACGCTCAGAGATTTCCTTTGTACCCCACCTCCCACCTCACTCCCCCCCCCCAGGCCCACACCCCTGTTATCAGCATCCCACAGAACGGAACCGTTGTTAACATTGATGAATCTATGTTGGCACATGTTAATCAAATGTCAGTCCCCACTTTGCAGTAGGTTATACTCTTTGGGGTATGTAGACCCGGATCTATGTGTAATGACGTGTACCTGCCATTGTAGTGTCATATGGGGTGCTTCCATTGTCCTAAACTCCTCTCTTTTCTGCCTGTCTTTCCCTCCCTGTCCTCACTGTCCACCAACCCGCTACAAAAACCAATCTTTAACTGTCTCCAGAGTTTGGCCTCTTCCAAAATGTCTTGTGGTTCAAATTACATAGATAGCCTTTTCAATCAGACCCTCTTAGTATGAATTTAAACTCCTCTTTGTATCTTTTCATGGCTCGACAATTCATGTCTTTTTTTAAGTACTAAATAATAGTCTTTTGTTCAGATTAGCATAGTTTATCCATTTTCCCAGTGAAAGGTGTCTTGGTTGTTTCTTAGTTCTGGCAGTTGTGAATACAGCTCTTCTGAATATCTTTGTGTAGGTTTTTGTGTGGACCTGGCATGTTGCAAAGTGGTTCCTTTTCCTTCTCCCCGTCGGTAGCATGAAGGGATTTCCCTCCATTATTTACTGTGACAACTTTGTCAAGCTCCTGGTGGCAGAATTCACACAAGTATGTAGGTCTTTGAAGCCTGGGCCCATCTGGTGTTTTCTAACTCTCAGACTTGTCCTCGGGGAGTAATTCATCAATTACGGTTGAGGTTTTCTTGTCCTACTCGTAGTTCTGTTAAGGGTTTCTACCCAGGAGTCTGGCTGGTGTGAGTGTGTCTGTCTGTCTGCCTCTATCCTGGGACAGCCTTTCTCACGGATCCGGGGAGAGTTAACGCTTTTGGCGCTCTCTTCAGCTCTTTACTTGTGTTAGCCTGAAGTGACGACTTCAGCATCCTTACATGTGCAACTAGAGACCAAAACTACCTGAAATTTTTGATTCATAAACAAATTTTTAAACTGATACACATTCTTTTTCTGAGATTTTTCTGTCTTAAAAATTGAAAGATTTGTTATCTATATATATTCTAGTGGAAAACAGAAAGAAACTGAAGCCTTTAAAAATCTAGTTAAAACTACTGTTTGTGAGATAACTTGTGCCCGACAAATTTTAGGTGGAAATCATTATTTTTAACTGGGTAAAAATTTAATTTTTCTGAGTATGAAGAAACAGTTACATTGCTCCTGTATTTTAGCTACATTGTTCTTCTGTTCTTGAACTCTTATCCGGTAACAGGAATAAAAACTCATTAAATATTTCCTGACATCAAAAAATCACAAGTTAGTAATTTTCCCATTGTCCAGTGATTTTCACAAGATAAATGCCTCAGAAAACAGAACGTGAAGTATTTGCTAGATGCAGAAAAATGTAGGTCGTGGATGGTAATAAGTGATACTGTGCAGAAGATTGGAAAGCATAACTGATGCTTCAGAATCTTTTGCCATCTCGGCAGGACAGTGTGCGCAGTGTCATCCAGCGCAGAGTACCTTACCCTTTAAAGAAAGAAAAAAAAAGAAGCATTCTGTTTCACAAATAGTGTGAATGCTACAGACTAATTGTCCATACTTGTTAGTGTGTAGATATACGCATTTGCATTACAGATTAAGTAGAAGGTTCGATTTATTCTATTTTTGAAATTTGGAGTATTTCAGGCAAGATTTCAGGCAGTTTCCATAGAAACTGAAGCCAAACCCTAAGCAAGAGGCTTTTTCTGCTAACTCTGTGGGGTACTTACACTGTGCCAGATGCCAAGGGAACCCTGCCTTCATGTTTTAATCTATGAATAAAAGGTGACAGCCCTTTTTTACACAATGTCAAGTACAAGGAGAGATGGGGAAACATGTTGCTATTTTTTGAAGAACCCAAGTGTTGAGAAATACACAGGAAATGGAAAAAGAAAGCCAAATGCATTGACTACATTTGCAGTAATTTTCATTTTCCTGTAAAAAATGTAAGGACTTAAAAACTTTTCCAACTTAAAACCAATAAACGGTTTTGTAGCTTTTTAAATTGTTTTGCATTAAAAACAAAATAAAGGCCATTTTGTAATAACTGAGGAATAGTTGAAAATTACCATATGTTAAATCTATCAATAGTTTTATGATTTGAAGCTTTAAAATATTTGATGTTTCAATATATTTAAAATAATGTAAAGGAGACAGATACTTAACTCTTGAAGTAGTTATTAAGCCCTCTTTCAGTGACCATTATTGAAAAGTAATAAATGTGACTCAAATGTTTGAATTGCTCACTTTTTTCCCTTACATAGGTGGAATTAGACACAGCATTGAGTGACTTAGAGGCTGCAGATTTTGCAGAACTGGTAAGAGAAGGAATTCATTTTAAGAAATGTTCAACATTGAATTCTTACTTTGTAAATCAGTCAATGTTTTAAGTATTTACAAGCAACTGTATAATAATCTGGAAGCATGCAACATTGAACCTCTGTGTTGACATACAGAATCTGTTTTGCTTGCCTTAAGGTATTTCTGCTCAGTTGAAAATATTTGTTCCATGTTATGTTGTGAGGATAAAATGACTGATCATATTGGTATCATTTAGAAGTGAGCTTTTAGAGGAAAGGAAGCATGGGTGTAATGATTGCATGAAGTAAGGATACTGTGGATCTTAATTTGAATTAGAAGCACTGCTATTGTTTTGTAGCCAGAAACCAGCTTTTTCCAGGTCTCCCAAGTGGATATAGGAGTCCAAGCAATGTGGTTATCCTCCCCTGCTTTCCCAGGTGCGTTAGCAGGGAGTTGGATTGGAAATTGAGTGGCTGGGACTCAAACCAACACCTATATGAAATACACTGCAGGTAGCAATTTTAGCCCACTATGACACAGTGCCTGCCCCTCATATTGTTTATATATCAGCAGTCAATCCTTTTTTATTGCTGAATTGTATTCCATTATGCAGATATATATCTTAATTTTTCAAAGCATAGTGAGTTATTGACAGTTTAAAATTTTTTAGATGTTTTTAAATATTTTTATTTTATTTAAAATTCAGAGAGAACATACAGGCAGTGATCTCTGAGCCTCCAATCTTCTCCCTAATACGCAAATTAACTGCTGTTACTTGAGGCTGAAGTCAGGAGGCAGGAACTCCATCTGAGTTTTGCTTGAGGGAGGCAAGACCCAAGCGCTTTGCCCTCACCTGCCCCCTCCTAGGAGATGCGTTATCAGGAAGCTGTCATTGGAAGCAGAGCTGGGACTTGAATCTGTGACTTTTAACTTGGAGCATGGGTGTCCGAAGCAGTGTCTTACCCTCTGAGCTAAATGCCCATTCCTTTAATTTTAAAGGTAGTGCATGCGCTTTGTAGATGCTACATAGTTATTGAAGGCAGAGGTCCTCCATCATCCCTGTCTTCCATTTCCATCTTCTGGTATAATTGCTCATAGAGTTTGATTGCATCCTTCTGGACTTTTTCCTATTTGAGGGTACTTGAAAAGTTCATGGGCCTGGCGGCGTCGCCTAGTGGCTAAAGTCCTCACCTTGAATGTGCCAGGATTCCATATGGATGTCAGTTCAAATCCCGGCAGCTCCACTTCCCATCCAGCTCCCTGCTTGTGGCCTGGAAAGGCAGTTGAGGATGGCCCAAGGTTTTGGGACCCTGCACCTGAAGAGGTTCCTGGTTCCTGGCTTCAGACTGGCGCAGCACTGGCCGTTGCAGTCACTTGGGGAGTGAATCATCGGACGGAAAATCTTCCTCTCTGTCTCTCCTCCTCTCTATATATCTAACTTTGTAATAAAAAAAAATAAATCTTAAAAAAAGTTCATAGAATATAGAATTAAAAGATAAGTTCAGTTTAGTGGCCCAATCTTTTTTGATTATCCATGTATATTTTTTTCAAAATACCATTTATAGGGGTTGGTGCAATGGTTCAGCTGCCTAATTCTCCACCTACAAATACTGGCATTCCGTATGGCTGGTTCATGTTCCAGCTGTTCCAGTTCTGATCCTGCTCCCTGACTGTGGCTCTGGAAAGCAGCAGATGATGGCCCAAGGCCTTAGGACTCTGTACCCGCATGGAAGGTCCCTCTCTGTCTCCATCTGTAGATTTGCCTTTCCAATAAAAATAAATAAACCTTTTTTAAAAATTCCACTTTTTCATAAGTGTTTTGAAGAATGCTTATATATGGATTTAAATATTTTCACCAAAATAAACATCTCTTTTAAAATATTTTGGCAGGCCCGGCAGCGTGGCCTAGTGGCTAAAGTCCTCGCCTTGAATGCGCCAGGATCCCATACAGGTGCTGGTTCTAATCCCGGCAGCTTTACTTCCCATCCAGCTCCCTGCTCGTGGCCTGGGAAAGCAGTCAAGGACAGCCCAGAGGCTTGTGACCCTGCATCAGTGTGGGAAACCTAGAACAAGTTCCTGGCTCCTGGCTTTGGATTGGCATAGCACTGGCTGTTGCGGCCCCTTGGGGAGTAAATCATTGGACAGAAGATCTTTCTGTCTCTCCTCCTCTCTGTATATCTGACTTTCTAATAAAAATAAAATCAATGTTTAAAAAAATTTTTTGCTTTATGTTCCCCAAATAGCTACAGATGGCCAGATCTGGGTCAGGCCACAGACAGGAGCCAGGAGTTTCATTCTGGTCTCCCATGTTGATATTAGGGCACCAAATACTTAGACCATCTGCTTGCTTGCCTTTTTTTTTTCTTTTTTCTTTTTAAGCTGTATTTATTTTTATTGGAAAGGCAGATTTACAGACAGAAGGAGAAAGAGAAAGATCTTCTATCCACTGATTCACTCAAGTGGCTGCAGTGGCTAGAGCTGAGTCGATCCAGAGCCAGGAGCCAGGAGCTTTTTCTGGGTTTCCCACGTGGGTGCAGGGTCCCAAGGCTTTGGGTCGTCCTCCACTGCTTCCCCAGGCCACAAGCAGGGAGATGGATGGGAAGTAGAGCAGCCAGGGCATGAACCAGTGCCCATGTGAGATATTGGCACTTGCAAGGTGAAGATTTTAGCCACTAAGTGCAGGGACCCATACTATCTGCTTTCAAAAGCAATATATGTAGTGTTGTAGATTTTAGATGATGCCTAGCAGGTTTTTGCCATAACATTTTTTAATCCTTCATGTAATAATACATTTTTACATTCTGTTCTAGACTATGATCAGCAGTATCTTAAGATCCAAAAGCAATATTATTCTCAGTGAAATAAGTATATATTCATATTTCACCCTAATATTTTAACATATTAATCTCTAAAGAAGTAATTTTTAAATCACAAAATAAGACTGGATTTTTTTCCTCACAGTCTGAGGATTACTATGACATGAGGAGGCTGTATACAATTTTGGGATCTTCTTTATTTTACAAGGTATGTCAAAGCTTGACATTTTTGTAGTTGTCCACCTGCTGTATAAATAAAGCTTGATAAATTTTCCCAGTATTTTGCAAACATAAGAAGTAATCTCTTTCTCTCTGAATGTACTTATTTTCTAGTTTTGTGAAAACACTTGGGCTAATAATACACAGAGCGGATCTTGCTTTGCAATGGCATCTGCTGGTTGGGTTCTTGAAGTTTGTCATTTGATCTCTGTTTAGCCTGAGGATGAGAAAATTGTTTTTGCTATATCTCTATTCCATTTGAAATGCATGTTTTCAGCTACTTGAAGAGGAGATCATAAAACTCTTAGAAATAATATCACTGGGTTATTGCAGTACATCATCAGTTGACTTGTGCTCTTTGTGGTTAAATTCAAGGGTTATTTGATATGCAGTCATTTGCCTAAGGATGATCTTATTGATATTGCTGTATATTGTCGCCACTATTGCCTGCTGCCTTTAGCAGCAAAACAGAGAATTGGTCAGTTGATAATATGGAGAGAAGTGTTTCCTCAGTATCACCTCCACCCTCCTGCAGACTCCAACACTGAAGTCTTTCAGGAACCTGAAGGGAGATATTTTTTGCTCATCATTGGCTTGGTAAGTTAACCTGAACTTCTTTCTTGTGATTTTGCTTTTTCATTCATTGACTGTCTAAATAAGTACAAAAATAAACATGCTTCCTTAATGCTAGGACAGATATAATATTTTCTAGAATACTGATATGCCTGTTTGTTCCTTTTAAAACGTTTGAATCAATTTAGTGCTCACAGATAAATATTAATAAAACCTAGGAAAAAATTTAGAAGTTTTAAGATATTTTTGTTCCTCTTTCTGTATCTATTTCTTAAATATTGTTTTTGGAAATAGAAGGAAACATGAAAAGAACATAAGATCAGAAAAATTTTAAGTATGTAACTGCAAATGAAATGACTTCCCAATATCAGAGGTTCTTTGAAAGTCATCTTAGACAATTATATGTGTCAACAGAGGTGGTTCATGGTAGGCCACAATAAAGGCCATCTGACACTGTTTTCCATAGGAATCAAAAAGCATTGATTAGATCAAGAAAGGGAAGCAGGAGAATTTTTAATAAGCATTACATGATTATACCATGTGCTCAGATATCTTCAGAATTTATAAGTTTATACATATCTGTTACGTATATTTTTCCATGGTAGCTTAATATATATTAATCATTTTTCTCCCATAGAAACATTATATGTTGTGTGTGCTATTAGAAGCAGGAGGCTGTGCATCCAAAGCTATTGGGAACCCTGGACCAGACTGTATATATGTGGATCAGGTCAAAACAACCCTTCAGCAGCTGCAAGGAGTCGATTTGCGCATCGAGGAACAGCTGCTGTCTTCTTCAGGACCCTGCTTGTCTTGCGCTGACTGGTTCCTCGCCGGATCTGGTGAAAAAACAGACACTTTGACCACTTCACCTATCCTCAGTAGGTTACCGGTTTCTTCTAAAGTCTCAACCTCTCCAACCTGCAGAAGATCCCTGTTTGGTGACTATTCGTTAAAGACACGCAAGCCCAGTCCTCCCCGAAGCAGTGGACGACCTGACGATGGTTGTGAAGATGGAGAAAGTACTGGCATTAGCCCTCATACCACACCAGATGCAGTGCGGAAGCAAAGGGAGTGTCAAGGCTCTGATGGCTCAGAAGAAAGTGGGGTCTTGCTTAAGGTGTGTGTGTGTGTGTGTTCAAGGGTATACTTTTGAGGAGCTAAGCTGCCTCTCCAACCCTTATTTTATAATTACAAGAGAATTTTTTTTTAAGATTTATTTTTATTTATTTGAAAGGCAGAGCTACAGAAAGAGGGAGAGACCTTCCATCCCCTGGTTCACTCCCAAAATGCTACAATGACTGGGGCTGGGCCAGACTGCAGCCAGGGACTAGGAGCTTCTTCCAGGTCTTTGCTGTGTTTGCCGGCATCCAACCAGTTAGGCAATCCTCTGCTGCCTTACCAGGCACATTAGCAGGGTGCTTACCTGGAAGTGGAACAGCCATACTGTATGGTTTCCATATGGTATGCCAGCACTGCAGACAGTGGCTTAACTTTATACTCCACAGCATTGACCCCGTTAGTATTGTTTTATTGACAACTCATTCCTCATTTTAAATGGTGGTGGTTTTAATCCTCTTGGCAAACCATTGATTTAGAGCCTAGAAGGAGTTTCTTCTAGGTTGCCCATGTGGGTGCAGGGTGCCAAGTCCTTGGGCCATCCTCTGCTGCTTTCCTCTGCCACAAACAGGGAACTGGGTGAGAAGTGGAGCAGCCATGACATCAACCAGCACCCAAATGGGGTGAGGACACTGCAGGCGGAGGATAAGCATACTACTCTACCTTGCCAGCCCCTGATGCTATTGTCTTATAACATGTTCAAAACTTGTCGTTTCAGCAGATGGAAGTGATCCCTAACAAAGTACAAAGCAGGAGAAATCCAAGAAGGGCACAAATAAAACATGAGACTCACAGTGGCCTGACATAAATAACCACAGATTCAGTCTCTTCATTTCAAACACTAGGACACTCTAGAGCCACAGTGGAATGTTTTAGGAAGTACTCACATCACTACCATACTATAAACCAGTCAGTGACACCTGGTAACTGAGCCACATGTAGCTCCTAAGAGAGCCTGAATAATCAACTTTCAAGAGTCAGCCATGTAACAGATGGCTGTAGAACACCAGCCAAGTGCCAGGAGTCATGTGTGGTGCACAAATAAAGATATCAAGATGAGAAAGACACAACCCCCATCACTGAGTGCAGAGTGCAGGGAAGGATGTCAGGGATGCCCTAAAGGGAACCCACCAGTGGCTCCACCCTCATGCCTGTAGGAAGTTTTCATTCCCATGACAGCGCTTTGGGTCCCTGTTAGCCAGGAGGTACACGTTAGCATTGAAATAATTAAAGGGAGTGTTGGCAAGCTAGTAAGCAGTTTCTCTTAGAAGAATTTTAATTTTTACATTATTTCTGCTGTTTGGTAGCATTCTTAGATATAAAATTATCAACTGTATTTTTCAGATCACTAAGAAAAAGTCTACTCTTCCAAATCCACTTTCTTTGGGAAACATGAGAAAGGATCTTTCCAAAAAGGAATTGGAACTACATAACACAATGAAGTAAGAATCTTCCTTATAATATCCTTTCATGGTTTGTCTTTAAGGAAGCTTTGCAGTGAGAAAATACAATTTAAGGGTATTTCAGAAATTTCATGGAAAATGGAATTAAAACAAGATTATTTTGATACAAAAATATCTTTTAAATTAATCCATGATTTTTCATAATATGCATTTCCCATGAATTTTTTGGTGACTCTTCATATAAAAAACATTTTGTAACATAAACTTACCTTTTCATTTTTCATTAATTTTTGAAATACTTTGGTATAGAGATTTTATTTAACAAATGTATTTGTTATATAACTTATATATTAAAGGCAATAGCTATAATAGCTCAGTAATATTTTAGTGTACATTTAAGGGAAAATTAGCACTGTTATGTTGTAAAAGATAAAAACTTACAAAGTGACATTCCAGTCCTTTTTTTAACCTCTCTTCAGCTCCCATTTTGTGTAAATTGGAATTTTTAATCTTGAGATTCACTGGGGGTGCTATGGTGAGTGCCCAGTCATCCTTAACCCAGGGTGCTCACTCCCAGGTGCTGGGAGTGACAGCAGCTGCTGGCTCATGTCCCAGTCGCTCCTTATTTACAGCTCTTGGTGGTCCCAGCTGAGATCTGTTACTGTGTGCAGCAGGGTTCAGCTCTGTCTCTGCTCAGTCCTGCTCCCCTCCACCTCCCTTCCACCTCCCACCTGCTGTTCTTTCCTGAGTGCTCATCCCTACACTTCTCCTGCCTTATCTTCTACCCAGAGCCTGCTCCCAGGTCTGACCTTGTAACACCCCCTTCAGAAAACAGTTACAACCTCAAACTTACACTGAATGGAGTAAAAGTAAGTGAGAAGAGTGAGAAGAGAATATTTAGCAACTTAAACTGTGTAATTATTGCAATGTGAAATGTTATATATTTCATTCCTGATGGTGTTAGTCTGTGGTGACCAGCAGGTCTGTATCAGCTTGCTTGACACTTAATTATGATGTATGTGGGATCAATTGGTGTGGGAACTCAATTGTACACTTTTACTGAAACAATCAGATGTGTACAAATAGAATTTTCTATATGTTTACAGCTAATTTTTTAAAGTGTTCCTTCTTGAGACATTTTACATTGAACTCAGATATAAGGAAGAGCTTCAGAAAGTTCATAGAAAATGTACATCATGAAATAATTACGCATTGATTTCAAATTTTTGGCATCAAAAATAATTTATATTTCAATTCAAATTTTCCACAAACTTTTTGAACTACCTTATAGAACGCACAAAATGCTGTTTGCTTGTTTTTTCTTCTTTTGAAAGGTCAAAAAGAAATGCAAATAGGATATTGTCTTTTTTTTAAAGATTTATTTTATTTTTATTGGAAAGTCAGATATACAGAGAGGAGGAGACAGAGAGGAAGATCTTCCATCCATTGATTTACTCCCCAAGTGGCTGCAATGGCCAGAGCTAAGCCAATCCAGAGCCCAGAGCCTCTTCTAAGTCTCCCAGGCAGGTGCAGGGTCCCAAGGCTTTGATCTGTCCTTCACTGCTTTCCCAGGCCACAAGCAGGGAGCTGGAAGGGAAGCGGGGCCACCAGGATTAGAACCAGTGCCCATATGGGATCTCGGCATGCAAGGCGAGGACTTCAGCCGTGCCAGGCTCAGGATGTTGTCTTTATAATATAATGCTTTAGAAATCTTTCTAAGGTGTTAATTTGACATTCAGTGCCTTCAAATATTAATATTTATTTTTTTTTTTAATTGGAAAGGCGGATATACAGAGAGGAGAGACAGAGAGGAAGATCTTCCGTCCAATGATTCACTCCCCAAGTGAGCGCAACGGGCCGATACTATGCCGATCCAAAGTCAGGAGCCTCTTCCGGGTCTCCCACGCGGGTGCAGGTTCCCAAAGCTTTGGGCCGTCCTCGACTGCTTTCCCAGGCCACAGGCAGGGAGCTGGAAGGGAAGCGGGGCTGCTGGGATTAGAACCGGTGCCCATATGGGATCCTGGGTGTGTAAGGCGAGGACCTTTAACCACTTGCGCCACCGCGCCGGGCCCAATATTTAATATTTTTAATAGTTAAAATGCTTCTTAAAAACGTACCTGAGTTAGGCCTTTCATGCAACCTAAAACAAAATCTTTACAAAACTAGTCAATTTTGTTGTTCTTGTTGTTGTACCTGAGGCAGAGCAATTTAAAAAGAGAAGAGTTTGTTTGTTTGTTTGTTTGTTTTTAAGTGCATAGGCTCAAAGCCCAAGCCAGAGAAGGCTCCATCAGTTTGGTTTCTGGTAGGGGCCTAGTGGCGTTTGGCCTCACATCATGACCTCAGTGCATACAGGGAGATACCAATGACATCACCAAACCGGAAGCTAGAGAGGGATTTAGGGGTCCGGCTCAGGCATCCGTAATAACCTGCTGAGTTGAGACGTCACTTCAGGACACCCTTCCTAGTTTTGTACCCTTCCAAAACTCATGCATCAAGGACCTAAAGACTTCCTGCTGGTCCTACCCCTCCAGGTTCCATCACCATCCTGTGGACCAAGTCTCCAACACATGAAACTTAAACTATGCACAAACCACAGCACCTGCGGATTATGTTTTTAAAATATGTTTATTACTTTGGTGTTGCCTCTAGTGAAAGAAAACTCTTTTCAAGTTCACTGCTTTAAATAGCCATTCACATGTGGCGTAAATCATATGCTCTCCTATTTTGAAAGATGCCAAAGGTGTGTCTTCTCATTATTAGCATGCAAAGGTGTGTTCATACATGTAACTCGCTTTGAAAGCATGCTATATAACACCGTGTATTGTCCTGACTTATATGTACGTGATTTTGCAAAGTAAAAACACATGTTAAAAATAAAACAAAATGGGCCCGGCGAGGTGGCGCAAGTGGTTAAAGGTCCTCGTCTTGCATGCCCGGGATCCCATATGGGCACCGGTTCTAATCCCAGCAGCCCCGCTTCCCTTCCAGCTCCCTGCCTGTGGCCCGGGAAAGCAGTCGAGGACGGCCCAAAGCTTTGGGACCCTGCACCCGCGTGGGAGACCCAGAAGAGGCTCCTGACTTCGGATCGGCATAGTATCGGCCCGTTGTGCTCACTTGGGGAGTGAATCATTGGACAGAAGATCTTCCTCTCTGTCTCTCCTCTCTGTATATCCGCCTTTCCAATGAAAAAATAATAAAAATAAATCTTTAAAAAAAAATAAAACAAAATATTTCATTTAGTAACCAGTAGCTATCCGTTCTGCATTCCAGTAGTTCCTGAATCCATTCAGCCCTTATTGCTACTGCCCTCATTCAGGTGCACATTTCCTCTTCCCTGGCTTAAGCGTACTATCACCTCCCAACTCCCAGCAGAGCCTCAATCCGTTCTCTACCACAAGAATAACCTCTGGAAAACAGAGCTTGCTTTCTCTCTGGTTTTTTCTCTGTTTGTTTGTTTCCCTGTATAAACGTTTTGTCTTTCTATTGGATAGCTAGCTGCTTGTTTGGTGATTTTGAAAGCTTCCAGTTAATACATGCTGAACAAATTTTAGGATTTTCAAGAGCTAATCTTGTTTATTGTGTTGTGGTTTATTTTTTAAAGAAAAGTTTTTAAAAATAATAAAAATATTAATTCTAGCCTCCCTCAGAAGAATCTTAAGTTATATTTAAGAACAATTTTTATTCTGTAACTTATCTTAAATTTGGAGGTATAAATTCTAAAATATGCATTTTTAATTATTTTCATTTTTGAATCATAAATATTTTTCTTTTTTTATTTCTTTTTTGTTGTTGTTGTTGTTGTTAAATTTTAGTAATTTATTTGGAAGGCAGTGTTAAAGAGAGGGAAAGACAGAGGGCGAGATCTTCCATCCATTGTTACTCTACCCAATGGCAACAACGGCCAATGCTGGGTCAGGCCAAAGCCAGGATCTCCATTTGGGTCTCCCATGTAGATGTCCAAGGCCCAACCGCTTGGACCATTTTCTGCTACTTTCCTAGGCATGTTAGCAGGGAACTGGATAAGAAGTGGAGCAGCTGGGACCTAAATGGACATTCATATGGGATTGCTTGTGTCTTGGATGGCTGCTGAACCCATGTGTCACAATGCTGCTTCATGTTAATTTTTCTTAAAAGATATTAGCTATCAGTTGTTAATGAGCAAGCTACTCTATGGAAAAATATCAGAATGTGTAGATGATATTCTTTTCTCTCTATTCCTGGTCTCAGTGATAATGTTTATACAGATGATGTGGTCAAACAGTCTAGCAGGAATTTAACTGCGACAGATGATTAAGTCAGTAGCTAGGCTAAGGGCTTAGATATATCTTTTCTTGCCTCAGTGCAATGGACGGAAAGTCAACTGGCATCTTTTGTTCGATTCTTTAAAGTACAGATAGGTTTTATGAGATAAGAATTTAGAAATCAAGGTGAATATTTGAGATGCAAGTGGGGAATTGTTTTCCATCTGTTTAACCAATCAGAGGTCATCTGTTTAGCCAATCTGAAGTCAGCAATGGGAAAGAAAAAGCCAGGAACAATAGAGCAAATGCACAGTCAACTAAATTTTGCCATTTGATTATGTGATCTTAAGTTAATGTAAGTACTCTACACATTGATTTCCTTGTGATTAAAATGAAGACAGTAACATGTAATGTCTTACGCGATTTTGGCAGTTAAAATTAAGATCTTTTAAAGATCTATGCTGGCACATAAAGGACACTCAGTATAAGCTACTTAGTATTATTTTGTTGTTACTATTTTTATTGTTTTTCTTTAGCTCTTTTTATAAGTGATAGAAATAAGTAGCAGCTTGGGCCTGGCACAGTAGCTTAGCAGCTAAGGACTTCGCCTTACATGTGCCAGGATTCCATATGGGCACTGGTTCTAATCCCAGCAGTGCCACTTCCCTTCCAGCTCCCTGCTTGTGGCCTGGGAAAGCAGTCGAGGACAGCCCAAAGCTTTGGGATGCTGCACCTGCATGGTAGACCTGGAAGAGACTCCGGACTCCTAGCTTTGAATCAGCTCAGTTCTGGCTGTTGTGGCTGCTTGGGGAGTGAATCAACAGATGGAAGATCTTCCCCTCTGTATATCTGACTTTCCAATAAAAATAAAATAAATCTTTAAAAAAAAAAGAAATAAGTAGTATTTTAGGTTCTGCTGGCCTTTCCGAAATTAAACAGGAGAGGAAAGTATAAAGAAGAAAGTAAAAATGAAAATAATAATAGTGCATGTAAGAGAGGGAAGATTGTAATTATGAATCCTGTTAGAATGTTACGGGTAAGTGCCCTGCTGTTGCAGAATACTAACCCAACTTGGTAGTTGGTAATGATAATCTTCTTTTTCTTTGGGATCATCAGTTTTGATTTTAGCAGTAAAGACTGTAATGCTACTAACAAGCATGTTTAGTTTGCTAGAAGGCATTTTGATATGTGATCTAGCTTAGACTGATACCTTGCTCAAGCTCGTAGATATCCAGGCCAGGCATGAGCGGACTTACTCATTGTCAGCCATGGAAAAAGAGAAATTTAGCCACCTGGGTAGTTTAGCAAGGGATGATTAAGTTCCTTACAAATGAATTGGTGTTTATTCTTACATAATATCTGGCTTTTGCTTGTATAAAGGAATTATTAATAATTCTAGCTTGTAATTAAGTTAAAGGTAAGAGGGAATTAAATGTTTGGTTCATTTTTCTTCCCTAGTTATATTAGTATCGTAGATAAAAAATGTATGTAAGAATTGGCAAAATTCACATGGAAACAGTGTTTTTAAATTAGGGTTTTTTTCTTCCTTTTTTTCCCCCCCAAGATTGACATCTGGTCCTGAGAATACACTTTTCCACTATGTTGCCTTAGAAACAGTGCAAGGAATCTTTATTACTCCTACCCACGAAGAGGTGGCACAGCTAAGTGGTTCTATCCATCCTCAGCTAATCAAGAATTTCCATCAGTGTTGTCTTTCCATTCGTGCCATTTTCCAACAGACAATGGTGAAAGAGGTGAGACCCTGCTATAAATACAGCCTTCTGCCAATTCCATTTCCAGATTTCTAGAATTTCTCTTTGTGCTCCATTTTCATTATGTCCAGCAATGTTTTTACATTTTGTTTTGTTTTCCCAATCACAATGGGATTATATTCACAATATTTAACCTCAAAGCTTTGTTTTATAATACTGGGTTGATATTCTGGGTTAATATTTCAGGTAATGGTGGATCTCTGTTTTCTGAAGCAAAGTAGAATATACTAGTTTGTAATATAAAATTAACTCCCCATTTTTGATATCTATGACTTAACCATTACTTGGTTCATATATCCACCAATTGGTTCCTCATATAACTCTGGTCATTTTTTCAGTAATTTATTTTTATTTGAAAGGCAAATTTACAAAGAGAAGAGAGAATAAGAGATTCCAAATGGCTACAACAGCCAGACCTGGGCCAAAGCCAGGAGTCAAGAGCTTCATCCAGGTCTCCTGCAGGTGTAGTGGCCCAAGGATCTAAGCCATCTTCCTCTGCTTTCCCAGACACATTATCTGGGAGCTGGATCAGAAGTAGAGCAGCCAGGACTTGAACCAGTGCCCAAATGGGATGCCAGCACCACTGGCAGGGACTTAATCTACTACACCATGGTACCAGCCCCAATTCTTGCCATTTTTAAAGTATTCAGTCAAAAATGTAAAGTATTGTGGAACATAATGATTGAAAGCAAACTTGAAGACACAACACTATTGCAAAAATTTTAGTACTTGGTTGATAAGTTGCCTGCTTTCTTTTCAAGATTTCATTTTCTGTTGTACCTGTTAGACAAAAAATAATGATGCATGCAATTACAATGCCATTTAGATTATTTTTAATGACAGGGAAAGATAGGCATTGGTTTCCTGAAAAGAATAAGTGTAGAGATTTACTTGTGACTGGTCAAACAATAAACAGCCTCCCCAAAAATACTCTGACAATGATTGTAATGAATGTGTATAGCAACATGTGTGCTTAAGGATGCTGTAATCATGAAGAACTTGGGTTTAAGAATAGAACAACATTGGGTTGGGAATAACAAATGCTACATTTAGTTTCAAGTCTTCCTATGCCCTCAGTGTAAAATGAGCGACTGGTTTACATCATACCTCAGTAAAATTCTGTCATACATGATTCCTTGTTTGAATTCTCAGAAATTGTTATTAAGCAAAAATATTATGTTTGACCATATATCATCATGTGATTTGGGTTACTGTGCTTCTTCTCTGTTCAACCATTCAACAGATTCTGTAAGAGAATATCTTGTGAACCTACTTGATAGCATTTAGTAATATAAATTAGCTTTCTCATACTATTTAAATATTGAGGTACCTACTGTGTACCAGATACTTTTCTAAGTGCTGAAGACACAACAGGGAACAGAACAGTATCCCTTCTGTCACAAAGCCCATTTCCCAATGGAAGAGAAAAATGAATTAGCAACTAGCATGTCAGATGAGGTAACAAATACTAACTCATGGTGAGGATATTTGGTGAAGCTACTGTTGATCCCTCTAACATTCCTTTGATCTTGTCAAGTAATATTTGAATTGAGATCTAAATGAAGAGAGTGAACCCTGTGGCTCTGTGGAGGCAGAGCTTTGAGAAAGGGATGCAGCAGGTGGGACTGGGGGAGTATTGGCAGGGCCTGGGTGTAGGGTTGCGGGGTTGCAGTATGAGACAAGGTCACAAAGGGAGCATGCCAGGCCCTGTGTGGCCTGAAGGACTGCAGTAAGGATTCTGGAATGTTCTTACACAGTTCTGAGCAAAGAAGGGGCTTGGTCACCAGGTTTCTAAAGAATCACTCAGGCTGCTGTAGGAAGAACAGGCTATAAGGTGTCAAGGTTGGATGCAGGGATCAGCTACAAGGCTACTGAAGTTCACAGAGCAAATACTGGTAGTGACTTTTGGATTCTGGACATATTTTTAACGGTGAATTAAAAGGATGTGTTTATGGGTAAGAAATGAGTTAAGAGAAAAAAAGCAAAATGAAGAACCATGCTACTGCTTTAGTCTGAGCTTTATAAAAGTCATTATATTCCAGATGTGTCCTTTTTGTTTTGTTAATGCTTAATTAATTAGAAATTTCAAGATTATGCATCAAAGTGGGAAACAATATTGGTTTAGATAGGTGTTTTAAGTTTATTACATTTGTTAGTATGTAATTAGTAAGTGCCTTCTATGTACCAGACAGTCCTGTGTTTTAAAAATAAAAAGAACAGGGCCCAGCGCAGTAGCCTGGCAGCAAAAGTCCTCACCTTGAACGCGCCGGGATCCCATATGGGTGCCGGTTCTAATCCCAGCAGCCCCACTCTCCATCCAACTCCCTGCTTGTGGCCTGGGAAAGCAGTCGAGGATGGCCCAACATCTTGGCACCCTGCACCCATGTGGGAGACCTGGAGGAACTTCCTGGCCCCTGGCTTCAGATTGGCACAGCACTGGCTGTTGCACTCACTTGGGGAGTGAATCATCGGACGGAAGATCTTCCTCTCTGTATATCTGACTTTGCAATAAAAATAAATCTTTAAAAAAAAATAAAAAAAACAATACGTTGTTATTTGCCTTGAGGGAAAAAAAAAAAACATTAACCTGCCTTCTGCTGGGGACAACATCTATAAATTGCTGATGTAATGCAAGATTGACAGGGCAGTGAGCAAAATTTTGCCTTTAAGAGTCCGTGGACACTGTCCACGAAATCTCCTTCAGGAATCCCAGTGCACAGGAAGAGCAGAAAGTTTTCTGCAGGTAAGAATAGCATTGCTATCTCTTAACTACTAGGAGTGGCTGAAGTGGCTGAATCAAATCCGTATGTGAAAACATTTTCAAGTGACAGTATTTGGAGTGGGCATTGGTCATGGTGGTTAAGATTCTGCTCAGGGTTTTTAGAGTTTGTTGGTTCAAATCCCAGCTACACTTCTAATACAGCTTCCTGGTAACGCATGCCCTTGCAGGCAGCAGACAATGGCTCACAGCTTGGGCTTTGCCACCCACATGCAGGACCTGGGGTGAATACCTAGCTCCTGGCTTCCTGGTGGCCATCCTGCCTGGGATTTTGAAGACCTTTTTGGGAGTAAACCAGCAGAGGGATGATCTCCATTTCTCTGATTCACCACCTTTCCAAAGTTAATTTCAAAGAAGTTAATTGATACCAGTTAATACAAATAATGACTATTAATTTGCAGAAAAAGAAACCCCTAGATGATGGAGATCACTCAGCCTCTGCGTACTCAGTGTCTTCTCTTAACCCTGTGAAAGAGCATGGTGTGTTGTTTGAATACTCACCTGAAAACTGGACTGATCAGAAAAAAGCACCTCCAGTTATGTCTTACTGGGTAGTAGGGTAAGTGGGAAAAGAAGTGTTTGAAATTAAAGCAAAATGTGAGGAAGGTGGTTAAGGAGATTAATATTTTAAAAATATAGGTAGAGCACTATTAATTCAGCTCTGCTAGTTTTAGAATTTTATTGCTTAAGTATCTCCTGTAAGTCTTTTATATGTCTTTCTAATAAAAAATAGTTTGGTATGAAACTATGTGATAACTGAAAGAATAATTCCATATTGATTCTCCAATTTCTTTCTCTCCGCTTCCTTCCTCTCCTTTCTTGTCTTTTCCTCTTGTGTCCCCATGTAAGACCCTGCCATATCTAGCCTTTGCCCAGCTCTACTTCTCTCATCACTGTCCTCCTCCATGCACTGTGTACCAGCTACGCTGACTGTGATCATATCTTCTTTTTTTTTTAATTTCATTTTATTGCACAGTTTCATACGCTCTGGGATTTCCTCAACCCCTCCCCATGCCCTCTCCCCATGTTGGATTCCTACAGATTGTTGCAGTAGTACAGTTCATATCCAGTCATGCATACAAGGATTTACAATGTATAGAGTCCAGCATTTTATTGTCCAGATAAATTCAACAGTTTCCCTGGGAGACCATCCCTGGTTTGAAAATAGAGCTGGCAGAATATCATTTCCTCCAATGAAGAGCCACAACACAACATCGACAGCAATTTACAACATCTTGGAGTTAATTGACATGGTATCGAGTGACCAATATGTTGGAAATGCAAGTTCTTAACCACATCTTGTGACTACTTCATCATCATTTCAATTTTAGTTTACGTACAACTGGCTGCTCTACACCTTAAAATGGTTATAGGATACTTTTCAGTTGTCTCGGTTCTATCTTCATTTTTGTATTTATCAGCTTATAATATTGAAGCATGATTTTTACTGGACTTGGCGAATTTTAGGATAGTCCAAACAGGCTTATAACTCTAACAAGGCATATGTTAACACTTGAGGCACAGAACAGTTTTAGGAGGGGTATGCAGAGAAATCTTCAATACCTTAATTAGGAGTAACTAATCTTTGTGTCCTACCTGGTAAGGTATATAATTGTCCAAGTTGACAATTTCCTGTCTGTTCTAAGATTTGTTATTGGTCTCTGTCTATCTGATCTAATTTGGGGGGAGGCTCCGTAGCAACCCTGATGGTCATTGCAAGCGAGGGTGGAGATCCGAAGTTGGAAGTAAGGACCATAGAAAGCTCCTCTCCCGAGTCCCGAAGGAAGTTTAATGTTCTTCTGTTTCTCAGGGCTCCTGGCTGTTGTTCCAGCAACTATTAGATCCCGTGAGGAAGGATCTGGGCTTCTTCCATCCAGTGTGGGAGATCCGAAAGGGAATGGATGACCTCAGAGTTCTTAGCTTATGAGGGCACCCCAATTCCCCATGGTCTCCTGGGCAGTCGGAATGTAGTCCTTGGTGCAGATCCAGGAGTCTCCAGGTTTTCGATACAGCCTCCTCCTGTCCTCCTACTCCACTCTGGGGTCCCCTGCCCCCCGCTCTGTGCGTATGACCTCCTGTTAAGAGGCTGTCAGGATCACTGTTGGATCCCACTGTGTGTCTTTATTGTTTCTGCTAATGTCTAATGCAGTTTTGAGTGTGCTGTCTGTAAGTTACCTGTTATAATCTTGATAGAAGTTTATACTAAACTTCTTCCTCACACTCGTAAGGTGAAAGATTTCTCTGCTCTCCTGACCTTTTATGGAATAAAATAGGGTATTAAAAGCATATTAGGTTTTTCAGTTCTTTAATGTCGATCATAAACAGTCTTACTCACATTGATTGATGGTTCATTGGTTAAATGTGATTATATCTTCTTTCTGCTTTTTCTCCCACATCGAATGCTATCTAGCTCCTTGATATCCAGGACTGCTAACAGGTCTTCTCTTCAAAGAATGGATACACACTTAACTCTATCTTCCCTTTATTTTCTTTCTTGCTTATTGTTTTTCCTTCCCTAGAATATTGGCTTCTTTTGGTCTTGTCTACCAGCACCTGAAGCAGCAGCTGGTAAATAATAGTCACCAACTAAATGTGTGATGGTTCAGTGTATGGAGCTGTGTTAGACAAAATGTGGCCAGGGTGTAGGCATTGTGGGAGTGACATATACCAAGATAAGGTTAAAAACAAGTTGGAAAGCTAAATTAAGTCCACTGCAGGAAGCCTCAATTTCTGACTAAGTAATTTAATTTAGTAGGGAATAGCAAGCCACAGAGGGGAACAGTGTTAGATGGGACTGTTACTGGACATCTGCCATATAAAAAATGACAAGCATTTTCAAGTATTATCTGAAGCAGTAATTTTCAGGTGCTGATCCTTGGAATTTAGAGCCCCTTAAGTGACTGTTTAATTAGAGATGCATGGGCCCCATACCAAACTTACTGAAATCCTAATTCATGGGCTTGGGTATCTGTGGTTTTAATAAGCCCCTTTGTGACTTCAACATGTAACCAACCAGACTTGGGAACATCAGCATAGCTTAACTCCATGTTGTATTGCCAGAGCTTTTCTTTTTAGAAGATTAAGCTGGCTGCTGCCAGTGGAATGGTATGGCCACAAGAAAGGCTAGAAATGAAAAGACCAGGTGGGCATACATTCAAGTGTGCAGTGGAACCTTAACTACTTCTACAAGTCTCAAGATGTTGAATTATGATGATACAGATAATTATCTCCAATTTAGATAGTTCAATTTACACGCATTGGTCCTGATTCAATATGTCACAATATTTAAGAAAACCAAATAAAATTTCAATATTTGTTGTGTGTAAAAAGTGTTATGTAATACTTTCAATATAAATTAAAGAACAGTTAATGTTTAAGAACTATTATGCTGAAAGTAATGCAAATGCTTTTGGTTTTGTTACAATGATTTATTAATTTGATTTTTAAATGATGGGATATGGCAATATATTTTGATGAAATAAGATTTTTATGTTGCGACATAAAAATAATTAGGAGGTAGGTGCTTGGTGCAGCCATCAGGTCACTGCTTGGGATGATTGCATGCTTAGTGGCATGCCTGGGGTCAGTTCCTGCTCCACTTCCAGTTCCAAAATCTTACTAAGGTACACACTGGGAGGTGGCAAATGATGACTCAGGTAATTGGGTTCCTGCCACTCACAGCTGGGGAGACCCAGATAGAGTTCCTGCGTCCTAGCTTCAGGCTGACCTAACCCTGGAATTGTAGGCATTTGGAAAGTAAACCAACACATAGATCCCACTATGTCTCCCTGCCTTTCATATAACAGAAAAATGTATTTTAACATTTTTAAAAGATAAATAAAATTATCATATTTTCTCTCTGATATAAGGTTATCTATGCAAAATACAAGATCAAAACTATATAGGTCAACATATGTATATATATATAGTGATCTAGAGAAACTATATAATAGGGACTGTCATATCAAAATGTCGAGATGCAATGCAGTATGCATCTCTACTTCCAAATCAAACCTGAACTTCCAATGAAACTGTTAAATATAGCTTGACAATAGGATGCTGGACTCTCTGCCATCGTCCATGCCTACAATGTCAGGATGCACTTAAATAGCAGAATGATGGACTTACATTTTTGAAGTACACACTATAGTAATAATATAGGGGAAATCCCAGAGCCATTGGAACTGTATCTTAAAATAAATCAGCTCAACAAAAAAGAAAATAGAATTAAAGTATATTTTGGGGAAAATAAGTAAATATTGGCATAAGGCATATTTGTACCTGTTACATGTAAATAAGGTACATGTTATCTGCTTAGAAATAAATCTAGCTTTATTCTCCCTTAGATTCAGATTGAATAATCAACTTAGATGTGGATTTTAATTTACTACAGATTCTTTCAGAAACAGAATATTCAATGAGAGATTTTTTTTCCCTGTATTCTTTCAGTGCTTTGATTTTTGAAATAAGTGTGTTCTTTTCCTTGACAGGAGACTGTTTCTTCATCCAAAACCTCAAGAACTGTACGTCTGTTTTCATGACTCGGTCAAGGAAATTGCCGTTGAAATGGCATTTAAATTATTCTTTGGATTAACCTTGTAATTGTTTTCTTAGTTCATGGCAGCCCATGCGAGCATCAGTGTCATAACTGAAATAGCAGAGAGATGCAGTTTTGCTTATTATTGTTCAATACTGAACACAGTGTTGTTAAATATTTAGATGAAATGCTGTTTGATTTCATAAATCTTGTATACTATTATGAGACTTTTGGGAAAATATTTGATTGATATATGAAAAGGGATAGTTAACTTATTTCCATGTGGGTATATAATGTTAATTTATTGACTAATTTGAAATAATGTGAAGTGTTTTATATAAAAGTAATATAGGAAATGTTTATTTTGAAAACACACCCAATTTGTTGTTTGTTTTTCTCAAAACAAATATTGGAATCTAATGAAAGGATCATGAGTTTGAAAGGAAGTGGCCAGGTTTTATAACTAATTAATGCTAGAACTTTGGCAAACCTTGGTACTGTTCAAGCTTAGTTTCATGTAGAAATGAAATGACTGCATTGATGTTTTAAAATCTATTGAGTATAATGTGATGCTTCTGCCCTTCTTGCCTGTTGGCTGGTCCCTAGATTTGTAGCATCCAAGAACTGATTCTTTGTCAGTTCAAACATTTTCACTAATTCAAGTACTTTAATCATACCTCTCTCTGGGAACAAAGAGGAAGAATAAAAATTAAACTTACTTTTTTTTTTATTCTTTCTGGTGAACTCATTTTGACTAGGATATATATATTTTTAACTGTTGATAAGCTTTCAGTATTTCTATTCAAATAGATTCAGGTATATAAACGTTTCAGACAGTTTATGAATTTCAGGAAAATTATGTATAATTTTAAAAATCCCGTTAAAAACACTGGCTCATGAAATTGTATGGTGACTTCTTTTGTAAGATACTAACATTTGTCTTATGAATAGGAATCAATGTGCGTTTGATTTTCCCAAATGGGCAACACTTCAGTGAAAATGGCCCTTATTGTTTAGGAGGAACCTGTGGTCTGGAGATTTTCTTTGTGAGCCTTTGACAGATTGAGAGAAAAGAGAAACACAACAAGTACTGTTCATTGGATTCTTCTGGAGCTTCACGTGTTTCCAGGACTTTATAATACTAGATTGTTTCCTCTTCAGGACTTAAGCTTTGCAAGACAAGTCCCCAGCACATGTGAAACCAGTGTCTGTGTTTGCTCTACCTCATGTGGAAGCGCTCCAGCAGTGAGAACTGACTGCAAAATTAGCTGCATTGTTTGAGCCATTTGGTCTTAGAAGGAACACCTGTAATCCCAGTCTTCAGATGAGCAGATTTTTACCTAGGCATTTAAGATGCAAACTGCTACACGTATGTCCCATAAGAGACCTGTGGGCCTGGAGTTTAGCATTCTAACCTTGGCTCTTGAAATGTTGTAGAGTAGCTTGACAAACTCTCCTCTAAGGAGCACAATACTGAGTCACACAGTAGACTATTTAACTGCTGTTCTAGGCTTGCCTGTGCACACATGTATGTATTAATGAGAGTTGGAAGTATTTATTGAATATCTCAAAGCTCCAGATATGCTCCCCCTTCAAAAACACCACAAGTATCTCAGTACTAGGAATCATTAATTAATGCAGCTACTGATTGCCTCAGGTTTTCAGACTGAACTCATACTTGGGATTCTATCTTGGGGGACTTATAAATTTCCATCGAGCAAAATGTTGATCTGTTTAACAACTGGTTTCTCAGTGTTGAAGAATCATGAAGCCACTGCTTGGTAACTGAGATAAAAATGCAAAGCAGAATGCTGATATTAATAATAAAAAAAACCTCATTCACTATTTTTGTAGCTGTTACTGTAATTTCTGTGTTGCAGAGGCACTGCATTTGTAGGCGTACAACCAGACATTGTTTAACATCTTTAAATGGGTACTGAAGGAGGCGATGTTTATATACTTAGAAGCCCATTTTCCCAGGTATGTCCAGATTCACACTGGAAAGTAGATCCAGCTGATTATTGGGCAAATGTCTGTCGGTTAGGTAAACAAAGGGGGGTGGGGATGAAGTGACAACACAGATAAACATTTTTTTAAAGATTTATTTATTCATTTACTTTATTGGAAAGTCAGATATACAGAGAAGAGACAGAGAGGAAGATCTTCCTTCTATTGATTCACTCCCCAAGTGGCCACTTCTCTTGGCCCTGAGCTAATCTGAAGCCAGGAGCCAGGAGCTTCCTCCAGGTCTCCCATGCGAGTGCAGGGTTCCAAAGCCTAGGCCGTCCTCGACTGCTTTCCCAGGCTACAGATAGAGAGCTGGATGGGAAGTGGGACCACTAGGACCAGAACCGGTGCCCATGGGATCCCGGCACATGCAAGGCGAGGATTTTAACCACTAGGTTACCACACCAGGCCCACAGATAGACATTGTAAAGTTGGATGCTGTTAGCATCCTTCAAATATCCCCTTTCACCAGACTATTAATGTGAAAGACTATTAACTAGTTTTTAAATATATAAAGTACTATCTTAGTACCATATATTTTCTTTCTTTTCCATTCGTGTATTTATTCCATAGTCAAAACAAATCATAATTTTAAGCCATAACTTTTTTAAAAGACAAAAGAATTTGTGGCACAGCTGCATTAACAAAACAGACACTAGTCTAAAGGGTAATACTAAACAGGTATTCTCTCTGTTCCCAGGGTGGAATAAATATGCAGCAGTGACACATAACAATTCACTGAAAGGCTCAAATGAGGCAAAGACCCTGTTGAAACAAACCAAACAATGAACAGAGACAGGCTGCAAACAGTTTCTAATAACCTCTTGCTGCAAGAGGGAGAAACTCCCAACGATCTAACTCAAACCCTTCACCTGTATGCCCAGCCCTGGTTCCTTCCTCAGTTCACACCCAAATTCAAAAAGGCTTCTGCACCTGTGGTCCAAACTGCAACCCTAAGTCATAGAGGCCTCAGCAGAGGCTGCCCTTCATGAGGCTGCGTGCAACCTTCAGGCAAATCAGAGACCCAAATACAGAACACAGCACCATTACTCTAAACAACAGATTTAACTGTCAAATGAGCACTGACATCTAGTAAGCCTTATGTATTTCATGAACAAACAGTACCCTATATTTTCATTCACCAACATTGTACTTAGATTCTTGCTCTCTGTTTCCTTCTTTATATCTCTTCCTCTCTTACCTTTAGATCTTCTTGTTTTTTTCATGTGAGAAACCTGTACCTAGCTAAGAAATGCTTCCTATTGGTGACAAAAGACTGTTGCTGATGATTCATCCCAGAAAGCTAATAATTTTGCAGTGACTACTCCAGTGCAAAGGGGAAAACTGAATTTTCTAGGTTTGTCTAATTTTAACATTGTTTACTCTGTAATCTCTTTAAAAAATGCCTGATACATATTACATCGTGACAAGTGTTAGCTAGTATTACTGCCACAGATTATTCTTATCATAAAATACGGATTTACTGAACACCAAACCAGTCAGCTAAATCACACCTGCTATTGTACAAAACATTGAAAAGAAGGTGAAAAACATGTTCAATAAATAGTTTCCAGAGCAAAGACTTAATATTTTTGATATTTAAAATATTAAATGTTATTAAAACTTTAAACCTATACACCAAGCTGTATGAAATAACTTAATTTCACAGAATTTTATTTTCATGTTCTATATAACTATTTTTATACTATAATTTTAAATAAAAATCATTTGGAAGTTTTTTGGGAGTTGTGTTTCCTTTTTAATCCCTTTAGCCAAAAAATACATACTGAATTTGCATCCTATGCCACATGCTGTTTTACATACTGAAGATACATATCTGAATAAGAGAGCCAAGAAGTCCTGGGGACCAACGCCATGACTTAGCCAGCTAATCCTGCACCTGCAGTGCCAGCTTCCCATTTGGGCGCTGGATCAAGTCACAACTGCTCCACTTTCCAATCCATTTCTCAGCTTATGGCCTGGGAAAGCACCAAAGGATGGCCTTGGGACCCTGCACCCACATGGGAGACCCGGAAGAAGTTCCTGGCTCCTGGCTTCGGATCAGCTCAGCTCTGGCCACCGTGGCCATTTGGGAAGTGAGCCAACAAATGGAAAATCTCTAGCTCTCTCCCTCTCTATAATTCTTTCAAAAAAAAAAAAAAACAGAGCTAAGGAATCCTGCCTTCATGGAGTTTATGTTGCAATAAGAGAGGTGCATCACCCATAAATAAGTAAAATGTGTTAGTTAAGCAAAGAAGAAACAGTGAAACCAGAAACAGCTAGGAAATGTAATTGAACTGTAAAAAAAAAAAAAAAGTGTTGCTGCAGTTACCTCAGCATTGGAGTCAATGAGGCAAGCAACAGCTGGTTTCTAAAAGCAGTTAATGACAGTGCAAAGGCCCTGGGACTTGCAACTTCTAGTATCCATATAAATCACCAGAACTTTTTTCCTTCCCTAAATCACTAAATAAAATACAATACAACAAATTAAAACAACATTTTCAGGGTAAGTCTTTGATTCTATGGTTAAAACACAGCTTGGAATACCCACATCTCTTCTCCAGTTGCCTGGGTTCAAGTCTTGTGCTCCAGATGACATAGGAGAAGCAGCAGCACATGGCCGAAGTGTTTGGGCCCCTGCCACCTATGTAGGAGACCTGGAAGAAGCTTCTGGCTCCTGATCTTGGTTGGGGAGTGAACCTCTGTGTAACATTCAAATAAAACAAAGAGGGGGAAAATGACTGAAATATTTCCGGTTTCATCTCTCATTTTTTAGAAGAAAAAAGCCAGCTACTTCTTGACTTTTGAAGTTAATATAATGATAGACTTTAAACCACTGATGTCTAGGGATAACGTGTCCCTGCAGTTGTTACAGAGAAGTTAACCCCAGCAGTGGCCTGTAAAATGGAGAGAGAAAATGAGGTTGATAAACCTAACTATGAGGAATAAGCCACTGTGGGAGGGCAGTAACATCAAACCTAAGATGTCAGCAGAACAAGCCGATTGGTTTTACATGAGCCAACTAAAATGCTAACAAAATTCTTAGCTTGGAGTGCTGGCCTGAATGTTTTTATGTTAATGACAGTATTACAAGGGTTATAACCTAAAGTCCAAATGTGCCAAAAAACAAACTCATTTCAACAGAGCTTTTCCATGGCTCTGTTGCTCCCACATAGTAAGAGAAGGTCAAATCTATTAAAAAAAAAAAAAAACAGAACATTAGAGTACCTACAAGGGATATAGCCTCAATAATATAGAGGGAGTGCTAGGATGAGTTATATATATATATATATAAAAAAAAAACCTGGAGTGGAAGAAAATAGACATGTGCACCTACAAATATTCTTGCAAAACTAAGCTTGATATCACTTTACATGAGTATTCAAAGTAGGATATGCAAGGGCCAGCATTGTGGCCGACTGGCTTAAAACCCAGCACCAATGTTCCACACCAAGTGGTTCAAGTCCCAGCTACTCCCAATCTATACTCCTGCTTAGTGATTCTGGGAAGTCAGCCATCAGAAGATGACCAGTGGAGGACCCAACTAGAGTTCCTGGCTCACAGCTTTGTCCTGGCCCTGTTCTAGCAATGGTGGCCATTTGAGAAACCAAGTGATGGATGAACTCTGCCCTTCCACTCTCTGCCACTCTTCCAAATCCATTTTAAGGTATGAGGGACCCCTTTATGACATTTAGGAACATTAAGACATCAAATCTATTTTGAGTATTATTTTTCAATTAAAAGTGTTATTTTAGGACAGTGTGGTGGCATAGCATACTAATCCTCTACCTGTGTTGCCAGCATTCCCTATGGGCACTGGTTCTAGTCCTGGATGCTCCACTTCTGAACCATCTCTGTGATAATAGTCTGGGAAGGCAGCAGAGAATGTTCCTGGCCTTGGGTTACTGAACCCACATGGGAGCTCCAAAAGAAGCTCCTGGATCCCGGCTTCAGTCCAGCACAGTTCTGGCTACTGTAGCCATTTGGAGAATGAATCAAAGATGGAAGATCTCTGTCTCCTCTCCCTTCCCCTACCTCCTTGGGAACTTGACTTGTCCTGTAATGGACTTACCATTGTTATTTCTAAATTGTTTCCAAATTTTAATTTCTGATATGGTGAATCCATATAACAAAAACAGGTATTTCTTTATGTTTTCAGTAATTTTTGAGAGTCAAAGGGGATACTGCAATAAAACAATCTGCTAACTTCTGTTTTTTGTTTGTTTGTTTGTTTTTAAGACTTATTTGGAAAGTCAAATATATACAGAGAGACAGAAATAAGGTTCTGTCCACTGATTCACACCCCAGATGGCCACAATGGCCAGAGCTGCACCTATCTGAAGCCAGGAGTTTTTTCCGGGTCTCCCACGTGGGTGCAGGATCCCAAGGCTTTGGGCTGTTCTCAACTGCTTTTCCAGGCCACAAGCAGGGAGCTAGATGGGAAGAGGAGCAGCTAGGACACAAACCAACGCCCATATGAAATCCCAGCGCATGGAGTAAGGATTCAGCTACTGAGCCATCACGCTAGACCCTGTTCTATTTCTTCTTTTTTAAGATTTTTATTTAAAAGGCAGAGTTCCAGACAGAGAAGGTGTGACGGAGATTGTCCATCAGCTGGTTTACTCCCCAAATTATGGCAGAGCTGGAGCTGGCCTGTCCAAAGCCAGGCACTTCATCCAGGTCTCCCACGTGAGTTCCAGGGCCTCAACTCGCAGATTATCTGTGCGTTCCCCAAGCATATCAGTAGAGAGAGGAATCAGAAGAGGAACAGCTGGAACTTGAACCGGCAATCGTATGGGATCTCAGCACCACAGCAGTTCAGCTTGCTATGTGCAGCAAGGGCCCCAATGGGCTACTCTTTTATAGTAGGTCGCCAGCTCTCAACTCCACACATTAGTTACCTGGGAAATTTAAATGGTAATGCTAAACCTCACCGCTAGAAGTTCTGACTTGGTCAGGGATTAATCCCAAACGTTAAGAAAAAAGAAATTCCTATGCCGCCACTGGTTCATAATACGCAGTCTAGACTGCACATGATTGCTTCAAAAATAATTCGTCACTTAAAGATTGGGGGAAAGGTACGTGTAGATTTATACTGTGAGTTGTGTAGCGAGCAATAGCAGCAAGAAACTACACAAGCATAAGGGCCCATCGCAATGGCGTAGTGATTAAGGTCCTAGCCTTGAACGTGCGCCTTCGAGCATCCCATATAGGCACTGGTTCTAATCCCAGCAGCTCCACTTCCCATCCAGCTCCCTGCTTGTGGCCTGGAAAAGCAGTCGAGGACGGCCCAAAGCTTTGGGATGCTGCACCTGCATGGAAGACCCAGAAGAGGTTCCTGGTTCCTGGCTTCGGATTGGCGCAGCTCCGGCCATTGTGTCCACTTGGGGAATGAATCATCAGATGGAAGATCTTCCTCTCTGTTTCTCCTCCTCCTCTGTATATCCGCCATTACAATAAAAATAAATAAATCTAAAAAAAAAAAATATATATATATATACAGACATCGGCTCCCTGCCCCAGTAAACGGGTGTGTTAATGCTAGGGAATAACCATATAAAATGAAACCAAACCCCAGCAACCTCAGAAAGTAACTCTGTTCCACCCCAGTTTTGCGGCCAGCCAGAAAAAGAAGCAGGCGCTCCGATGGGCCTGGCGCTACCTCGGCTGGGCGCGGCAGGCACGTGGGCAGGGAGTCACCTGACCGGCGCCGGATGGCGGGAAACCGTTGGGGGCGCCTGCGCAGCTCAGCGGAACCCTCACGTCGGGCACGCTGGTTTCCCGGCGTGCCTAGCGCCCCTTTCCCGCCACGGCAACGCCGCAGCAGTTTGGGGCTCCCCCTCGGCGTCGCTTTCGTGGCGTGTGGGTCGGCTTGGAGTCGGTGTTTTCACATCCATCCTCCTGCCATGCAGCGTGAGCCTGCCAGGAAGAAGCCCGAGAAGCATGAGAAGCGGCTGTTTGACGCCATGTCCTTCGGGAAGGACCTGCTGGCCGGCGGCGTGGCGGCGGCCGTGTCCAAGACGGCGGTGGCGCCCATCGAGCGAGTGAAGCTGCTGCTGCAGGTGCAGGCGTCGTCCAAGCAGATCAGCCCCGAGGCGCGCTACCGAGGCATGGTGGACTGCTTGGTGCGGATTCCCCAGGAGCAGGGTGAGTGTGGCCGGCTTCCCGGGAAGCGGGGCTGCCCCAGGCGGGTGCTGCCCACGTCTGTCGGGGATATGAGCTCGTCCATGCTTGAACCTCTCACGGCTTCGTTAGTTCCTCGGGCGGTCCAGAAGACTCGGCTTTCCCAGGGCCAGGAAGGCCCACGCGTGACCAGTCCTGCTGCTGCCCATGGACAGGCCAGGCAACCTGAACATGACCCGAGGGGACTACTCGGGGTTGAAGGGCTGCTGGTGTAGTTGCTGCTCCGCGTAGCTTATTTCTTAAAGTACGAAAACACCTCAGTACCGGGCTACCTGTTACTTCAAAGAGGTTCTGTTTTTAGTCTTGGAAATTGCTAAAACACAGAGCTGAGACTAATGTGGCACACAGTGATGCATAAAATTTAAGGAAACCCGAAAGCTTACTGATAGAGATAAATAGTATGTTTTAAAATCAAAAGTTATGCGAGAAGATCTGTGATAAACAAAATATTAATGTCTTAAGATTTTTTAAAAATCAGGTCTGGTCATTATTTAGAATTTTTTTTTTGCTCATTGTGAAACTTTTCTCACTAATAGTGAAATGATGTATACTGGTAATAATGCAAGTGTTTTGAGAACCGTTGTTATACAGTGGTTCATAAGATTGCAGGGAGGGATAAATTTGTCTGTATTCCCATGTGCTTCACTCGTATAGTTGGATTCTTTTTGAGATCTTTACAAACTTTAAAAAGGAAATAAGCCACCTCTCTGCAACTGTGCCTCTCATATAAAGAAACATCAGCACCAGGAAAAGGAAAATAGAACAAGAAGTGAAGTGGCTTCAACTCCGTGGCAGCCCCTTCTTCCACTCCTGGGTCTAAAGCAAAAAGTACTTCTTCCCTGGGGATGTGGTTACAACCCTTCCTGAGGGCTACACTGTGATTCTAAAACAGTCACTTGGGAACTGAGCTCACTTCCGTCGCTTTGGCTCGCCTCTCCCCACTCGCAGTCATTTTAACAAAGCAGCTTCCTGAGTCACTCAGGTATTCCGTTTTTGTGCCACTGGTTTGTACCCCACTTTCCCATGCCAGGAAAGATGGAACCTCTCCCTCCTTGGTTTATGTTCTAAGACCTCTGGAGAAGTAGGATCCTATTTACTATTAGCTAGTCTCTTTTGAATATTTAATCAGGTAAAGCAAAGGTTATGGTCAGAATGTGCTGACCAATGCTGGTTAAATTTTAAATGTTTTTGTGGTAATGTTTAAATCTAAGCATTTATTATGGCTCTTTTCTTTTTCTCTCTTTTAAGAAATACAAATTTTCCATCACTCTGGAAGTCAGTTTTGTACTTTCCTCTAGCTAACAGCTATTAGGTCCAGAGGCAACTGAGAGTGAGAGACAGGCTTAAAAAAAAAAAGATTTATTTATTTTTATTGCAAAGGGATATCAGATTTGCTGAGAGAGGGAGAGACAAAGATCTTCCATCCACTGGTTCACTCTCCAAGTGGCCACTATGGCTAGAGCTGCGCTCATTTGAAGCCAGGAGCCAGGAGCTCTTCCAGGTCTCCATGCAGGTGCAGGGTCCCAAGCCTCTGGGCTGTCCTTCACTGCTTTCCCAGGCCACAAGCAGGGAGCTGGATGGGAAGTGGGGCTGCCAGGATACGAACCAGTGCCCATATGGGATGCTCGAAGGTGAGGATTTAGCCATTAGGCTCCAAGCCCCTAAGTAGTATTGTTATCACCCACTACTTTCTGTACCTTCCAGGCTGAGATGCTCATAAATGAGCTTTTAAGAAGCAGTTTTCTGTTCTTAGGAAAATAGGAAGCCTTCTGGGTGCATCATAATAGAGCCCTAAGCTGAGGGAATTCACAACAGGAATAATATTGCCATCTAGAGGCATTTTTGGAAATTTGAAGAAATTTCTTAGCACCAAGACAGGTGTAATCTTGAACTGCAATGATATGAAAGGCAAAGGCCACATATTTTTCATAAGACTGGAACAGCAAAGGTGTTTTAATACACTAGGAAGGGTTTGTTGTGAAGGTAACACTGACACCTCTGTGCCAGTCAGTTACGTAGTCCATGAGAGCGAGTCATCCTGCAAAGAGCAGTGGGAGTTCCATGGAATAGACATGATGCTAGGCATCCTTCCTCAGTTATTATGCAGTTATTTGCGTGTATCCAGTTGGTGGATTTGTAGCCTTCATTACCAAATGTTAGCTAAGTACCTGAAATATGGACATACTTTCAAGATTGTACCATGAAAGCTCAACCAAGCATATCATTACTATCAGATAAACCATAGGAAAATAACACAAATGGTGCCATTCACTCCAAGAATTACTCCGTCATTCACAGAGTGGAAGCATCAGACCTGAGACAAGAAGGCTGAAATGTAGATTGGTGTGCACTGTTATAAGATTATTTTACTTATTTGAAGATAGTTACAGAGAATATTCTTTAAAATGCTGCAACAACTAGGATTGAGCCAGTCCTAAACCAGGAGGTTGGGATTCCATCTAGGACTCCTAGATGAGGGGCAGGGGCCCTAGTGACAGAGCCATTTGCTGCTTTCTTCAAGTGTGTTGTCAGGGAACTGGATCAGCACTAGAGCCAGCCAGATGTGCAAGTGGTGTGCATCCGGGAAGCTGACAGCTCAGTGGCAGCTTAAATTGCCTTACAATGCTGCACAATTACTGCATGCCTCACCCGATGGTACCTTGAGGTAACAGCAGATGATGGGATGCAAACATCATGTAGCAAGGTATTTAAAATGATTATTGAATAAATGCTGTTTTAATGCTCTAAAATTGACTAATGTTGAAGCTTTCCCCTGACAACCTTGGCTTGATAGTTTTTCATCATTGTTTGTCTACATTCTCCATAGTTCTTACTTATTTAATCGTCATTAGTCTCCCTGGTTTCTCCTCCTAAAATGTAAGTTCTGTAAGACCAAGAACTTTACACCTAGGGCTGGCGGCGTGAGTTAGCACATTGTCTGCTATGCAGTGATTACCAAATAGAATATTTTCAAATTAATAATCATCATCTCATTCTTTAATTTATATTTTGGGAATGCTTTACAAATGTACATTATAGGATATTATAGCCTTGGGACCCTGCACCCGTGTGGGAGACCCAGAAGAGGCTCCTGGCTCCTGGCTTTGGGCATGCTACTTCCCTGTATCTTGGAAATTGTTTTAACTCATTATTTCTTGCGAAAACTGGAGAGAACAATAGTTTATATCTTGAGTGATTATAAGAATTAAATTAGCTGATCTATAGAAATTTATTGGTTTTCACTTTTGTTAATTTTAATTCCAAGATAATTTTTACCATTATTGAGGAAATTGAAAAATAAGAGTTTTATATGTTTACAGTATATTAAGTGATTTTTATATGTTTATGTGTCATAGATTTTTTGCCATAGTGAAGATAATTAATTTATCTGTTAGCTCAGATAGTTACTGTTTTGTCTGGGAATGAGAACATTTGGGATCTATTCTTTTAGTGAGTGTCAAGCATATAATACATTTTTATCAGCCATAGCCACCACATTAGATATCCAGAGCTTACTTACCTGGCACTACTGAAATCCTGTAATTTTTAACTAGGAGCACTATCTCCCTGGTTTTTATCTCTCACTCCCTCCTTAAACCTATCCCACCTCTGATAACCATGCATTTATCCTCTACTTAAGTTTAGCTTTTCAGATTCCACATGTAAATAAGATGGCACAGTATTTGTCTTTCTGTGTGTGGCTATTATATTACTTATCATTAATGTCCTTTGGTTATTCCAGGTTGTAAATTGCAAAATTCATTAAAAAAATTTTCTTTTAGTTATTAGGAAGGTAGAGAACCACAGGTCTTCCATCTGTTAATCTATTCCCTAAATGCCCGCAACAGCCGGAAGTGAATCAGGCCAAAACTAAGAGCCTGAAACTCAGTGCCGATATTCCTTCTGTGTGGCAAAAGCCATCGCCTGCTGTCTCCCAGAGCATGCATTAGAGGACAGCTAAAGTCAGAGGCTGGCATCGGGGCACAGTATGTGAAGCTATTGCTTGAGATGCCAGCATTGGTTTCAGTCCCAAATGCTTTGCTTTGGATGCGGCTTCATGCTGATGCACCTGCAGAAGATGGCCTTTAGTGTCTGCGCCCCTGCCACTCAAGTGGGAGACTTAGATGGGGTTCTAGGCTTTTGACTAGCCATTTGGGGAGTGAACCAGCAGATGGAAGGATCTGTCTCTGTAACTCTGCCTTTCAAATAAGTAAATAAATCTTTAAAAATACACACGTGTATACACACGTGTGTAAAAATGCACACACACACACACACACACGGCTGGAGTCAGAAGCAGAGCTGGGACTGGAATCCAGATGCTGTGACACCTGATGCCAGTCCCCAGCAGGTGTCTTAACTCTGAGCCAAGTGCCTACTGATAGTATTCCTAGTATACATGTCACTTTCTTTCATATGGAAACCTAAGTTGCTTCCATATGTTAGCTATTATGAATAATAGTATGACTAGCTAATGTAATACTGCAAGGAATGTAGATCTGCAACATCTTGATTTAAGTTCCTTTGGATGTATTACCCACTTGTGGGATTGGTGGGTCATACAGCAGTTCTACCTTGTGTTTTTAGTTTTTTGACACTTCCATGCTGTTTTCCAAAGTGGCTTAACATCCTGTAACACAATAAAAAAGTTTCCCTTTCTCTACTTCCTCACTAATGCTTCTTTCATCTTATTTAAAATAGCCATTGTAACAAGTGCAATGTGATATTGTGATTTTGATGTGCATTTCTCTGATAATTGTGGAGCTAGAAGATGCTAATCTCTGACAAACATGAATGAGCTTGGTTTTTCCCATAGTAAAGACTTCTATATTTAGCTAATAATGCTTTCCTTAGGTTTTATCTACTCAGGCCCCTTTTTCTAAATTAACAAAATTTCAGTAGAGTACATTAAGTTAACACTACCTCTTCAGAGGACACATATTTTAGAAAATTTTATTTGCAGGAGAACAGATATGCTTTAGAAAAATAACTCATTTTGTTGAAACTGAGAATTCTCTAGTAATAATATAGTGTAAGTTAATATATTTTAATATTGTATTTTATAGGTTTCCTTAGTTATTGGCGAGGCAATTTTGCAAATGTTATCCGGTACTTTCCGACACAAGCTCTAAACTTCGCTTTTAAGGACAAATACAAGCAACTTTTCATGTCTGGGGTTAATAAGGAAAAACAGGTAACTACATTTCAATGTTTCTAGAATGTTTTATCTGGTCAGATTTCTCTTGTGACGTTTTGTTCTTGGGAGGTAGAACAAGGCCATCAGAACAGACTAATTGTTAACATTTATGGGATGTGCTACATTGTGAAGTTGATAAACATTGTGTGCCGATTGTACCACTGGAGTTCCAATGGAGGTTATATGTGAAAAACAAAATTATGTTAACTTTTCATAAAGCTCACTGAGCTCTTCACAGTCTTAACAGCTAGGGGCATTTTCTCTCAAGGCAGTATTTCATATAAAATGTAATGCAATTTGTATCATAAATCACTGTTTTACTGCACTGGGGATAATTTGACATTATCTCTTTTTAAAACGAAAGAGTCAACAGATTATATTTCCTACCACTGAGATAGATTATTGCCTAAAGTGAATTTTTATCTACTAATGATCTGTTTACCTGTGATTAAAATTTATACCAAGGAAATCAAACAAAACAGGAAAATAGCAAACTTAGGTTAGAGATTTCTGGTTTTTTATTATAAGAATATTTTTTTTTGTTTTGTTTTCAGGTTAATTCCCTTGGTTATAAAACCTTAATTTCAAAGTTCCCAATCATATAAACCACATTGTCATTTTTCTTCATTTCATTTTAGATTTTGAATTTTCAGATTAGAAATATTTAGTAGAAAGGCCATTGGAAATACTCCAAAATTCAAAGAATTCTAAAACCTAAGAACACACAGTCCCAAGTATTTTGGATGAAAGATACTTGAGCTGCATAAACTCTACTAATCTGAGGCAAAATAGACTAAGTAAGAGACAATAAAAATAAATGTCATTATATAATTATAAATACAACAAGGTAGCAATTGCAACTATCCAAGCAGTTTTCAAAAAGTTAAGAAGCATATTATAAAAAAACTAAGGATCTAGGTTGAAGCACTAAAACAGAAGTTTGAAAAGAACTCCCAATAGACAAATATAAATTCTGCTAAAATTGAAGAAAATAAATATAAATTTATCATAAAATTGGATGGAACAATAGTGAAATCACTGATGCTTTTTGAAAAGTTTAATGAAGACAGTATCTGAATAAGTCAGCAATTCACAAAATGAATAAAAGGCGTGAGACAATTGTGAAGATGAAACCTATAGTGGCAGATCATCTATATCAGTATGTAAGGAAAAAAGTAATCTTTTTCATGCCTAATTGAAGATGACTGATGGTTAACAGAAGAAACGAGCTAATGCCGTAGACATTTCAACTGACTCAGCTTACACAATTTTGGTTTTACAGTCATTTTAGAAAACAGTATGGAATCATCACAAAACCTAAAAGGAGGGTTGGTGCTGTCACATATCCCATGTCATCTCTGTTTTGGGTCCCAGCTGCTCCTCTTCCGATTCAGCTCCCGCTGTTGTACCTGGGAAAGCAGCAGAAGATGGCCCAGGTGCTTGGGCCCTGGCATCCCTGTGGGAGACTCAGAGTTCCCAGCTCATGGTCTTGCCTGACCCAATACTGGTTCCAGAGACCCTTTAAGAAGTAAACTAATGGATGAAAGGTTGCCTCTCCTCTGAAACTCTGGCTTTCAAATAAATAAATAAATCTTTAAAAAATAATAACATACTAAAAATGCAAATAGCACTACTGTATGATTCAGCAGTCCCACTACTGGGTATATCCAAAGGTACTGAAATCAGTATGTTAAAATATCTAGCTAATATACACAAACAACCTTGGTGCACATATGAAGAAAATTTTGTGTAAAAGAGCATCCTTATGTATGTATGTGTGTATATATTATTGCAATCAATTTTATATGAGTTGGATTTAAGAAATTTCATGGGGCCTGACATGGTGGCCTAGCAACTAACATCCTCACCTTGAATGCACCAGGATCCCATATGGGCACCAGTTCTAACCCCATCAGCCCCGCTTCCCATCCAGCTCCCTGCTTGTGGCCTGGGAAAGCAGTCTAGGACAACCCAAAGCCTAGGGATGCTACATACGTGTGGGAGGCCTGGAAGAAGTTCCTGGTTCCTAGCTTCGCATTGGCACAGCTCCGGCCATTATGGCCACTTGGGGAGTGAGTCATCAGACGGAAGATCTTACTCTCTCTCTGTCCTCCTCTCTGTATATCTGACTTTGCAATAAAATAAATCTTAAAAAAAAAAAAATAGAACCTAAACTGTCAAAGAAAGTCCTTTCCAAACCAGTAAAATAATAAATGAGAATTCCAATGCTATTTAAGACTCAAAACTTACTAGAAATAGGAGCCACAGAATAAAGTGACCTCTACTAGAATATTATTGCTTTAAAGTATTTAGTGATTACAAGGGCCTAATGGCTGGGTTTTCTTTAATATTGCAAATTCAGAATTTTCTGTCTTTTCCCTTATGCACGAGATGTTGAAGAATAGTTTGTTAGGCTTGGGTTAGCCATATCTTAAATGTTTATAAAAAAGTTACACATTCTACACCAGTAAGACCTAACCTTCACATGCATTCCAGCTACATTATCACTGATGTCTGCCAATTTTCGTGTTGTTTCAATATAAGTGGATATTTTTGAGATGTTACAATTTAATCCAGGGGCAGAAGGCAGTAAGCCTAATGGCTGAAATCCTCACATTGTGTGCACCAGGATCCCATAGGAGCACAGCTTTGTATCCCGACAGCTCCACTTCCCATCCAGCTCCCTGTTTGTGGCCTGGAAAGCAGTGGAACACAACACAAAATCTTGAGACCCTGCACCTGCATGGAAGACCTGGAAGAAGCTCCTGGCTCCTGGCTTTGGATCAGCTCAGCTCTGGCCTTTGTAGCCACTTAGAGAATGAACCAGCAGATAGAAGATCTTTCTCTGTTTCTTTCTAAATCTGCCTTTCCAATAAAGATAAATAAATCTTTAAAATAAATTTAATTCTGTTGAAATTACAAAATGAAATTAGGACAACGTGAAATCTGCTCCCCTCCCAAGAAAAATGCTCAGCTAAAGTCTGCATATATACTTGACATTTAAACATGGGTGTAGCTGACACTACAGTTTAAAGAGTCTGAAAAGATGATTATCTTCCGTGCTGTCTCTTAATAACTTGGTCTCCTTTTGCTGTGGAATGTTGAAATACCCTGAAGTTTCAGATAATATCTAACCTATATCTTCCAGGTGGCATAGTGAGAAACAAAGGTGACGTGATATTAAAAGAAATTCTGGATAATATGTTATGTATACATGTTTACTTTATATAAGTTGCTTGGGAATCTGACCTCTTCCATTTATTTTTCTTTTCCTTTTTTCTCTATTGAACCTGGAGTTTTAGCATTTGTAAACATAAAAACTTATTAGCTACTTTAAATGATTATGTAGTTTAATGAGTTTTTTATTTCATGTTTCAGTTCTGGAGGTGGTTCTTGGCAAACCTGGCCTCTGGTGGAGCTGCCGGAGCAACTTCTTTGTGTGTAGTTTACCCTCTGGATTTTGCCCGAACCCGATTAGGTGTTGATATTGGAAAAGGTATGGAATATTTAGAAATATTACTTCTTCCTTCTTTGTGTTGTTATTTCTTGCAGAGTTTTTGCTGTACCAACAGTGTTACTGGGTGTAGTTTACAGATTTTCCTCCCAACCAATGACATTTTAATGTAAAATAGAAGTAATAAAAGTAAGCAAATAACTACACTGTAGTGTCTATGATAAATTAAGAAAATACCAGTTATATGTAAGCAATCACAGAAAGTATAAATTTGAAACAAAAATAATAGGAGTTTCATCTGTTATATTGCTTGAAAATAAAAGCGACTCTGTATCTTATCAAGTTCTATAGTTTTTATCTTTGAAAATGAGATTTAATTTATTTTAGAATATTGTTATAATTGTAAAGTATTATTAAGGAGTTCTAAATCAAAAGCAAATGCAGGGCCCAGCGCGATGGTGCAGTGGTTAAGGTCCTCGCCTTGCACGCCCAGGATCCCATTTGGGTGCTGATTCTAATCCCGGCAGCCCCACTTCCCATCCAGCTCCCTGCCTGTGGCCTGGGAAGGCAGTTGAGGACGGCCCAAAGCTTTGGGACCCTGCACCCACATGGGAGACCCGGGAGAGGCTCCTGGCTTCGGATTAGCTCAGCTCCAACTGTTGCGGCCACCTGGGGAGTGAATCATCGGACAGAAGCTCTTCCTCTCTGTCTCTCCTCTCTGTATATCCACCTTTCCAATAAAAATAAAATAAATCTTAAAAAAAAAGCAAATACATAATCATAAAAGTGGAAAAATACTACACATATGAAATGTTTGTCCTAGACTTGGTAGTCTGCATTGTTGTCTTTTTCTCTTTTCAGCAGTGCTAAAATGTTTTCTATTTATAAGTATTTTCTGGTGAATTGTCATAACAATCATGAAATATTTTTTAGTAAGGTTGTTTGACTTAGATTGATTTTTGTAAGAGATAATATCTTTGGGCCTGACGCAGTAGCTCAACGGCTAAAGTCCTTGCCTTGCGTGCACCAGGACCCCATTTGGGTGCTGGTTCTAATCCCGGTAGCCATGCTTCCCACCCAGCTCCCTGCTTGTGGGCTGGAAAAGCAGTCAAGGATGGCCCAGAACCTTAGAACCCTAAACCCACATGTGGAAGACCCGGAGGAAGTTCCTGGCTCCTGGCTTCAGATGGGCACACTTGGGGAGTGAATCAGCAGACAGAAGATCTTCCTCTCTGTCTCTCCTCACTGTATTTCTGACTTTCCAATAAAAATAAAATAAATCTTTAAAAATAGAACATCTTTTAAGATACTGTTTAAAATCTTGTTTATCTTAATATGAATGAAAATTTTGATTTTTGCCTCCATTAAAATTCTGATTAAGAGTTCTAGATCATTAAAATCTGTAAAATATCTCATTTGCTTTTATTAAAATATTTTACATGTAATATTGCTAATATATTTTATATGATTTATTTTAGGTCCTGAAGAACGACAGTTCAAAGGTTTAGGTGACTGTATTGTTAAAATAGCGAAATCGGATGGAATAGTTGGCTTGTACCAAGGGTTTGGCGTTTCAGTTCAGGGAATCATTGTGTACCGAGCCTCTTACTTTGGAGCTTATGATACAGTTAAGGTAAATTTGGGAGACTTAGCTGGTTATATGGATGGTACATTTCTTTTTATTCTAATTAGTAATTTATTCCATGGATGTTGCTTTTAGTTGTAGGAATTAAGCTAAATGATAGAATAAGGGAGATAAAACTCTTTAATTATGACTTTAGCATATTACAATGTATCTGTGTTTTGAATTTGACTTTATATGTAAAGTGCATACCAAAAGAGCACACACACCAAAAAAGATGTTTGCCTTAAATAACCTGGTACAAATTGCACAACATTGACATTTTGGTATCTAAAAATTTGCTGGAAGTTTCTCTGATTTCACATTAATTTTATCAGTACTTTTTTTTAAGATTTATTTATTTTCATTACAAAGTCAGATATACAGAAAGGAGGAGAGACAGAAAGATCTTCCGTCCAATGATTCACTCCCCAGGTGAGCGCAACGGCCGGTGCTGTGCCAGTCCAGAGCCAGGAGCTAGGAACTTCCTCCAGGTCTCCCATGCGGGTGCAGGGTCCCAAGGCTTTGAGCCATCCTTGGCTGCTTTCCCAGGCCACAGGCAGGGAGCTGGATGGGAATGGAGCTGCCAGGATTAGAACCAGCTCTCATATGGGATCCTGGTGCGTTCAAGGCAAGGACTTTAGCTGCTAGGCCACCACGCTGGGCCCCATCAATACTTTTAATATGTGAATAATTAGCCTTTGTCATTTTGGGAAGTAGGTTAGATATAATTAATTAAATCTGTGGTGGTTTGTCTGTTGGATAGTGTTAAATCCTGTGCCATATTCTCCATTAGGTTCTGCAATTATTTTTATATACAGCACTTCCACAAAGTAGAAAGATTCTAGTAATGGCTGCCATTTTTTGAGCTATTAGTTCTAGTAACTGTTACTTCATGCATTCACAGTGTTCTAACATGACTTTTACTACAATTTTTAACAAATAGACGAGGAATGGGTATATAATTTATTTATTAAATTGCAAACTATGCTTTTAATCACATAATGCTTTCAAAAAGAAGTAATGGAATTAGTATCAATGTTATTTATTACATGAAATTAAAACTTCAGGAAAATTCGTAACAGATTTATATATCATTTCTACTCCCCTTCATTAGCATAAATGCAATTAAATATCCTTGTGTTCAAGACAAATGTATTTTTAAACAGTTAGGCTGGGGTTAGTTCCATGGGATTCTAGCATAAGCCTCTGTCTGTGGTGCCAGCATTCCATATGGGCACTAATTCAAGTCCTGATAGCTCTGCTTTTGATCCAACTACCAGCTTCAGGCCTGCAGAAGCAGCAGAGGATGGCTCAAGGCCTTGGGCCCTGGCACCCATGTGTGAGACCCAGAGGAAGCTCCTGGCTCCTGGTTTCAAATCATTCAAGCTCTGGCTGTTGTGACCATTTCGTGAGTGAACCAACAGATGAAAGATCTCTGTCTTTTTCTCTCCTCTCTGTAATTTTGCTTTTCAAATAAAATATTTATGTATGTTTATGCTAATAGAAACTACAGACTGTCAGATTCTTAATCACAGAGAGATTTATGTGCCTTCTCCTTCTTTCCTCCTAGTAATTGTAGTGGCTGTAAAATTTAGGAATACTTCTTCACTCGCCTAGAACTTTAAAGTTACTTGTTAAATAGAGTGTATTGAAGATAGCAGATATTCTTGGATCTTTTTCAACTCCACAAAGAGCGATGAAAAAACTTATTTGGCCCTAGCTGCTGTCTTCTTCAGTTTTGCATGCCATTAATAAATATTTATTCTGAATTTTTTTTTCTGCCCAGTGTTCTTTTTACATTTGATCTTACCCAAAAGGCTGAAAATGGATCCTACTATTCTTTGTAAAATAATTTTCAAATATTTAATTTGAAAGATTATAAAACTCTGCTATTTGCTGGTTCACACCCCAGTTGTTTATAGCCAGGTTAAGCCAGGCTGAGACTAAGAACCTGGAACTCTTGGTGGCAGGGACCTACATACTCCAGCCATCACCTTCTGCCTTCCATGGCACACCTTAGCAGGAAGCTAGAATGGAGGGTGGAACCAGTTCTCAAACACAGGTACTCCAGCTGGCATACGGAATCCCAAGCCTTTGCTTCATTTCTATACCAAGTGGCTGCCATCTCCCCCCACCTCAAGCATTCTTTTGAAGGATAGCTACATGTAGTTAGCATCTCTGTTTCTTCCTGATTTGCTACAATAACCCAACTATCTTAATTGAGTTTGAAGTAAATTGAGACCTCTTTTATGTGTTTAGGAAAACTGTCCTTTGACTGTATACTTTGGGTATTTTTTGGCAGTATGTTTACTTGATGTATTTTTCTTTTCTAGGGCTTACTACCAAAACCAAAAGAAACGCCATTTCTTATCTCATTTTTCATTGCTCAAATTGTGACTACATGCTCTGGAATACTCTCTTATCCCTTTGATACAGTTAGAAGACGGATGATGATGCAGGTATTTTACAAGCGTTTCAATGAAAAGCTTGACAAAAACTGTACACACTTGGGGGTGCTATTTGGTATTTCAGTACATGGATGCATGTGTTCAGAATGGAGACACACATATCTGTTTCTTCAGTTTTTGTTTATAGTGGCAACAGAATCTTGTAGATTTTTAAAAATGGAGAAAAACATGATACATTATCTGTAGTCACCACATGGTGAAAGGAGGACCCATAACTTCTTAGCCCTAACTATAAAGTAGTATCAGTTGTTCAGCCTTTTCCCAGCCTCCTGTCTCCCCTCCCTCGCCTCTGGCAAACTCCTTTGTGCATTTAACTTCTATGAGATCACTTTTTAAAGATTTATACATATGAATGAGATCATTCTGTACTTGTCTTTCCATGCTTGGCTTATGTGAATTAATATAATGACCGCCAGATCCAACCATGTTTCTTTCCCATTTATGCTCTTACCTAAGTTTTTCCAACATCTCTGATACACAGGTGTGATTTATTCAGTTAAAGAGAAATTTTGGCTGAAAGGCGAGAGTCATTTATTTTGCTTAGTTGCAGCAAATACATAATATTTTCTGTCTTAATACTTTGCTAAAATAGCTATCAGCAGGCAGTGTTCTTTCCTCATCTTTCATGAGAACAGAAATGTGTCCTGTTCCTATAAGAAAAATTCCTTGGAGGGTAAAGGATAATCAAAGAAATTAGATGCATCTATCTTAACTGAAGGGTTAAGTAGGATAAGAATAGTCATAAGCTATTGATATAGTGTTTTTGTAAGATTTATTAATTTTCATTGGAAAGTCAGAGAGGAAGATCTAGATCTGATGGTTCACTCCCCAAGTGGCCCTGACATCCAGAGCTGAACTCAGCCAAAGCCAAGAACCTGGAGTCACTTCCAGGTCTCCCACATGTGTGCAGGTTCCCAAGGCTTTGTGCCATCCTCAACTGTTTTCTCAGGCTACAAGCAGGTAGCTGGATAGAAAGTGGAGCTGCCAGGATTAGAACCAGCGCATATATGGGATCCTGATGCATGCAAGGCAAGGAATTTAGCTACTAGGCTACAACGCCTTCCAAAATTTATTTATTTTTGTTGGAAAATCAGATATACAGAGAGGAGAGACATTGAAGAAGATCTTCTGTCCACTGATTCATTCCCCAAGTAGCCACAAATAGTCAGAGCTATGTCGATCCAAAGCCTGGAGCCTCTTCTGGATGCCCAACATGGGTGCAGGGTCCCAAGGCTTTGGTCCATTCTTGACTGCTTTCTCAGGCTACAAGTAGGGAGCTGGATGGGAAATGAGGCTGCTGGGATTAGAACCGGTGTCCATATGGGATCCTGGCTCATGCACGGTGAGGATTTTAGCCACTAGGCTACTTACTATGCCAGGTCTGGTTTAGTGTAAATCAGTTTGAGCTCCAGGATAAAAACTTTTATGATAATGGTCTGTGTTCTGAATAAACATCCATAAACCAAAATTTTATACACTTTAATTTCATTGCTGTTACTTGTATTCCAGTCCTTCAACAAATATTTGAGTTCTTAATCTATGTTAAACTCAAGTCACACAAAGTCGGTCGGAATTGGCACGTAAACTCATGTATGATATTGAAGACTTAAAAGTTCATGGTTTAAACAGAAATGTTAATAGTTTCCAGAGAGGTACCTATTAGCTTAAAACTGTCCTTTGGATTAGATATGGCATCTTGGATAGCTTGGGGAAAAGGCTTTCTCCAGAGTGTTCCAAACATAGGGAACAATGCCATATGGAGAAATACTGCTTGCATACATGTTGAATGTGGTCACATAATAGCATGATTGCAAATGGAAAACAGTAGTAGTAGTTTGTTTGAGAGTCTGAGAGATAAATGAACAACTTTAATCAGGTGATTTGCTCCCTAATGACCACAATGTCTGGGTGGGGCAAGACCACAAGGCTAGAATAAAAAAGAAGGGCCCGGCACAATATCTTAGTGGCCAGATCTTCAACTTGTATTCACTGGCATCACATATGGGTTCCAGTTCGTATTCTGGCTGCTTTACTTCCATTTAAGCTCACTACTCATGGCCTGGGAAAGCATTAGACAATGTCCCAAGGTTTTGGGACCCTACACCTGTATGGAAGACCTGGAAAAAGCTTATCTCTCCTGGCTTGGAATCAGCTCAGCTCTGGCTGTTGCAGCCATTTGGGGAGCGAACCAGCGGACAAAAGAAGAGAGGCTAGGTTTAAAAAAAGTATTCAATGAAATAATAAAGAACTTCTGAAATTTGGAGAAAGAATTGGGAGCCCAGCACAGTAGCTTAGTGGCTAAAGTCCTCACTTTGCACATGCCAGGGTCCCATATGGGTGCAGCTAATCCCGGCAGCTCTGCTTCCCATCCAGGTCCTTGCTTGTGGCCTGGGAAAGCAGTTGAGGAGGCCCAGAGCCTTGTGATCCTGCACCCATGTGGGAGACCCAGAAGAGGCTCCAGGCTCCAGGCTCCAGGCTCCAGGCTCCAGGCTCCAGGCTCCTGGCTTCGGATTGCCTCATCTCTGGACATTGTGACCTCTTGGGGAGTGAATCATTGGGTGGAAGATCTTTCTCCATGTCTTTCCTGTTCTCTGTATTTCTGACTTTGCAATAAAAAAAAATAAATTTAAAAGAAAAATTGGGAAACAAAATACAGGAGGGGCACAAAACTCCCAGTAGGGTTCAAAACAAGTGATGTTCACCATGACACGTAATCAAGCTTTCTTCAGTTGAACACAAGGAAAAAGATCCTTAAATATGCACCCGAAAAAAAAATCAGTCAACATATTTAGAGAATGGAGTGACATACTCCAGATTCTAAAAGGAAAAAATTGTCAGCCCAGAATAATTAACCCAGAAAAACCTATCCTTTGTCTTTGAAACTGAAAGAATATTCTTCCATAGTAAAGAAACCCTCAGGATCTGGTGCAGTAACTTAGTGGCTAAAGTCCTTGCCTTGCATGCGTGGAGATACCATATGGACACTGGTTCTAATCCCGGCAGCCCCACTTCCCATCCAGCTCTCTGCTTGTGCCCTGGGAAAGCAAGAGAGGACAACCAAAGCCTTGGGACCTGCACCAGAGCAGGAGACCTGGGTTCTCTCTGGGAATATGATCTGTGTTTACAATATAAATAAATAAATCTTTTTTGAAAAGTCACAGAAAATGAATATTTTGGGGAGGAAAAAAAAAAAGCTCAAAGAATACACATCTTCCAGACCTGTCCTACAAATGGTACTTGAAGATGTCCTATCGACAGGGAAAAGGAATAGCACCTACCAAAACCAAAGGCAAACATAGAGAATGTTCCAATAAAACAACTAAAGAAGACTAAATAAAACAGTGACGGATCCATTGCTAAAATGACAGGACCAAATTACTGTCTGTCCATTTGAACCTGAAAGTAAATGGCTTAAACTCATCAATCAAGCATCATAGATTAGCTGTGAATCGAAAAACAAAACCCATCTATCTTTTGCCTTCACGAGGCAAGTCTCACCAACAAAGATGGTACAGGAACTGAAAGTGAAAGGATGGAAAAAGATATTCCAGGCTAGTGGAAAAGAAAATGGAGCTGTTGTAGCCATTCTTACAACAGATCATAAAGACATTGAATGAAAAATATTGAAAGTGATGAAGGACACCACAGAGTGATCAAAGGATCTATTCAGCAGGAAGAGGTCATCTTACTAGTTACTTAGGATGTTTTCTTTTTCATCTCTAATTTTACTTGGTTTTTGTATCTTGCATTTCTTTGTTAGTCTGGCTAAAAGTTTCTTTTTCTCATTTTCTTAAAAATGGCTCCTTTCTGTTGTAACTTGTAGTTTTTTAGTTTCAATTCCATTTATTTCTGCTGTGATTTTTGTCATTTCTTGCTTCCTGTTCAATTAGCTCTTGAGATGCAGTATTAGATCACTTATTTCAACATATTTCTATTTATTGTAAGAACTGGATATTACAAATGTCCCTTTCAATGCAGTTTTTGTTGCAAGTTTTGCTATTTTTGTTTTTATTTTCACTTCAAAAAAATTTCGTTTCTTACTAATCAATGATACATAGGTCATAAAATAGCATTGTTTTGTTCAAGAAGGTTTTTTATTTTCTTTTTCATTTCTTCAGTGATACATTGGTCATTCAGTAACATTTTATTTGACTTTATGTTGTAAATTTTCTATTTTTCTTCCTGTTGTTTATTTTAAGGCTTTTCATTTAAGAGGACATATAGTAATTGTAATAGAGACTATCCTATCCAGGTGTGAAGATAGAATGCAGTATGTGTCTGTACTTGCGAATCTAAGATGGATTGCCAATGAAACTGTTAAATATGTCTTGACAGTAGAAAGTTTTTTTTTTTGTTTATACTTACGTTGTCAGGATAAACTTAAAAAGCAGAATGATGGACTGTTTATGAAGGACTGTACTGTTGTAATAGTAGAGGAGAAATCAGTGTCGGGAGGGAAGAGGTTTGGGGAGGTGGAAAGGAAATCCCAGAGACTATGGAACTGTATCAGAAAATAATATAAAAAAATAAGCAAGTCTTCACCCAAAATACACAAGTGAATAAATAATTTTTTAAATAGAGACGTAATTTGCATGTAGACCATAAATTAGGTAAATGGTATTGTATCAGTGCTAAATTTCTTGATTTTGATAATTGGATAAGAAAAATACCCTGCTAGGTAGCACAGTCACTCCGCTGGCTGATCCCCCAGCTGCTGCACACTGTACTTGGAAAGGTAGATTGTGCTCCAGTCCTTGGGCCCCCATCCCCATGTGGGAAATCCGGAGGATGCTCCTGGCTTCAAATTGGCTCAGTTCTGGCTCTTGTGGCCTTTTAGGCCGTGGACCATCAGATGAAGGCTCTCTCTCTCTCCTTGTACAATCCGTCTTTCAAATAAAAATGAATCTTTTTTAAAAAAATAAAATACCATGTTCATTTAAAAATGTGCACTGAGGTGCTTCTGGATAAAAGTAATTGTACAAAAATAATTATGGCTATTTGGATTTTTGTATCTCTGCATATTTTAGTTTGCTAAGGCTGCTGTAATAATAAGTGCCACAAAAGAGTGACTGAAATAAAAGTCATTTATTTCTCACAGTGGTGAATGCTAACAATCAGAGACCAAGTTGTGGTCAGGGTTTTTTTTCTGGGATTATCTCTGCTTAGTTTATAGGTAACTACCTTCTTCCTTTATCATCACATGGTCTTTTTGATCTTTTTATAATGACTGCTATATTCGATTAGCATGCTGTCTAGTGATCTAATTTAACTTTCATTATCTTTAAAGATTCTATATCCAAACACAGTTTTATTCTGAGATTCTTCAGCATACCACTATGGCAGAGATGCATATCAGCCTTTAGCTGTATTGTTTTTCTGTTTTTGTTATTTCACATTTTTATTAATTGTATTGCAAATACTAGTCTACAGATACATGTTTGGATGGTTTAATTCACATAATGGCTATATAATCTGAAAATGGGTTTTTTTTTTATCCTAAAACTTTCCTTCCTCATCTTGCCTTTTGGCCTTGTTGAGACTTCTAATTCATTGTTAAATTTTAAAAAGCAGTAACTCGCAGTCTTGCTCTTAATCTTTTTTTTTTAAGATTTTTTCTTTTTATTAGAAGGACAAATATACAGAGAGGAGGAGAGACAGAGAGGAAGATCTTCCGTCCAATGATTCACTCCCCAAGTGGCCACAGCAACTGGAGCCGAGCCTTTCCAAAGCCAGGAGCCTGGAGTCTCTTTCAGGTCTCCCATATGGGTGCAGGGTCCCAAGGCTTTGGGCTGTCCTCTACTGCTTTCCCAGGCCACAAGCAGGGAGCTGGATGGGAAGTGGAGCTGTCAGGATTAAAACTGTTGTCCATATGGGATCCTGGCACTTTCAAGGCGAGGACTTTAACCATATGCTATCATGTTAGGCCCTATTTGGAATTTTTAAAATAATTGTCATGGGGTCAATATAGTGGCATTGTAGGTTAATCCTGTGCTAGGCTCTGGCATCCCAGAAGCTACCCTGCTTCCGATTCAGCTCTCTGTTGATGGCCTGGGAATGCAGCAGAGGATGGCTCAAGTCCTTGAGACCTTACATCCATGTGACAGACCCGAAAGAAGTTCCCATCTCCTGGCATTGGTCCTTAGCTGTGGCTGTTGCGGGCATTTGGTGGGTGAACCAGCAGATGGAAACTGTCTTCTCTGCTTCTCTCTCTGTCTCTGTGACTCTGACTTTCAGGTAAAAAATAATTTTTTTTTAATTAAAAAGATTTTTTTCCAGGAAGTAATACATTTTGCTCTTTCTTCAATTTCTGGATCTCTGTCTATTTAGTACCTTTGCCACATCTGATAATCCTGAGGTCATTTCCTTTTTACTGAAACAATGGCTGCACAAATATTTCAGAGACCCTGCCCTACTAGTTCAATTTGCAAATATCATCAGTGGTTGGCACTTGGCCAGACTGAAGCTGGACGCAGGAACTCAATCCAGATGAGCTGTAAGGATGCAGGAACTCAACTGCTTCTGAACCATCAAGCTGCTTCCCAGGCCTACCTGCCTGCCTTAGCAGGAATGTGGATTCTCGAGCTAAGGGACCGGGCATTGAACCCAGGCACTGTGATGTGGGTGTGGTGTTCCTAACTGGCAGCTTAGCCACGAGGCTAAAGGTCTGCCCATTCAGACATTTTTGCTTGCTGTGTGTTTTTCCTCTATTACTTTTCAACTTTTTGGCCACTCTGATGTGTTTATTTTCTGTCTCCTTTATTGCTGCTGATTAAATTCTTACTTTTTTTTAAGGCTTGTAGTTTTTGTTATTTAGGCTGTTCATTAATTTTCAGCCTTTTCTAGTATTTTCAAGATCACTTTTTTTTAGCAAATTATTACTCATATTGTTTCTTTGAAATTCAGTGAAGGACTTCTACAGTTATCATTTGGTTTTCAGTACTTTCTAAGAAGTGTTTTTCTTAATATCTATCCATGCAGGATGTTAACCTCTGCTGTCGATTTCCCATGTAATTGTAAATTAGGGAGAGCATAAACCATGGCCCAACTCATGCCATCCTTTGGTATTTGTCATGTCTTCAGTTTTCCAGTAAAACACAGTCACTCTCCAACCACTAGGCACAGTTTTCATATTATGTTTGTTAATATGTAGTATGAATCTAATTTGTCTGTACTGACAGGAAACTTAAGGGGAAAGGTATTAAAGATAATGAGAATCTATTTGTCTGTATCTATATACAGAGTGGAGAAACTGAACGACAGTATAAAGGAACCTTAGACTGCTTTGTGAAGATATACCAACATGAAGGAATGAATGCATTTTTTCGTGGTGCCTTCTCCAATATCCTTCGTGGTACAGGCGGTGCTTTGGTGTTAGTGTTGTATGATAAAATTAAGGAATTCCTTAATATTGATGTTGGAAGTTCATCAGGAGATTAAGTTTAGAAATATGTATACTGAATTTGTTAAAACATACCAATTACATGCCTGCCATGTGTGTACATTTTGTTGGTGTGTTACTAATACCATTATCTTCTTGAAGTGCTAATTCTGTGATAAAGTATAGGCATTTTTCAAAGATTTAAATGCTAAAAATCAGACTATGTGGATTTTCCTCCCACTTAGGTCCAAACTAATTTTAATGAGACATTACCTGTAAGCAGTGTGTATTATTTCTGTTAGTTGAAAATTTTTCTTACTTTTGCAATGCAAAATTGAAATGTATAATGTTGGAATACAAGAGGTGAATATATCTTCTTTTAAATTATTCATTTAATATATGTTTTCCCATCTTTAATAATCATACAATATGAGAAATATTTCTTGAAAGCTTATCAAGAGATGTCATTACATTTAACGGCAGAAATGTGTTTTCTACAACATCTCTATGGAGACAGTTAAGATATTACAATGTATACATTGCAGTATCATACAGCTTTTGATAAGCACAGATTATAGATTTATTCATTAAAAAATTGATAATGACCCTATAAAACTTAAGTTGGAAAGTAAAATGGCTTATATGTTAATATTTAGCAAAATATTTCTACTGAGAATGTCTTAAAACAAACAAAAAAAAATCTCCTTGAAAGTTGGTTTATGTATTCTGTGTTGACAATAAAGGAAGTTTAAAATGTTATGCTTGTGCCTTTTTTGCCCTGACCCTGCTTTTATTACCACAGGATAGCAACATTTTTGTGAGGAGTGGAAACTGGCTTAAACACAAAAAACAAAGGGTATTTCTCAAAGAGGAAACAAAAGCAGCATTTTCAAAACCTCACACAGGGAGTATATCTTGTTTTTCAGAGATGCTGTAGAAGATCGTGCATTTGGATTCCCAAGGATTTTAGAACTTGTATGGATAAACGTGTTGTTAAGCTGAAGGGGTTAAGTTATATCCCCTTTGTGAGGTTATAAGTGGACAAAATTAGGTAGGTAAACTTATTAGTGCACAATGACAACATGTATTTTATGGAAATTAATCCAAACTATACTTTTGAATATAATGGTGTTGTCACTGGGATGGGAAAAATAACGCTTGAAAACACTCAAACCTGATTTCCTGTGGTGGCCAGCATAGCAAGTTTTACAGACAAGATAGGAAATATGTTCCTTTACTTCTGTACTAGCAGATAATTCAAAGAAAATAAAATAATAAAATGTTAAAAATAACTTCGCATATAAAAATTACTTAGCAAAATATAAACATTATAATTTTTACATGACAAGCTTAGGAAAAAGAAGCCTTTTGAGATTCTGAATGCCATGAATACAGGGAAACAGGAATTTTCTCATTAACTTCCTAGGCCAAGCCGTGTTAATTTGAAGGCTGAAAATGTATAGTTAGAACAAAAGGGGAAGAAAAGTTACACAGTGTCTGCACTGAGCTTAATTGTGTACAGCCTGAGCATCTCTCTTCCATACATGTTCCAAAATCTGAAACTTGGAACACCTCGGTAATACTTAAAAACATTGGAGTGTTTACAGTTTGTCATTTTCAAGTTAGAAATGCTAAACTGGTAAAGTTTATAAAAACAGTTAAAACTTTCTAAAAGACTAAGATCTAGAAAATCTTTAGCTTCAAGCATTCTGGAGCAGAGATACTCAACTTGCATTAGGTTAAAGTGCTACTGAGAAATGAGTCACAGTAAGCAAAAGCAAAGTCTAGATTCTTAAGGAAAGCATCTTTTTAGTCAAAACATCTAAAAAAATTATTATGGAGTAAATTATTAGGGCTGTAATATACAATCTCTTTGGGTAGAGTTTTATATTGTTACCCTTAAAACTATCCTCAATTTTTAAAATTCATTCCTCAATTTTAAAAATTCATTTCTCAATTTAATTCCATGTTTAATTCTTTAAAATGCTCTGTTAAATGAAGCCTTTCAAGTTGGTAATCATTTATGCTTCATAGAAATATATTTTTTTTTGTGGAAAATTTTACAATTTTCTCACAAAGGAGTAAGAATGAGAACGTAAGATACTGGACCTTGTGCAATGACTCAGTTGGCTAAACCCTTGCAAGCTCTGGAATCCCATATGGGTACCAGCTCATGTCCCAGCTCCTCTTCCCATCCAGCTACCTACTTACGGCCTAGGAAAGCAGTAGAGGAGGGCTCAAAGCCTTGTGATTCTGTATCATGTGAGAGACCTGAAAGAAAATCCTAGCTCTGGCTTCAGATCATCTAAGCTCCAGCCATTGTATCCACTTAAGGAGTGAACCAGACAATGAAAGATTGCCTTTCGAGTAAAATAAATAAATCTTGGGCCCAGCTCAATAGCTTAGTGGCTAAAGTCCTTGCCTTGCATGTGCCAGGATCCCATATGGGCACTGCTCCACTTCCCATCCAGCTCCCTGCTTGCAGCCTGGGAACACAGTAGGGGGTAGACCAAAGTCTTGGGACCTTGCACTGCATGAGAGACCTGGAAGAAGTCCTGGCTCCTGCCTTTGGATTGGTTCAGCTCTGGCCGATGTGGCCACTTGGGGAGTGAACCAGCAGGCAGAAGATCTTTATATCTCTCCTTTCGGTATATCTGTCTTTCCAAGAAAAATATATAGATCTTTTAATATTTTCAGAAGGAAAAATATCATGCTGATGAGGGCCATCACCCAATTTTTACTATTTTATATTCCTGCTCTGTATTAATGCTTTGTATTTAAAAGTTTGATACCCTTACACAAATTTGGAAATAGTAACCTCATCAACCTATATGTAAATTCAAAAAGGGCCCTTGCAACCCAAACTGCTAGTGTTCCCTATGAGCAAATCCTGTGCTGTTTTCTCTATATGTGCTCCCCAACTCTCTTTAGATTCAAGTACCATATATATACCAGTGATTGTTAGATTTCATTGTAGGCTACCACAGATTCTGAATTTCCAAATGTATGTTTCTACCTATCTCTTGTGCGTTACTGTATGTGTCAGACTTCCTAAATCCAACATTCTTAAAACTTTCTCATTGTCTTGATTTCACGGATGTGCGTCTCTCCTTATTGCCTTTTCACCTCTCCTGTATACTCTTTCCCTCATACCCTCATTAGTAGAATATTGGGTGTAGATGAGTCCAATTAGACCAGGTGCTTCTAGCCCCAAACCCATTCCCTGTAGTGCTCAGCTTAACCAGTGTGAATCAACTCCTTAGTCCACAACAAGAACCTGTGTGCCTGTTTAAAACTGTCTTAATCGATTAGCGCAAGAGGAGCACTCATAGTTTCTAAGAGGATTAAAGGCCCCACTTCTTCCAGTAGGGATAAACTGTAAGCTTCTCACTTGTTTGGACCCTAGGAGGCAACCTCAAGCTAGCTGGGTTCTGCTGTCCCTGTAGGAGACCTCGCTTGAGTACCCAGCACCAACAGTTGTGGACATTTGGGACTGAACCAGCAGATGAAAGTGCTCTCTCCCTTTCAAATAATAAGTCTTCAAAAATAAAATCACTATAATCACTAAGGAAATTTAATCAGTGACCATAAAGTTACTCATAAATGCTACGCAAAGATGTTTTACACACTTGTCTTAACAAACTATCACAGATAAAACTCTTATTTTCTGTGAGGCTAGATAACAACAAAAAGCATAAAGAAAGGAAAATCAAAGTCCAGCATCACTTAAGAATATGATCACAAGTGAAATATAGCATATTTAAACACAATCAGAACTGTTATGGCTTATCTGGTTTATCTCAGGAATACAAAGCTATTTGTTATAAAGTCTTAATGGCAGTGCATTAGGTGTACCTGAGGCTAAAATAGGGATCTGTATGACCCCCATTGCCCCGTCATGTTTTTAACTACTAGGTACTCTCACATCCTTCCACAGATTGTAAGGAATCTGAGATGAATAACCCTTCGCTCTGACTTCAACTGTTCCTTTTTTTTTTTTGAACTTTCTTTTTCATAAAAAAATCATTCTTTACTCATTCTGCCTTTACAGACAATGTAAATAAATGGAATAAGTTCAGTAGTCCTAGTTGAGTTTCAGGATATTTGGAAATCAATCTAGGTGGTAGTGTACCCAGAAAGCTAATGGCCGAAGAGATCAGGTCACTGATAAGGGTTCAAGTCGGCCCCGCCCCGAGGGGAGGGGCGCCTAGGGGCCCAAGGTTCTGTTGTGGGTGCAGCGCCCAATCCCTGTGTCCTGCTCACACACTGCCTGCTGAGAGGCAGATCCACCTGTATCCCAGAGGGCCGCGTCCACCCTTTGAAGCCAGCCTTCATTCAGTATGCTGGCAACATGAAGGGAGGCATAATTCTTTAAAGAGGCCACAGCCCAAGCAACGCTGTACCATCCAGCCCTTCAAAATGGATGTCACGTTCATCGTCGCAACAACTGCAGGAGCCATTGCTGCCCTGGCTGCTGCTGGTGTAGCAGGGCTTTTGATCGTCAAAGGCCTCAATTCTTTCAAGAAGCTGTCAACTAGGGACCGTGAGAGTACTAAAGAATCTGGTAAAGACCCCACACCTATTTTTATGATGAAAACCAATACGAAAAATAGGGAACAGACAACATACAAAGAACCCGACGAGCAAGATCTGGGAAGGCAGGAAGAAGCAGACGACGACATCGAAGGAGGAACACACGGAAAAGTGGAGCAGAAGCAACAGGGACTACGTGAACAGGTGAACGGCGAGGTACAGAGAGGGCAACCAGAAGTGGATAACGCCCACGAGGAGGAACGAGGAACGCACAACGGAGTGGACAAGGAGGAACAGGGCAGCCAAACTTGGTAAGTGTAAAGGTTAACTACAGCCAGGCACCAGGTATCAAGTAAAAAAAAAAAAAAAAAAGACTGGACCACACCAGGCACCTTCCTTTTTTGAGGACCTGGGGCCGTGGCCTCCAGACACAGGTTTGTTTGGCGTCTAGTGAAAGAGGGATTTGAGGTCACCTCCCTGTAAAATTTATTTTCAGAGGGGAAGGCTACATCTTCTAGAATGGTGTGAATGGGAGATGCCCGAAGGGGAAGTTATATTTCTTGGCAGAAGCGTGGCTAAAACACAACCTAGAATGCGCTCACTGTGCTTTCACACCCCACGCAGCTTGTGAGGCGCTAGGACTCACGCTGCCCTGCGGGGCGGGGCGCGTCCTGGACACCGCACAATGGGCGCCACCTCACAGAGCCCCCGGTCGCGGGCGGCGAGGCGGAGCGCCACACGGCGGAGGGGCCGGCACATGGGCCCCTCGGGGCGGCGAGGCCTGCGGGTGGGTGTCCGGGCAGCTCCCCTGCGGCCCGGCCTCCGCAGCCTCCTGGGCCCGTGACAGGCACGCCTCCAGTTGCCCAAACCACCTACAAAGGAGCTCAAAAACACTGTTTACAAACGGCGGGCGCCTCTCACCCAGCCCACGGCAGGGCGTCCAGCCGCCCGCGCTCAGACGAGCGGGCCAAACCCAGCTTCTCCTCTGTCCCTCCCCGCCCTCCTCCCGCTCCTTCCCGCCCCCGGATGGCTCAGCTGCCTCCATTTTCCAGATCTTTCTCGAACCCGCGGCTCCTCGGGCGGCCGTTGCCCGAGCGCTGACGGAAGCAGCCGAAGTGAAGGCTCCGAGCAGCTTCGGACGCTGAGCGGCGGCTCGCGCGCCTCCCCGGCTGCGGAGCGCGCAGGCGCAGATCCCAGTAACTGCCGGTTGGAGGCGGCCGAACCGCAGTGGAGAGAGACCTAGGCGTCCAGACGCGGCGGAGCTTGCGGCGCGGGCGGCCTCTACCCCCTGCGCGCCTCCCGACGGTCCGCCCTAGGTTTTTCTGCGTAGCGACTTGGGTGTCATTTCTCCTTTGCTTCTCCTAGGAGTGGCAATCCCGGCAGCAACAGCTCAGAAGCGGACGCAGTTCCCTCGTCGGCGATTTCAGTGCCAGCACCCCGACCTTTAGGAGGCGGGATGTCTGTGGTTGGCATTGACCTCGGGTTTCTCAACTGCTACATCGCCGTAGCGAGGAGCGGCGGCATTGAGACCATCGCCAATGAGTACAGCGACAGGTGTACCCCGTAAGTGTCGCCTGTGGTCATAACGCTGACCCCGAGAAATACTTCGTCTCGCCCTTAGGTTTCTCCTGCCTAGGTCTCACCCGGCCCTCCTCCCTCTTCCCCGGCGCTTGCCGACCCGAGAGATGACAGGTGCAGCCCATCAGCTGCAATCTCTGGAGACCGCTGTTGGCGGCCCCAGGTGGCGGTCGGACTTGTTCTCCAGCAAAGCGGCTTTGCGTTCAAGGACAAGGGACTTATTTGCACATCTCTCCTTTGTGAACCACACTCCCCTGGCCTCCCCCACGCTGCTGGCCCCCCGAGCTTCGGCTGTAGGTCTCGGGAAAGGCTTGGTTGGTGTGGGATCGTCTCTGGGAGAGGGTTTTGCTTGAGATTATCCCGCAGGCATCCCCAACCCCCAGCCCAGCTAAGAGCCCAGCATTCCTCCCCCCCTCCCCTGTCTCCCCACAGACGGCTTTCTCCCAGGAAAGTAGGAACTGAAATATTTGATTATGCGCATCAGAAGATGAAATACAAGTTCGTCTGGCCCCGAAAGCCATTTGGAGGGGGATGGGGATGGGGCAGAGGAGGTGAGACCTGCCAGCTTGTGCAAAACCTGGTGTCATTAAAATTGAAGGTGGCCTGTCTGGTTTGGACGCCTCTGTTTCAGTGTTGCATTAGCAGGTAGACTGGGAAATGAGAGCTTTTGGCTTTCTGTGCTGGGAATGCCTGTCCGTTTGGTGGAAAACATTAGAGTGGAGTTCTTCTGAAAGCGGATTTCTAAAGAATGAGTGGGGAGTCCGAGGCTACCATCCTGTATAAACATGATTATGGAGTGATTCCATTGTGACTACTGAACCTGAAGGACTTAAAGGAGTGGCATTATGGCATGAAAACGTGTTTCCACATGTTCTGTTGTTCCTCTGACCTACGAAGTTTGTTGGCCAGGGATGAGTAATTGATTGCTGGGATGTGAAAAACTAGCTTCTTACTGTAGGCTTCTTGTTACCGGCAGGATTGTGGGGAAACCAACTGTTCATATATTTGTTTTTATAGAAAGATAATTAAACATGTTGACCCTTCTCAGTGACCCAAAATAGTATAATACCTTAAATATAAGGATAATCCTAACCGAGATCGCCATGAAGTCATCTTTAAACACTCAGACTTCTGCGGTTTTGTAAATCATTTAAAAACATGACAGGAGGGATTGACAAATACTAAACTTGAAGCAGTCTGTGGCTTAGTTTATTTCCAAGAAAGTACTAGATCACTACTTTTTCTAGATGAGTGTGTTATATTTCTGCTACTGAAATTGTGGGTGTTTAAATCCTCAAATATTGGCATAAATCAGATAATCCTCAGAGTACTGTTTGAATACTTTGTTTCTCCTTACTACCTCTTCTGGCTTTATGTCCGATGTGTAGTGAAAATAGTAATTGTGAACTGTTGGTGAGTTTGCCTCTGACCGGATATGGGCTTCAGCCAAGAAAGATGGGCAGGTTACACTCACCTCTTTCAGCTGAGTAGGCTTGAATAAGGACAGTCTTTGCCTTCAGTGAGTTAATCCCTAGAAAAAAAAGTAAGTGGTATGATGGGTATTTGTCTAGTCCTGAAGAGTCTTACCCCAAGAGATTAGAAATTACATCTGTAAGAAAGTTTCTTGCATCTCTGGACTCACAAATCTCTGTAGAAGTGCATCCAGGACTGCTTGAAGAGCCTGGCCAGACTTTTCTCACAGAGTTCTTTAAAAAGCAGACTACTAGAGGCTCTCGAAGTCTCTTTGCTACTATTCTTAGACACTTCGGTGTATTGACTGATTCTGTTTGGCTGAAATTTCGTGTGCCATTTCTGATTTGTGTGTCAGAAACTCAATGTTAGTATCTGGTGAGCCTCATCCAACTAGAAGGTTGGGGAGGTAGATGGATTGAATTTTCACTTAGCTGGCATCAGTAATTGCTCGTCTCCATGGCCCTGCCCTGTCGTTTACCTCAGGGTATAGCTTTTGTTGTAAGTGAAACAAAATACTTCACAGTGGTTCTGTTCTCTTGTTTTGTGTATGCACTTTGTGGGCTTAAGTCTTTAGAAGGAAACATAGTCCTTCCTGGTCCCAGGACTCATATCCATTTATGGAGTGCCTAAATGCAAAAACAATTACTGGTGAAGAAATTAATTCTCCTAACAAAGCAGAGTATTTAGTAACATGTATAAACAAACTTTTTAAAAAATGCATTACATGTTCTAGTTGCTGACATCAAGGTCAAATGACAAGAGCTACTTCTAAAATGGAAATACATTATTACAGGATCCTTTGAAGAGAGGAAGGAAATGTTTGATGTAGTTGCTTTCAGAATCAGCATCTATAGTTTTTCACAATTGTTTTATTCTTTAACATAGTTGATTATGTACATACGGGAGGATTTCATGTGTAAAGCAAGGACAGCTTCATGGAAAAAAGCCTTAAATGTGGCCTAAAATTAAGGGACCAAAGACAACGTGTACAATATATTCTCCAGATTTATCTTTTTTTAAGTTGTTTTTAAAGCTTGTTTAAGGAGAATTAAAAGTGTTTGTAGAAAATAAAATTTGAAAATGAGTTCATTCTAGTGAAAAAAATTGACACATAATTTTCATATAATGCATTTTTAGTATGCTTTTTGAAAACCTCTCATGTGCATGGATTTTAAGACATCTTTACACCCAAATAAATTTTTACTTCTGTTTTCAACAAATGTTTTATTTATTCAAGCTTCAGGGGTGTTATGTTTCACAGGACACTTTTTGGAAACGATAGTCTATGGCAATAGTTCTCAGTTGGAGGTGATTTTGCCCACTAAGGGACATCTGGCAATATTGAGATATTTTTGGTTGTCATAATTGGTGGTGTAGAAGAGGGCATCTAGTAGTTAAGACTCCAGAGATACTCTGGGAAAATCTTATAATTCATGGTGCAGCCCTGTTGTAACAAAAGTTATATGGCCCCAAATGTCACAGTAGCGTCCAAAGCTGATAAATCCTTCTCTAAGGACAACTTGAAACAGTTTGATTATTCAGCAGTTAACAGTTTGAGGCAGAGTCTAATGCAATGTGAGGGGTTGACCTTTTGATTTAAACCTTTAGATTGACCTCTTATATCATTTATCTAGTCATTAGGTTTACCATCTACATGATAGTGTAAACACAATTGTGATTCTATGGAGTTGATTAGAGAAAAAACAACATTAGGGCTATTTTGAAAGTTTAAGTAGTAAGGTACCAGCGCTGTGGAATAGCATGTTAAGCCATTACCTGCAGGCCAGGCATCACACATGACTGCCAGGAGTAATGCTCCTCCACTTCAGCTAATGCGCCTAGGAGACACCAGAGAACAGTTGAAGTGATCGGGCCCTTGCATCCATGTGGGAGAACTTGAAGAAGCTACTAGTTCGTGGTTTCAATCTGGCCCCACTTGGGGCATTTTGGCTATTTGGGTGATCTCTGTATGTCTCTCCTTCTCTGTTTTGATCCTAAAAGTTTAAGTAGCAAAAAATGGAAAGGTTTTGTATTCTTAGTTTAGATTGACAAGAAAGAAAGCAAATGTACAGAGCTTTATTTTTATTGGAAAGTCAGATCTACAGTAAGAAGGAGAGACAGAGAAAGTTCTTCTATCTGCTGATTCACTTTCCAAGTTGCTGCAACGGCTGGGGCTGAACTGATCTAAAGTCAGTAGCCAGGAGTTTCCTGTAGGTCTCCAATGCAAGTGTAGGGTCCCAAGGCTTTGGGCTGTCTCAACTTCTTTCCCAGGCCAAAAGCAGAGAGCTGGGAGGTAAGTGGAGCAGCGAGGACATCAATCAGCACCCATATGGGATACCAGTGTATGCAAGGCGAGGAGGACTTTAGCCACTAGGCTTACTGTGCAGGGCCTGAGAGCTAATTTTTGTTTGTTTGTTGTTTCAAGTGTTTATCATTTGGTGTGTAGTTTTTAAAATTATAAATTTTATTTTTTTGTAATGTTTACATAGTTGAGAGGGATACATGCCTGTGTGCATCACCAACCTGTACTTACTCTGGCACACACATGCTCTAGTGGAATGGTCGCATACCCCAGCCTGGTTATCCCCCTTAACCCAGCTCACATGCAAGCTAATGAGTGTTGTAGCCCTGCCCAGTGTGGTCTGCCCCCAGTCCCAGCTCTCACGCTCACTAGCAGAAGTGGCCCAGCAGGGAAGTCCATACCACTCCCCTGTGGGATTGCCTCCATCCTGGGTTTTAGGTGTGCTAGTGGGAGCTGCGGCCCAGACTGGCATGGCTTTCCTCACCTTGGCATCTACCAGCAAGTGCTAGAGCCTGGCTCAGCCTGGCCTGCCCCAGTTCCAGCTCATGCTGCCAGGTGCTATAGCCTAGCCCAGACCAGCCATCCCCCAGTCCCAGCCCTAATGTGAACTGATTGGCGTTATAGCCCAACTCAGTCTGTCCTATAGTGCAGTCATGGTTCTCACATCTGCCAGTGAGTGTTACGAACTGGCTCAACCTGGCCCTCCCCCAGACCTGACCCACGTGTAGACCATCTGGCACTGTAACCTGGCGTGGTCAGGGCTACTTCTAGCCTTTGTTCTTGTGCTCTGGCCCAGTCTGACTTGACCCTCCTGTCCTGGCAGGAAACCAACCCCCCCGCCCCAGCCACCCATTTTGGCTGTTACTGTTGAGTAACGACAGCCCAACCAAGCCTGCTGAACCCCCAGATTCAGCTCTCATGTGGTTCAGCAGATGCAGAGATCTATTTCAGCCTGTCCTATACCTACCCTAGCTCTTGTGAGCACCAGCAGGTACTGGAGCTTAGCCCAGTCTGGCACACCCTAGTCCCAGTCCATACCCATGCTGAGGAATGCCACAACCTTGTCCATCCCAGTTTGCTGCCCACAGTCCAGCTGTCATGCTCACTAATGGGAACCACAGCATGGCATGGGCGTCCCCTTAGTTCCCCACCAAGCTTACTCCCAGTCACAGATCTTATACATGCCAGTGGTATCTTCAACCCAGCCTGG